AAGACTCAGTTACCCCTTCTCTTTATAGCGAGAAAACTGTTTCGAAATTGTAAATTAAGATCTAAAATTCTGTGACGCTGGTATATCTATGCAACTATTGTATTTCTGGACGTTGTCCTTCGTTCTGTTTTTCTTTAAAACTAAACCTTTTGGAGACTGGATTCTGTTTCCTTCTCCGGAGATAGGGACTAGCTCTATCGATGGCCCAACTGAGTAGGTTCCACCTGAAGACGGAGATAGAATTTAGTCTCCGAAACTTTGTGTTTTAAATAAAAACAGGACGATGGATAACGTCCAGAAACACAACAATTGTGTAGATTAAGAGGTGAATACATTCGTGAAACGCTCTTTATTAATCACTCACTTTATAGTTCAAGTTTTCAAAACATTCTAATTAATATTTGACGCTGTGAAACTGAAATCTGACCATAGATTAGGCATATCGTTGATTTATGCTACAGATTTTTTTTTTTACAAAATTGTTATGTTTTGGAGGAAATTCATTATCACACAAAATTTAAGATGAAGATAAACAGAACTAATATTTTACCTTTGCGAGGTTGGGGGTTCCCACAGCGGTGCCTATGAAAATTATTGTCTTCTGAGATATAACGCCATATTGTCTGGTAGATCGTTACCGACCTTCTTAGGAACACTCTGCCTCAAACTTTAGGATAGACAGCACGTTCATTCGAAAAGTAAGTAGCCATTTATCAGAATATGGAGACACCATGATCATCTGAAACGTCGGTAACAATCTACCAGACGTAAGATGCAATAAGACAGTGATCTTAATATTGTATCTTTGTTTTGTTTTGGTGAGAAAGAAGGTTGGGAAGACACACACATTCATACACTGTCAGTGTAATCTAATTCTACCTTTCTGTATAAAGGTGAATTGGTTAGAAGTGCTTATGCGGACACACAAATAGTTCCGTTATTCTATGCAGATTTGTAACACACAAGACAGTAATAGGATTTCTATTTTTCCACGGTCAGATATTTGGATTGCCTGTATTTTACATTCATGATGCATTCTTTGCTAAGTGGAGGTCGTGGCATCAATACTGGTGATCTTTCGCCCGTGGCATATTTTTTGAGCCTAATTGTGTTGTATGCTGTCATGTATATGAGTGACTGTAGACGGGGTTTTGGTTGGTAATTGGATTATTGACGACTTACAGATCTTAACTACCAGTAACGTAGCATTATCGCTAATTCACACACTCTGCCGTTCATTATAACACGTACCAAGTCTTTTTAGTCTGCAGTGTCTTCACAAGTCGTTGCCTGGTGACAGCTTCCAAAAGGCTGATGTTCTCCTTACTCTGTGTTTCCGAACTATCCCCGTGCCTCACCTACCAGATTCTAACAGCAACAGCTCGCAGCAACTGAACTGCAGTTCTGTTACTAACTCACGAACTTACCAACCAATTCTCCACTTCCTGCACTGCACTGCAGCCCTTACAAATGGGATATGACTTGAGAGATAAACTGACAAACTACGGGTCAAAGACGGAAGATTTTGACGCTCCATTCCACAGTAGTACACTAAAACGTGACAGGGTTTTACTCTTTGAAGACGTCTCCAAGGAAATAAATAAAGGTGACGAAAATCATGACAGCTTACTGAAAATGGGGAATTTTTTTAAACGTTGGGAACTGCCTGTGAAAACTATTACAACAAATCTGAACCAGTGGCCATAGATGAAGTAACTGGAATGTTCAAAGGTAACGTCATTTTCAAGCAATATATCCCGCCCCGCCCCCCTAAAAAAAACACAAAGAGTTTGGCATAAAGATTTATAAAACGATGTACTGAAAACTTTTGTTGTTATGACAGGGTCCATACCACTGAATCCACTGTTCATCTAGATTTCCCTTGTCGAAGGGCTAAGTAAGAATATGTAAGAAGGTGGCAATGGAAAATATTAAGGTAAATCCCAGCATTCGCCTAGGGAGACAGAGTAAAACCATGAAACTAGCTAGCTTTCTGGTCAAGATTCAAACTGGACGCTGCTCTGGTAAAAGACTATAGCCTTCCCATTGCATCAGCTTCACTGTGCCTGACGGACCCGCTATTGGTAGAGGGACAGATAACCTTTATGTGAAAGAGATAAACAGACTATTTAGGATGTGTCTGAGAGAAAGAGAGATATGATTGTTGTCCTGTGTATGAGAGAGAGGAGAGATATATATTTGTTGTAGTACATAAGAGAGAATGAATTACATAAGGGCCTGGTGTCTGATAGAGATCAACTCACAGCAGCGCAGTGCCTATGAAGTTATCTGCTAGGGCCTGTAGCCCATTGTAAGTCAACTGGACGTTTCAGAGGAACTTATCACCTCCGTCTTCAAAGCTGACTAGCAGGGCAGTCAAGACACCAACATGAAGCTTTGCTTGCTAACTGCTTCATTATGGTTTTTTGCTTGGCTTGTTCTTGAACCCTGAAGATGGAGGTGATATGCCCCTCTGAAACATCAGTTGGCTTTTACCATGGCCTTATATCCCAGAAGATAGAACTCATCATATTTAATTGTTAAAAACTACCTTGAAGATGGAGGCATCGGGTCCTTCCAAAACATTGGTAAGTGTATACCAGACACCACATCATATCGCAGGAGACAATAAGTGTTCCTAGAGCTGGGCAAACCCCAAAAGTGTTACACAGACGCTTCCATGTTCAATATTGCCAGTTTGGAGAACAATTTCCATTTTGTCAGAAATTTTGTACATTATTTTCATTTGCAGATACAGCAGATTGTTTGGAACAGTATTCATTTGATTTGTCTTCCTGTTGCACTTCACAAATCTGTACAAAACATGTTGGAATTTAATGAGGTGAATGGTGAATTAGGAGAAATCTTGTTGAAGAAATTCACTAACCAATTCCGGATTGGCTATGTTAAATCACGCGGATACGTTCTACCAGAATATTATAGGAAATTCGGGCAGAGAGTAGAGGAGCTGGAAGTTCGAGATGATGACCTGTGGGTGGTTAGTTTCCCAAAGACTGGTAAGTGTATATCCTCCCACAGAAAATATATTTATTAACATCTTTACACGTATGATGGAGTGCCACACATTTTCAAATTTCTGTTTAGAAAAATAATGCATACAGTTCTAGATGTGAACTGGGATAGCTCAGTCAGTATATTGATTAGACTGTGTGCTGGACGACCTGGGAACTGAGATTCAGTTCCCTACATAGATAGAAATTGTTCTCTTCTCTTTATCCTTGTTCACAGCGTCCACATTGGCTCTAGGTCTTGTCCCTGGGATTAAGAAGCTGGTGGATGAAGCTCTATGCCCCATGCATGGAGCTATGCTTTCATTCTGTGATATGTCTTCATGTTGTGATGTTTAAAGAGGCTCAGAAAACTTACTGTAACCTGCACTCACTTTGCTATTACTGCAAGCCTGAAGGTCCCGGGTTCAGGTCCCGATGGGGTCATTGGATTTCTTTTTTCAGTTGACCTAATCATTCCAGCCGTACTATGGCCCTATGGTCAACTCAACCTCTAACAGAAATGAGTACCAGGAATTAATTAAATACTTTCCCTGGGGAGTAAAGCCCGGCCGGCACACAAGGCTGACAACCTTACTGCCATCTTTGAGCTGATTGTCTAGATAATGTGGGACCCTGAACGTCTCACAACCCTATGGGCCTTCACTGCCTGTTACAGGGATAGTTTTACTTTTTTACGTTTATTACCGAGCAGTACACGTTTTGAGTTTTCAACCTTCCTTCTATTTACCTGAAAATGAAGCATTATATTTTAGCACATTCTCGACATATTCAGATGTTCATAATTTACTAATGTAAGAGTTTATTGAAATTCAACAGGGAAATTATATCTGCCTTATCTTCATTCTTTTATAGAACTGTGAATTGATTTGCATTTTTATCCTTCAGATGGCACATTTCCAGACACAGAGTTGCCACTAAAGTAAATAAATGAAAACTGCTATGGTATAATCACAAACTACCGTTTTCTGTCATATATATGCATACATGCTTGTTTTATATATTTTTAATGGTATTCCTGCCTGCAGATCCAGAAGCCCAGGTTCGATTCCCGGCGCTACCAGATTTTCTGAGAAGTAGTGGGTCTGGAACAGGGTTCACTTAACCTTTTGAGGATAATTGAGGAGCTATTTCAAGGAAATAGTGGCTCCGGTCTAGAAAACCGAAATTAACGGCTGTGGGGATTTGTTGCACTGACCATGTGACACCCTCTATCTGCTAAAGTTGGCACTAACTTCGCTGACAAGCAGCGGTTATGCAGTCATTATAGTTCGCTTGTGGACTCAAGCAACAGAGTTTGATTTGTTAGTTTATGTAGTAATGTATTGCATATGACTGTCTATATGAAGCACTTACATGGTGATGAAATTTCAAGTTTCATCCAAGGTGTGCTATATCTGTTGCCATTATCCATGAAGTTGCATCATAATTGTATTCATGTCTATTCAGCAGAAGCGTGGGATATGTCATGAAACACATTACCATATAAGAACAGTACACTATTTTGAAACAATAATTCCATTTCCGTTAATGTATCAAGCATGTTATTAAGTAGCCAATAAAGATATGGTCAGACTTCACAGTTTCTGTCTGTTTTTGCTAGTACAGACTTGGCCTGAAGATTGAGATGCTCATTCTGTCAAGTGAGGCTGACCCATAAAATATAAGTTCACTTCCTGACTGCACTGTCTAGCCAACTCATCATAGAATTGTCTCATTTGATCCCTGGTAGAAGTGACAAAAATGTCTGCCAGCTGCATCATGTTTGACCCCAATCTACAGCAGGCTTATTATCCAGAGGAAATAGAGAATATTCGTCCTGAGAGTAAATCTGTTAAATGTTCAAGTTGACCACTCATTTCCATTTTGCGCTTAGGTCTGATGTGTGCAAAATTTAACAATATACACCATGGTAGCATGGAAGCAGGGGAAACTTTATCACCTTGCTGTCATTGTGTCTTTACTTTTCAGGTACAACATGGACGCAGGAGATGGCTTGGGTTATTAATCAAGATTTTGATTTTGAAGGGGCCAAAGTGCCCCTGCCAGAGAGATTTCCATTTCTGGAGTAAGTAGAATTGCCAACAGATATTACTGGTTGTGTAATTATGCACAGAGAAAGGGATGTATTTGCCTACACACCTGTTCCTTAGAACACCTAACATAATGTGTACATATAATGTTTTGAAGTGACAGAATAATGTTTAAATAACTTCCTTCTTTAGTCTGTAGAGGCAAAGGTAAAGGTGTCCCTGTGCTCAACGAATTAAGCTCTATGCCGTGAAGGCGTATGGGGGAGTGGATGTATAGGTACACATTTTCTTGAAGTCAGCACTAGATAGAGGTGAGTGGTCAGCTTCATGCTGCTGCCACTTTGCCCCCTGGGTGGACCCCAGAGCCGGTCTGGACTATTTGTAGAAGATAAAATTCTTGACCTTACCAGGACTTGAACGCTGACTCCTAGTCATCCAGCCCGTAGCCAGTCGCTATACCGACTATGCTACCATGGCTCCCTTCTTTATTCTGTGCTTAATGTAAACATATAATTGGAAAGTACTGCCTGTCCATTGATAACACAGTTCTTTTTTCCTCTCCAAAATTATTTGAAGGGTTGAAATGAATTTTTGGTGCAGGAACAGTGTGCTAGGAAAATATGACAATTTGATTTTGGTCCATAATACTCTGTTATAACCCTTACCTGATATGAACCTACAACATCTCTTAAATATTACACAGAACATTACATATCTATGACTTTCATTTGAAACATATCTTCGTATAATATTACATATTAAATTAATTAAAGGAAAAAGAGATGGTATCCAGTGCAATACCTATATTGTGCATTAGCTCAGACAATAATAGTAGTTTTGTATGTATACAGGTGTAAAATTGCAGATGACGCATTTGGGAACTATGTGAATCAAAATGGAGTCTATTTTTGCACTACTTTTGCTTTTAAATGCCCTCTTTCCAGTAACTACAAAAATAATATTCCTGCTGTCATTCTTGAACTGCAAGTTTTGGACATCCCTAACTGATCCTTCCAGGATCCTGGAACAGTTACTCTGATCATATTTATTTATGTATCTATTTATTAATGGTTTAATTTATTGAGTAACTTAATTTCAGCCACACACCACTCTTTGACTACACCGACATCCTTCCCAATTTACCAGAACTTCAGCTGCCTTTGTTTGTGAGTGATTCAGTGACATACATAAATGAAATGAAATCTCCACGCTACATCAAGACTCACCTACCATGGGAACTTCTGCCCAAGCAAATCCGTGAAGGAACCAAGAAACCAAAGGTATGGCATCTTAGCATAAAGCTAAGAGTTGCTTGAAAATTCATCACACTTCAGAACTGATTCATACTATATAGCATAAAAGGCCTATTACCAGAGGGCAGCAGATGTTGTCTCTATATCCCAGAGAGACAGAAATCCTACCTGCCAGACATGTTTGTGCAAGTAAAAACTGTGCTTACTCATGCTGCTGTAATTACTCATTAACAGTCAACTTACCATCACAACAAAATGCATGTATAATGTGTATACAAAATATCACTTACTGTTCAAATTTTGTGTTAAATATCTGTGGTAAAATCAGAAAAAAAGGGGAAAAAATTTAATCCTCTACAGCAGATTTTTTCGTTCATTGGCTATAATTTTTCACTCATCACAGAGAAACAGATATGTGGGTCTGTTGAGTCTGTGGGGATGTCTTAACGTTGTGTCTTTGTCATTACTCCGATGACAACCCACTTCTTCGGAACAATTTGTTGGCCCTGAAAAGGACCGTGATTGCTGAGATGATTGATCGGTGAGGTAGCGCTGAAGTTGCTTGCTGAAGTGAACTGAATCGAACTGAATTAAACTGCATAACTCGGTTCTGGAGTCGCTCCCTTTTATACGCCGGTCGGTGGGGCGGAGCCAAACTCGAAAGTGAGGAGGAAGAATTGATTGGCTAGCGCGCGTTATGACGTAGATGCGGGCCAGGAGCGATCCCAGTATAAATATGAACGTTTGAAGCAATCTGGTTGGTTAGCGCGCGTGATGGTGAAAAGCGATGTGAAGAGCGAGCGTTGCAGAAATGCGTGATAATGTGGGATGTTCCCACAAGTCCTGCCTATTACTTTGAACGTTAAAGTATGGACAGGCAGTATGCAGTAAAATTCTTGGAAGGTCAGATAAGTATTAACATACTTTCTCATAAGATAGCTGTCGTGAACATGACATTGAACCTTAGGGTTCCATAAAGGTCAGGGAATTTCTTGAGTAGCTGAGCAAGACAGATTCAGTTTCATGAGTGAGTTATGTCTTCAGGTATAAGAAACTCAGAAACATGTCCAGATTAGTGAATTTAATTTCTTACCTGGCTTTATCAAGGCAGACTGTCAATGCTGAAGTTATGTGAGATCAAGTTTGATATTGTTTGTTCATTATTAAACAGTACTCTATCATCTGAACATAATATTTAGCTATAATGATACATAACAGAGTGGTTGTGATTCTGAAAAGGAAAAATATGAGTGGAAATGATTCTGTCATACTTTAAGATTCTGTACAAGCATTCACTGATAGAGTGAAGGTACATTAAAAACTAATTGTTACATATTTCAATGGATACTTGAACACTAGAACAATAGGCTGTATAGAGTTCCATATTTCAGTGATCTCTTGTAGATAATCTACGTGGCCAGAAACGCGAAGGACACTTGTGTGTCTTACTACCATCACTGTAAGATACTGGAAGGCTACTCAGGCAGTTTTGACAACTACTGCAAGCTTTTTCTGGGTGGATCCTGTGAGTAAGAACCATGGATATTTGCTCTCCCCAACTCTCCTTTCCAATTTTGGTATTGATTCTGAACACATTTCATATATATTCATATGTGATATAAACATTTCAGTGTTAGGTGTTATTCTGCATGGCAATTAGATGTTAGTTTGAAACATTACTCCAATCAGGAAAAGATAATTATAACTGTTTGCTTTATGCAGAACCAATTTTGGGTAATGGTAACAACTACTGTAATTTGAATTAACAAAAGCGTATCACTGTCAGTGCCAGATGTAAGGGAGGGAGAGGAACTGTGGCCTCCACAAACTATAAATAGAAACTGTGTATTTTGGTGAGAGATATGCTTCTCTAAAGCCTTGAAAAGTTAGTTTGTATTTTTGTTATTATGAGAAATAAGAACACAGAGAGAGAGAGAATTGTCATAATCAAAAGTTGTTGTTACTGACTGAGGCCTCCACATTCTGATTGACCTGGGGCCCCTTTAGCAATGGATTGGCCCTGATCACAATTGTATTACCATCTCTATGAGGACTTTTCCTTCATGTTCATAAATCTACTACAAATATGGTTATCTGTTAGCCCCAGTTGATTTGGTGTCACTAAACTGAGTGTCCTATAAAGAATCTTATCAAATCTTTACTGGTTCATATTTAATTGTAACAGAAATTTCTTATTTACAAAGGGATTTAAAAATATATAATATTTAAAATTTATGTAAGTTGAATTTGGCAGTTTTTAAGATGAAAATAAACAGTTTGATATTATATAGCTTTAACTGCTCATATCGATAATCGTAACATGAATGTGGCATGAAATATGAGAGTTCATTTTCATTTTCTAAGCTGTTATTTATATGTATGCAGTTTATCATGATTCTTACTTGCCTTGTTTCATTTAAACAGTGTGTTTTGCACCATTCTGGCCTCATGTCCTCAACTTCTGGAAACGTCGTGATGAGCCCAACATTCTGTTTCTCAAATATGAAGATCTCAAGAAGGTTAGTGAAAATTATTTAACTTCTTTTCATGAAGTGAGTTTGTAAAAGTCTCTAACAGTGGTTGATTCATTATGTGACATGTTGAACATTCTCCATTGTCTTGGATATATTTGACATACACAACGTTTTGGAGACTGTATCCATTTCTCCCTTGAAAGGTAAGAGCTAGAGGTAAGCTCTTTCTCATGGGCTCTACTGAATACAATGCCTTAGTCCCTTAAATTTGATAATGGAAGCGGATCAAGTTTTCAAAATGTTATGTGCATCAGATATGCTTGAGACGATGGACAGTACCTAGCATAACATTTTATGGACTCTCTCTCCACACCTGCATGTTTATTGTTTATCTCTGGGACACAGATCAGACATCTGAGTTCCATGTTGTCATCCATCTGTAGCTACATTTCTTAAATCTTTTTTCCATCTCCCCTTTCACTTCTCTCATTTACTTTTTTGGACCACAATGTTATGGTCTTTTCTGGATAACTTACTGACACTGATTAACCTCGCAGGATCTGCCAGCAGTGATTAGGAAAACTGCCGCGTTCTTGGGCAAGGATCTGAATGAGGAGCAAGTGGACTTGCTTGCCGAGCATCTCAGTTTTGCCAGGATGAAGAGCAATCCAGCTGTCAACTACGAGGCAGCCATTGAAATTAACCGCAGATTCAACCTGACCACAGCAGATGGTCACTTCATGCGTAGTGGTCAGGTTGGTAACTACAAGGAGGTAATGGGCCCAGAGCTCATTGCTGAGTTTGACCGCTGGACACAGGAGAATCTCGCCAAAAGTGAACTCACTTTCTAATGCTTTTGCCAGGTAGAACGATGCAGTGTTACGTGTTGTCATAGACACCAATATTCCAACAAATGCAAAATTTATTCATGTTTCTCAAGACATAATTGAGTAGATATATTTTCAAATGTATATGTTTGTCCATTGATGATGTTAACATATTCAAAATTGTATAGTTTTCAGATTACACCACTGTGGTTGTTTCGTTTCTTCTGGCTCTTCTTCCCAAATCCTAAAGCATGTTCTTTGCCCCATATGTCCTGCATGTCCTGTCTGTCTCACCCCCCTTGACTTTATCATTCTAATTTTATTTGATGAAGACTGCAAGTTATAAAGGTCCTCATTGTTCAGTTTTCTCTGACTTCCTTGAACACATACAAAACCACAGGACAAACTGTAATATTCATGTAGTTACTATAGGATTCTGACGATGGTGTATAACACACTGAAAGAGCTAGCCTCAATCACTGGACCTAGCTCTTTCAAACAGACCCAACAGAATAGGTGTTTCCCTTTTCCTTCACCTGAGGACGGAAACAGATCAAGTTTCCGAAACGTCGTGTTTTTATTTGTTATCTTAAAAACCAGGACGATGGATAAAGTCCAGAAACCCAATATATCAGTGTAATATTCATATTCTAATTTTTACTTTTTTAGACTTAGATATTTCAGCCTTGAGAACTGAACTTTTTGAAGAGCCTATTGAGAGACTTAATACAATTCCTGATTCAATTCATCATGAGAGATTCGTGCTGGACGAAGTGTCACTGGAGGTTTTCTCCGATTTTATTCATTTTTTTTTCTTGTTAATCATCATTCCATCATTGCTTTACCATCCCATGAGATGCATGTTAGGTCTGACCAGACAGCACATTATCACGTGTTCAGCCATTAAGTCTGGAGCTTCGTCTGTCACCAAGCACTTGTGCATAGGGTAAGGAAATTAAGATTAATAATTTGCTGACATCATTAGGGTTCGAGCTACTTCTAGAGCAGTATGATAATAAATCTTTTTTAAGTCTGCAATTTTTATAAATGTAAATTTACATGAAAATGGAAAATATCAATATGATAACAGAGTGAAATATTTTGACATGATGTGTGAGATGTAGACTTTATTGTTCCAATGGGATTATCAGTTCAGACTGAGTCCAGTACCCCTCAGATTCTCCTCAATCCAGGCATCAAATCGAGTAGTCATTTCTGGAGTCATATGGTTCTTCCAGTCACCCACCTCACCTTTCCTGATGAAACGGAGTTCTGTAGCTTGGAGGAAGTCTGGGCCATTCTTCTTCGTCATAATGGGTTCCAAGTTTACTGAAGGATTCTTTCTCATGCTACTAAAACTGAGATGATTGGCCAGTTTGCTCACTTCGGTCTCAGTGAGTGTCTTGCCTAGAAAGGTGGCTGTTTTTCTGATTGCAGCCTCTTGGTCCTGAAAAGAAAGTTAATACATGCTCAGACTGAGTGTACAGTGTAAGTATGATTATGATAAGTAATGGATAGATGAAAATAGAAGAGTTGAGCATTCAGCCCTGGTTTGGATGTGGGGTTCAACACAGACTTGAACTCACTCTCTTTAACTCCTCATATGTGAGAAACAGAATGTTGGGCTCATGCCTACGCCTCCAGAATCCAAAGATGTGGCTCCAGATGGGGCCCAATGGAACTGGAAGAGAAATTGAACATTGTCATCAGCAAACACTGGTACACTGAATGGGGTTAGGAGTTAGATTGAGGAAGCATGAATTGCATAAAGAATTTTGAAATGTATGCAAATATAAGACTGAGAAGAAGATGTGAAAATAGAATTAAGATGGAAAGAGGCCAAGCAGAAGGAAGTTAGATTGAGGTGTTTAAAATGATGGCCTTCAGTATTTGTGCTTTTGAAACTTCACCTTCTACTACCAGAGAGTTTCCATTTAACTTTTCGAACCATTCCATTCATGTTTAAAATCCATGTGTATAGTTTGTATATACTTTCATATATTTAGTGATGACACAAGGCTTGGATTGATAATTGGGTTTATTTAACATGTATTACTCATGACTATAGGTGACTATAATAGTTCCATGGATCTACATATTGTACAAATCGCTATACTGTAGTACACATGAAGGCTTCTATATCTTCATGAGCTATAGCTGGGGGACGGTCTCCTTCCCCTGGGTTCCTGAACTGACCCTAGCCTGAGCTACCAGCTTCTCACTTCTCACATCTGCAACTCTCAACTGATTCAACAACAACTGAACTACTACTAGTCCTCGTTGTACAGACCTTGCATGGACCACACAGAAAATGTCTCTTCCATTGTTGCATGTTTTCTTGTTTCCAGGGAAAAAATATGTCCACAGAGCTGTTCCCTAGTAACGGCTGTTATACTATCACCTGTTTACACAGTTGTTACTTGGCAATGGGTCTACATGTCACAATATGTTACTACCTGGTCCTATGGTTCTATAAAAATTTTGGCTTCATTTACAATAGATATCAACCCCTCTCTCTATATCTTAACTTATAGTTCTCATGAATTATTCTCTGCACCCTCCAGCCATTTGTATCAAGTCCTTCCCACGTTTTCTACCTTCTGATTTAATAACAAAAATTGTCTTAGCGACCATCATATTAGCCATTCAAATCACATGCCCTAACCAATCCAATCCTCTACTTGTAATATACACCACCAGATCAGGAGCTTAATATAATTTCATCGGTTCTTATTTTCTTCTGATTTTCAAAAGTGCTTTAGCTTCAACTAGAGTTCTATAATCCACTTGAACAGAGTCTGAGAATGGTGTCTTACCTCTGCCCTTCAGAAAGAGTTCACAGAAATCCTCAAAGGAGCCCTTCATGTTGTGAACCAGTGTGCAGTAATGGTAGTAGGACACACACATGTCCTTAGGATTCCGTGTTATATACACCACCTATTGACAGATATTGAAGAAATTAGATAAGCATTCTTAGAGTTCTTGAAACCCCAGGCATTGAGACTTTTGGTGTGTGATGAGAGAGGTAATAATTCCTCAAGGCATGGTAGTGGCAGGCATTGCCAGTATTTCTGTCAAGACATCTGCTTCCCAAATTGGATTCGCATGTTCAGTTTCACAGAAGTCTCTGTGGGATTTATGGTGAATAGATTGGAACTGGGGCATTTTTTCTCCAGATATTTAGGTTTGTTCCTCTTAGTCATCTCTGCACCACTGCCACTGCCACTGATTTGTGTAATGGGCATGAGAATTGGTATGTATGGATTGACAAGTTTTAGTTGCTCCGAGCACTCCGAACACCACACTGAGTTATTTCTGTGCACTGACAGATATTACTATTATTATTATTATTATTATGTTTCTTTCTTATTATTCTTAATGGGGTGGGGCTCAGTCCCTTGTACTGTGGCCACTACTGGCCTATTGTACTAGTCCCAGATGATAGGTGGTGGTGACTGTGGAACAACTGGTGGAATGAAGATTGGCAGGGGAAACTGAAGTACTTTGGAGAAATCCTGCCCAGCGCCACTTTGTCCGCCACAAATCCCACATGACCTGACGTGGGCTTTAACCTGGGCCACAGCAGTGAGAAGCCAGCGACTAACTGCCTAAGCTATGGGGTGGCCCAGACAGATATGACAAGCCAGTACATTATTGTAACCTGTCCTCAGCAAGCAGTTCATCTGTGGTCCAGCACCCTATTGGTGTTAAGGGTGAAAAAGGTTTTAGTTTTAGTGTGTTAATGATAGTTCCGTTCATCTCATGTAGCAACACATGATACTCGTATAGTGGTTCATGAAGGGTTTTCAAGAAATCGACATCGGATTCAAATCTTGTACCTTTGGCTTCACTGTGCTGAGTGCAGCTGGGAGGAGCTCCCAGGTCAAGTGACTTTTGATGTATCGAGGGGACTGCATATTTTCCACTAGCTCCACAGAGTTCCCCAGGTCTCTCATCCACTCCCCATCATCATTAGCCATTAGCACCGTCAACCTACAATGTGAAGTACTTTCATCTTACCTTTTTTCCAAGCATGCCATTCTCAAAGTAATAATTCCTGGTGGGCTCCCTTAATTTCAGTACAAAATACAACAGTAGATTGGAAGAAAAATGAGTTAGTAAACATTCCCATCCTAATATTGAACATACCCAAATTACTTTATATTTCATTTGCGTGGTTTCTTGGATATTTAATCAGTTTGTTAAAAATGTAATACATGTGCTGTATATGGGAAAGTATCTGCTCCGAAAGCTTATGCTCATATAGCGTGGTGTCTACATATGTTTTAATTTGTCCATCAAGATTGTCGAGAATTTCCTAACTGATGTTGTGAACACCATTACCTCCTGAGCATAAAACTGATTATTAATACAATGTGTAGAATTAATTACAAATTTGTAATTTTGTATTTTTGCATAGCCAAAAAGTTACAACCAAAATATGCATGAATTGCATTGCCCTTTATTTTAACACTTGTCTGAATTTTACTATTTCTTCTAGATAAATTCACTCTAATTTGCATTTATGCTTATTCTAATAAGAAATATCTTTTTATAGACTCAGAGAACCTATAACGAATAGGATTCCTGTCTTGATATTTTCAGTTTACCATTAATTTCTAAGTCATTCTTTGGTATTTTATTAAAATTATATATATCTTATTTTCCAAGTCTAGCTATACTTTTCTGGATTCCATACAACCAGGAATTTCTTGACGCATAAAGTAATTATCTGCTGTCTCACTCAATCATGTGTTGTGGAAGTTGATTATTGTGCTGTGAAATGTATTTGAATACACTGAGTGTTTGTAAGGAACTGTTTTTGTTTGTATCTGATGTATCGCTTCCTTCTTCAGGATCAGAGTGCAATATAAGATTGAATACTTTATAGCTACCTATGTGAGAACCTCGGCCCCAACATACTCGTACACTGAGTGTGTTTGAGAACAAGGTGCTAATGAGAGTTATTCAACCTTGGGGGGGTGGCAAAGTAATAGGAGTCTGAAGAAGACTACGTAATGATGAGTTTCATAATATATACTCAGCGCCACATATTAATAGAAGAATGAACTGAAAGAGAATGAGATGTGCAAGGCATGTAGAATGCGTGAGAGCTAATAGTAATGGATTCAAAATTTGGGTGGGAAAACCTGAAAGAAAGAGAATTAGGAAGACCTAGATGTAGATAGAAAAATTGTATTTAAATTAATCTCTCTGAAAGAGAATGTGAGGTTCTGGATTATAATATTATATTTCAGCATCCTGTTACACTCACGCAATATAAATACCGTCTTAAGTGCAACAAATTTTATTGTAGTTTTTACTTCTTTTCCTCCTCCACACTACATGTTTCGGCCCTAAATGGCCATCATCAGGTGTGTATCACTCACGTAGCTGTTATACTGCTTGTTAAAATTTAAAATTACCAGTCTTTCTAATTGTATAAAATCTTTGTTAATCTACACGCGTCGATTTGATTTTTAAATTAGCACTTTTTAAAACTTAATTCAAGTTAAAATGTCTATAAGATCTCTGTTCTTTCTTTTTCAAATTTTTAGTTAAAATGTTTTCAGGGTACATGCCCTATATCTACGGTGCTGCAGCGGCCACTTCTTGTTTTTATCGTTGTTCATGTGTTGTTCAGTGTAGGCGCTCTCTGTGTGTGTCGCTGCTTATCTTTAATACGTTTGCTGATGGCCATTTAGGGCCGAAACATGTAGTGTGGAGGAGGAAAAGAAGTAAAAACTACAATAAAATTTGTTGCACTTAAGACGGTATTTATCCATATATATTCTGGATTATATTTATTGGGTTAGGACGGAAAGCAGTTATGAACTCTTTTGAACACGGTGATGAACCTTTGGGTCCCATAAAATGCTGGGAAATTCTTGAGTGGCTGAGTAAGTATTGGCTTCTCAAGAAGGGCTGTGCTCCATGGAGAAAGTTAGTTAGGTATTAATTCGTTAAGTATGCATAGCTATTTAGATGAAGAGTACTGTCTTCTGGTATGTGACTTAGTGTAGTCTGGTAGATCTTTATCCATGTTCTAGAGGATCGTGTGTCTGCAGTCTTAATGGTAGAAAAATATCTATTCCACCCTGATGACAGAGGCACTTTGTTCATACGAAAAGTCGGCAATCATTCTGTAAGGCTTTCAAGCTTCCCATCCTGTGTGAAGTTTTCATACTCGCATTTGTAACATATCCTGACATATGCATGGCAGTGTGAGATGCAGTTTGTGTTACTTACTCCAGGAGTGGGGTCCTTAAATGTTGAAGAACCTTCGCTCTCTCTAGATCCAGGTCATTTCCAATGCACCATACCATTTCCTGGAGCCATGTGCTGCCTGGAGATAGAAAGTAATGCGTAAAGTTTCGTTGCGACAAACATAGGAAAGGGATTAGTGACTCAACCGCCTCTGTGGTCTAGTGGTCAGCGTTCCTGGCTACCCAGTGGAACGGGGTCCACTCAGCCTCGTGATGATAATTGAGGAGATATTTCAGGGAAATAGCGGCTCCGGTCTAGAAAACCGAAATTAACTGCCGTGGAGATTCGTTGCGCTGACAACGTGACAACCTCTATCCGTAAAAGTTGGCACTAAACTTCGCCGACAAGCGGCGGTCGCTCGGTCGGTATAGTTCGCTTGCGGACTAAAATCATGGTGTTCCTTTTTGTTACTAACTCAGCATTTCTCTCACACATTTTGAATTTGTGTGTTTCTATGTGATTCCCAGAATAATCTGAGGTCATTCTNCCACCCTGATGACAGAGGCACTTTGTTCATACGAAAAGTCGGCAATTATTCTGTAAGGATTTGAAGCTTCCCATCTTGTGTGAAGTTTTCATACTCGTATTTGTAACCTTTCCTGACGTATGCATGACAGTGTGAAATGCAGTTTGTGTTACTTACTCCAGAAGTGGAGTCCTTAAATGTTGAAGAATCTTCGCTCTCTCTAGATCCAGGTCATTTCCAATGCACCATACCATTTCCTGGAGCCATGTGCTGCCTGGAGATAGAAAGTAATGCGTAAAGTTTCGTTGGACAAACATAAGAAAGGGGTTAGTGACTCAACCGCCTCTGTGGTCTAGTAGTCAGCGTTCCTGGCTACCCAGTGGAAGGGGGTCCACTCAGCCTCGTGATGATAATTGAGGAGATATTTCAGGCAAATAGCGACTCCGGTCTAGAAAACCGAAATTAACTGCCGTGGAGATTCGTTGCGCTGACAACGTGACAACATCTATCCGTAAAAGTTGGCACTAAACTTCGCCGACAAGCGGCGGTCGCTCGGTCGGTATAGTTCGCTTGCGGACTAAAATCATGGTGTTCTTTTTTGTTACTAACTCAGCATTTCTCTCACACATTTTGAATTTGTGTGTTTCTATGTGATTCCCAGAATAATCTGAGGTCATTCTCATTGTAACAGATGAATGTCGAGTGCATGTCACTCGTATTCAGGAATTAAGGTCTTGGCCCGGACAACTTTCTCCAGCCTGACTGAGGTATCTCATTTTCTCCGAACACATTCCGGAATTGCTCTTCAAATTAGGTNTACTCCAGAAGTGGAGTCCTTAAATGTTGAAGAATCTTCGCTCTCTCTAGATCCAGGTCATTTCCAATGCACCATACCATTTCCTGGAGCCATGTGCTGCCTGGAGATAGAAAGTAATGCGTAAAGTTTCGTTGGACAAACATAAGAAAGGGGTTAGTGACTCAACCGCCTCTGTGGTCTAGTAGTCAGCGTTCCTGGCTACCCAGTGGAAGGGGGTCCACTCAGCCTCGTGATGATAATTGAGGAGATATTTCAGGCAAATAGCGACTCCGGTCTAGAAAACCGAAATTAACTGCCGTGGAGATTCGTTGCGCTGACAACGTGACAACATCTATCCGTAAAAGTTGGCACTAAACTTCGCCGACAAGCGGCGGTCGCTCGGTCGGTATAGTTCGCTTGCGGACTAAAATCATGGTGTTCCTTTTTGTTACTAACTCAGCATTTCTCTCACACATTTTGAATTTGTGTGTTTCTATGTGATTCCCAGAATAATCTGAGGTCATTCTCATTGTAACAGATGAATGTCGAGTGCATGTCACTCGTATTCAGGAATTAAGGTCTTGGCCCGGACAACTTTCTCCAGCCTGACTGAGGTATCTCATTTTCTCCGAACACATTCCGGAATTGCTCTTCAAATTATGCCACGACCGCTTCCTTAAAAAGACATAAACAAACATAAATGGATGAAGAGAAAGTTTCAGATGTTTACCAAGGTGAGGCTCCATTTCACTTTTCTTCGACCTTCTTGGAAGTGAAAGTGGTAACCGCAGGCCAGTAAACTTAGTACCACGTGCAGTAGCAATGCCTACATTTTTAGGCAGAAGAATTGTACCACCATATAAAAAATCTGTCTCTTTAACATAAGCATTAGGGAAGTCTAGACAAGACTATTAATTTTATTTTAGTTTTTGGGATGGAGTGAAGCTGAATGCACCATTACTTCGACCACTGTTACCCATTACCAGCCCCGAATGGCAGATGATGATGATGGTGGGTGTGTAGCAGTTCGTGTAATGAAAATTGGCCGTGAAAACCGAGGTACTAAAAGAAAAGTGCCCCAATGCCACTTCGTCCACCACAAATTCCACATGACCTGACCTTGGATCGAACCCATGCCACCGAGGTTGGAAGCTACCAACTAGCTATGGCATGGCCTTTAGAGCAGATGCTTTTGACGTAATTATTTACTCAGAGTTTATAAAATGCACTCATGATTGGCTCATAATGTTCGACTTTATATTGGAGTACTCCATGTCCGAAACTATTAAATCTGATAATGGAGGCCGACAGTAAAGTTTTTCGTATGAAATTATTTGGAACAGTACCCACTCAATGCAAACTCAAGGTTACACGAGGCTGTAAGCGGATATATCCTTCCTTAACAATGGCTCGTAAGAAATAAACAGAACACGTCATAGAATGTGGACCTCACTTGAGATTTTCAGCTTTCGAAACAACTTTATGTGGAATATTTAAAGAAATACAAACAAAACTCCGCGGATTTAGTCCTCAGGCCTACTATACCGACTGAGAGACCGCCGCCTGTCGCCGCTATTTCCTTGAAATAGGTCCTCAGTTATCCTCACGAGGCTGAATGGACCCCGTTCCAGACCCACTACTTCTCAGAAAATCTAGTGGCGCCGGGAATCAAACCCGGGACCTCTGGATCTGTAGCCAGGGACTCTGACCACTAGACCACAGAGGCGGTCATTTAAAGAAATACAAGGACAAATAATTTCTATCGCTGTAGTAGGTATCTGCAGTATGATTGCCTTTGTGGAAGAGAGTTTTTTTTAAGGAAAATAATATCTGACTTACGTGCCGTATGATAACTGTATTATCCATAGAGCCATTATTTCAATTGTTTGCGTCTTGCGATAAAGGAGTATAAAAACCTAAAGAATTCGTTTGGTAGATATGTGTATCATATTGTTTTTCGAAACTTACTCCAAGAATCACAGTCCTTGTTGAGATCATACTAGTCTCTTTGCCACTCTAGAAATTCCTCGCTTCTTATGGAACGCCCAGGTTTCATTTTCACATTCACAGGCACACTCCATTGGTTTCTGTCCTAAGCTATATTAATCCAGTCCACACACTATTTAAAATCCCCTGTAACTTTATCTTCACTTCCACGCCTAGGTCTTTGTATAAAGATCTCTTCACATTAGGTTTCCCTATCAAAATTTTGTATTCAATGCTCTCCCTACATGTGATGCACTTTGCGCGTAGCCTGCTGTCTTATCCTCCCCCTTAGGTCGAAATATTCACCTCAACGCTCTCTTCTCAAACATCCTAAACACAAGCAGAGTTCTGTCTACTGTGATACTATAACGGTGTGTAGTCCATTCAACCGACGTTTCGGAGAAACAATCCCTCGATCTTCACGATCCAGGATTAAACTAAGCAAGAAACCAACACGAAGCTGGTAGCAAAGAACTCTTTAGGGTCGGCTCTGTGAGAAGTTCAGGTCTACTTTAAATCTGTGCACCCCCCCCCATACAGGTATATGCGACACCAGTTTTTATCCCTTACAAAATTATACGTAAAATGGAAGCTTTATATTTGTTTAATCTTTACGCTTTTATAGGGCAGACGAGAAGACAAAAAATTCCGACTGAATGGAGTCAAGAATTCCCCTAATTTAATATGCTATTAGATTTCTTTAGTTGGTTGTTTAACGACGCTGTCAGTATCCAGATTACATAAGTGTCGGTGATAAGATGATTAATGGATATGAGAATTGGTAGGGGAAACAGAAGTACTCGGAGAGAACCATTGCTACTTTGTCCACCACAAAAGACTTTAAATGGAATCGAACCCAGGTCACCGCTTTCAAAAGCCGGGGATTAACCGCCTGAACTATGTCACGGCTCCCCTTAAGTTCTTCATGACTGAACTTCTTATTTGATATTGTCATTCCCAGATACTAGAACTTCTCCCAAATATTTACTAATTATATTTGTGTTGTGATTTTGCCCTACTTTCCGGTAATGAGGCCCAGAAGGGTAATTATTTTTCTCTGCGTTTGCTTGCAGATCAACTCCTTTCCTGGGGCCTAATGAAGTTTCTGCGTTATATTTCACGGTACGTATGATCTACCCTAAGAAATTATCATACGTTTTGAAAAACAAGAAGGTGACTGGTTTCGAAACCCGGACTGAAGACAAAACTGGATTACCTGTTCTGGGGTACGAGACGACCCACACATCGCTGGAGCGCACCTCCATTCCTCGGATACGGTCTCCCAGTTCCTCGTACTTTGACGGCAAAAGCACATGTCCCGGATGCACCTCGATGAGGCAATTTTGTCTGTTAAACATTCTATCCAGTTTCCGGGCCTCTTCCCCTTCCAGAGGGGTGTACCGGATGCCGCCCCTGCAAACAAGCGAGAACACTAAGTCGGAGTCCTTGCAAATTCCTGCTAAGAGGCGACATGGTTCTGTGTTTTCTGTGTATGTGTCCTTACGCCTTATTTTCATGATATCGTTTCCGTCGGTCTGCTTGTTTCAGCACATACTCGGTGGATATCGATGAAATTTGGTACTGGAGGTCCACAATAGAAGTGGTTCTCACGGCGGTCAGTAGGCCTTCTAAGATTACAGCCTTCTGAGAAGTTACGCCGTGTGAATTGGTACATACATAGTGACACTTGGGAATAAGATGACTACATGGCATGACATCTCAGAAGACCGTGATCTTAGTTAATATAATGATCTTCAACTCCATTAAGTCGGAGGAAAAGAATAATATTACAAAGCAGTGAACAAAACAATGTGTATCTTTTTATAAGGCGATATATTTACATGTTATATTATTATCGCGAAGGAGAGAAGTCACATCTCAATTGCAAATATCGTTCGTGTAATTACGTCAAGGAAAACAATCTCTGTACCTTTGTAGAATGAAGGAAACTTCACAATTAAAGTATTCTGGCAGAAGTACTCGTAGTTACAAATGCCTCATCAAGAATTCCGTTAGCTCACCTGCTGGGTCTCTTGAAATCCTGGTGTGTGTTTACAATGTTGTCTTGTAAAACAGAAGCTGTACTCATCTTGTTCTGTAGCACGTCCTTCCTCGACGGAAACTTATACCTTTCTGTAATCTCGCAAGTTACCACGAATTCCTCCTCTATACCATCCCGGCGGGGAGAACAACTTTCACTTTCATTTCACCACTCGCGGGAGAAATTACCAACTACAACAAATTTCATATTATAAATGTTAATACGAAAATGTTAAATGTTTTTAGTTCTAAAAAATAATGCTGGATACCTGTCATTTGTTATTTTGTATAAACGATGTTCATACTTTTCGCGTTCTCCCTGAGGAGGAGCTGTAATACTTGCGACTTGTTCAGGTGAAGGAGGAGAAAGCGGAAGTTTGTAAAGAAAGAAGCCTGTATTATGAACACTTCCTGTCGAGAAAAGTTAAACAGTTCCATCTAGTGTGACTGGTGAAGATTTTCCTTACTTCAGTTGTTTATGACCTTACATGTTTGCGTCTTCAGAGACCATCCTCAGAAGGATGAAACGTGACGGACCCGAATGAAACAAATCACTTTCTGTCAATATAGTACACTTTCCATTTCTCAAGAATTTGACTTAAGTTACTATAATTATGACAGGACATTTGCAACAAGAAAACAAGTAAGACGGGGAAACCCCATGACCAAGAAAATCGTTGATCAGAACGCTGTGAAATTTGAAGACTTTCTACTGCCAAATAGCAGCAGCTTTCAGTCAAATAATAAATTTAGATATGTCAAGGAAAGTTGACATGTTTCTGCATCAAACGCGAATCGTCGTCACATCCTTCTTAGAGTGGATATAGAAATTTGTATCTAAATGGTGTCTAATTATAGTTCTGTTTTTGGATGGTCCGTCGGGATATCTCAGATGGACTTTAAAGCAGTTCCATTGTGCCAACGTTCTAGTCGGGTTCGAGCGCTGGTAAAGGACACAAATGTAAAAAATATAAAGTTATTCCTCTGCTTAACTCATTAAGCACTACGTCATGAAGGTGTATGTGGGAGTGGATGTATAGACCCACGTTTTCTTCACCTCTGCACTAGTTGGAGGTGAGTGGTCAGCTTCACGCCCCTGCCGCTTTACCTCCGAGGACAAAGTCTCCGGTACTAATTGTATAGGAGGCTGGGTGGGCCCTAGAGCCAGTCTGGTCGACGTGAAGAAGAGAAAAATCTTGCCCATTATCGGGACTCGAACTCAGAACAATTGATCGTCCTGGCCGTAGCCAGTCGCTATACCAACCGCGCTATCCCGGCTACTTGTTGAAGGATACAATAGTGGCATAATTCTATAACCGGAATTATCGTTTTTATTATTATTATTATTATTATTATTATTATTATTATTTCTGGTGGAAGGCGCTGTGAGGTCACTTCAGTTACCTCGGCTTCCTCACAGTGCAGCGGTTAAACATGGATTACACAAGGCCTGTTCACTCGCAGCGAGTTAATTCGTTTGGTATAATTAGACGGAGTAAAATCTATGATCCTTTACCTCATTCTTATCTCGAAGTTTGAGAAATTAACTCATATTTGGGACGTAATATTCGACTGTCTGTCAGAATATTCCGTGTCATTTTTTTAATGGGATAATGGAGGTGGACAGTGGAAATACGCAGATAATTCGAATACCTATCGCTTCAATCTAACCTTAAAGTTACGTGCAGCTTTGGCCGCGCCACAGCTCAAGCGGTTAGTCCCTGGCTTCCCACCGCGGAGGCCCGGGTTCGATCCCGGGTCTGGTCACGTGGGATTTGTGGTGGACAAAATTGCGCTGGGACAGGTTATCTCCGAATACTTCGGTTTCCCCTGCCAATCTTCATTCCATCAATTGCTCCACAATCACCCTCGCCTACCATCTGGGGCTGGTACAATAAGCCAGAAGTGGCTGCAGTACAAGGGACTTAGTCCCACCCCACTAGCAATAAAGAAAATACATGCAGCTTTGACCGAACATATCCCTTCTCAACAATGGTTCGTTCGGTAGAAGCCGAATATGTCATAAAATGCAGATAGACCTCAGCTTTCGAAACATATTTATGTGAAATCCTTAACAAGATACAAGAACAAATAATTCATATTTCATTGCAGTAGCTATCTACGGTGAGATTAGTTTTGTAGAAGAGAGTTCTTTGTTTTCGACAAAAAATATATCTTACGTACATGCTGTAAAATAACCGCAGTATCTCTACTGTGATTAAGTTTCTGACGTCTGTTTGTTGTTATTGTTAATGTTCCTTTTTTGTCAATATGTTTGTGCCTGCGATAAATGAACATAAAGGCCAGTGAGGCATGAAATACCGCGAAGTACTCGTTTGGTAAATATATGCATTATATTATTTTCGAAACTAACTCCTAGGAACGTAGCCCTTGTTGCTCTGCCACTCTAGAAATTCCCCGGTTCTTGTGGAACCCCAAAGTTTCATTACCACATTTACAAGAACGCACCATTGTTCTCTGTCCTGAGCCAGATGAATCCAGTCCACTCACTATTATTTAAGACCCAGTTTAACATTATTTTCACATTCATGACCAGATCTTCGAATAGATCCTTTTACTTCATGCTTCCCCACCAAAATTTTGTATTTACTTCTCATCTCACATGCACTGCCTGTGGACCCAATTAATATTTGTCGAAGCATACAACTTACAAGCTTCCACATTTTCAGTTTTTCAGCTTCCGGTTCCTCTCTCTCTCTTAGGTCGAACTATTCACCTCAACGCCCTCTTCTCCAACACACTAAACACAAGCAGAACTCTACCTTATGGCATATAATGCCGTATGTTCCGGTTAACCGATGTTTCGAAAGAGCATCTCCTCCATCTTCAGGGTGAAATATTAAGCAAATTATAGAACTGTGCAAATGACTGAGCGAGGGCGGAAGGGAGTGCGCCTTGAAAGAAGCTGTGAATGTCGGGGGGGGGGAATTTTTGGTGGCGAGTAATTGTGGATGTAAAGCACAATAGTCCACTGTAGGTCGCGGTGCAAGGGCCGAGAAGGCCCATCCCTTATACATTCAAAGTCAGGATGTCAGTGCATTGAATGCATTATTGCCCAGAATGAAAACTGAAAACATAAAGGAAAGGACCACTTGGTAGACTGAAGCGTAAATGGAAGGATAAGAGTAAAACAGATTTTAGAGAAATGTGTTGTGAAAGTGTGAACTGGCCTAAGCTCGATAGGAGTAGGGCCAGCGATGTCTTTTGTGAATATATTGATGAGTCACTGGGTTCAGCATGAGGGGATAATTTCTTGACCAGCTTAATAAATATCGGCTTTTCAAAATGCAGTGCGCCATGATGTTTCATAGGTAATTACTTAGCCCTTTTGTTATTTACTCTGTTATGTTGTTACTTAGCTGTTTATTTTGTTATGAATTTCATTGAGTACTCTGCCGTTTCTTTAATTTGTTTGGCCGATATTGTATTTTCGGTGGGTATACCGGCATATCAGTTTTCATTATTTTTCAGGATTTATATGCATTTCGTTCCTTAGGGAATAAGGGTTATATAGCATTGATTAAACTGAGTAAAATCATGACACAGAAAACTTCATTTTGTTCTGTCTTCTAAATGCAGTTCTACATATTTCAAACTTGTGTCCTTGACTTCTGTATCCCACGATTTGTAGGGATAGAATCAGTAAGGCGTCGATATTCCATATTCGAATAATTTTCTGAAGAGGCGAATGAGCGTTTAACCCTCTTTCATAGAAATATGACCAAAATATGAGTCCATAAATTTAATTCTATGTGTGATTCATATTTTCGCGTAATATGTGTGTGACTCTCGACGGGGTTTGGATTGATGACCATTTATACACTCGACTGTGAAGTACAAGTAATTACGGCCCCACCGCTAATCTTCACACTTTAAGAACCACCACAGCACCCGACAAGCCTTTTCCAGCCTTCTGTGTCGTCACTAGCTCTTCCCTGACAACGGCTTCTAACAGTGAAGATTCTTCAGCTTCATGCGCTCAGGTCTTCTCTTCACATCCTCCCGTACAGAACTCACTCGGTCTCCCCACTTGTCTTCAAGATAACTCCTCGGCACGGACTCCATAGAAACACCCCACACACACAGTACCCCACTGTTGCGCGTCGATTCGTTGCTGTGGGAGTGTGTTACAGAGCCGTTGCCTAGGAACATCTCTGGTATATTCGCCTATCTCGCGGTCGCCGCACAATAACGGCTCTACACGCTACAATATTAAAAAAAACAGTAGTTTGAAGAAACCCACGAAGTATTATACAGAACAGCGGAAGACTTAAATAACTCAGTACTTAGCGGCAAGTCTTGAAGGTGCCACAAGGAGCGCCATCATGCACTCTTCCGTCATTTTAGTCCTGAGCAAGGACCCCCAAACTCCACTGGATAGAAGGGCTTCATGGCGGGCTAGTATTAAACTGATATTTCAGAAATCGGTTTTGCAGGTGTGAACATCATTGGTATGCTTCAAGTAAATGCTTCGTGGCAGAATTTCGAGTTGTCCTGATTCTGATTGAACTGATATTGGTGGTTCTTTCCGTCTTTTCTTCGCATACTCTGTTGTGTCCACGGTAGTCTGGTTTCTATGCGCACGTCATTTTCATTCACATTTGTGTTTCGCGACATGTTCCCGTCACTACGTGCCCACCATCAGTCTTTTGGTTTATTAGATGTTAATGAAGCTAGTACTTCTCTATATATTCCGACAGTCAGTGCAGTTTTATTGTATGGGTTTAGTCTGTTCTCTATAGCGTTGGTTGGTAAATGGATCAAGAGGCTTGACCGGATTGTAAAGAAATGGACAACTATCACTACTCCACATGAACAAGTTACTCTTTTCTGCATGCAAAATTTTAATCGACAGACCTAAAGGATACAGGCTTAGATGGGAGGATAACGCTGTAATTAATCTTACAGAAACAGGATGAGAAGTTATGGGCAGACATTTGGCTCGGGACAGGTACTAGTGGCAGACTGTTGTGAACGCATTGATAAACATTAGGGATCCGTGAATTGTGGGGAATTTCTTGATCATCTGAGCTGCTGTTAGCTTCTCAAGAACAAATCTGTTTTGTGCAATTGTTGTTTCAATCATTTAGTCATTCTTCCTCGGTCCACGTTACGAAAAATAAAATTCTAAAGAAATAATATTTTTAGATGTATTCAAAGTGGCATATTTCCTACATAACTAAAAAGTAGCCGTGATCTCTTAGTCGGTATAGCGACTGGGTGGACGGCCAGAGTTCTATTCTCAGCAGGGCAAGAAATTAATTTGTTCTCCACAACATCCACTCCGGCTCCGGGGTCCACCAAGCCTCTTATACTGTGAGTACCATGGGACTTTACCCCAGAGTTAAAGCGGCTGGGGCGTGAAGCTTAGACTCAACTGCATCTAGTGCGACCTAGTGGTCACGGAGGTAAAGAATGGTGGAGCCGTGCCTCCGCTCCGTCACGTGCATTCGTGGTGCGGCGCTTAATTAATTAAGCACAGGGACAACTTTTCCTTGCCTTTACCTATATTACAAAAATCAAATAAATAGAGGAATTTTTTGAAAATCACTTGAAAATGTGGTTGTGTTGAAGGCACCGTACCAGTACAGTAGAGTTAATTTCATATTTATGTGCTAAATCTTGTCGCCATTATTCAGATGAAACTGCGATGTTGGCAGCATTTCATCATGACCTAGAGCGCACGGATCGCTCTGCAGCGTAACCAACCAATAGGAGCGATTTGTGTAGCAGCTGAGAAACAGCAGGGAATAAAAATGTCCGTACGTTTTGTGCAATGAAGTGCTTACGACAGAATCGCATATTTGAATGACTTCATTAAGTTCGGTGATTGTTGGTGCTCATGAGTAATGAGGTCCGAACGCTAAGAAAATTTCCCCAACTCTCCACTGTGGCTGAAAGTTGTGCGTGAAATAATTTCGTTTTATATAAATCGTGTTCTAGTTTTTGCACGAAAGCTGGAACCATTTATTCAGTCATTTATTCATTTCATTCATTAATATGCTTAGCAAGAGTCTGGGAAAGCGACTCGATATGTGGTTTACTGGTAAAATAGATTTAGCTACCCAGAAAAGTGCACTTTTCCATGACTTGATGGAAGAATGCAGATATGTAGCACCTGGAGCCCGACTGTCCTACCAGCTGAGGACTCATTTGGAGCGATTCTGTCGAGAGGTTAGGAAGGAAATAGCTTGTCGTGTGAAAGATGGGTGTGCGCCGTTGTTTATAGCTTGTAAACGAGGAAATGTTGAAATAGTTGAATATCTGATCAATGTCTGCAATGTTGATTTGGAGCAACGTGGACTGTATGAAGTGCCAGATGATCACTCAGTGCATTGTGTAACGCCATTATGGTGTGCCGCAGTGTCGGGAAAGCTTGCTGTTACTAAGTGTTTAGTGCAGCATGGTGCAGATGTGAATTCAGTCTCAGACTCTGGTTCAAGCCCTGTTCGCAGTGCGTGTTTTATGACTCACCTTGATATTGTGTCTTACTTAGTTGAGAACGGCGCAGATATTCTCCGTCCTAATTATAATGGTGGTACATGCCTCATAAATTCTGTTCAGAGTGTTCAGTTGTGTTTGTATCTACTCCAACATGGAGCCTTAGTAAACACGAGGGACATTCAGAACAAGACAGCATTACATTATGCTATTCAAGAACATCGGTTTGAGACAACGAAATTGTTATTGGATCATGGAGCAGATCCGAATGCACGTAGCCGATACAATGACGATGCTCTGCTGACAGCATGTTTGAAAGGAGCTACACAGATCTTTGATTATCTCATTGCTCGGGTGACATACAGCCCAGATCGTTTGGCAGATGCCCATGAGCTGATGGGCTCAACGTTTTTGGATGAACATAATGATGCCACAACTGCATTAAGACACTGGCGCATGGCCACACAGCTTCGCCACACATTTGGGCCACCAGATGAACCCATACCAAAATTCCCAGTGATGCCTCCCAGAGCAGCATTTCATAATGCAGTGGAGTTTAGAACAATGGAAGATCTAAACAATGTCGCTTTAGATTTGGATGCCATGAGAATTCAGAGTCTTTTGATATGTGAGCGAGTTCTTGGGCCTCATCACAAGGACACACTCTTCAGATTGATGTACAGGGGAGCAGCTTATGCAGATGCCCTGCAGTACCAGCGGTGCATTGAACTGTGGCTACGTGCTCTTGAGATACGAGTTGAGAAAGATACGGTAATATTCGTAGTGTCACCATTCTGCATTAACTAATTGAAACTACTAGATTTCAGTTTAGGAATTCTTACATCTTGGTTGATGTAGAGGTAGAAGTCATTGTGCAAACAGAAAATATTGGGATTGGCTATGTAGGTACACATGTACACAAGTATTATGTTTTTGGACATTATCCATCGTCCTGTCTGTTGTCTAGTAAAACATCCAGTTTCTTATTTAAAACACAATGTTTCGGAGACTGGATTCTGTCCCCGTCGTCAGGTAAATCCTACTCAGTTGGGTTCAATAGATAGAGCTAGCCCCATAGGTGTCCAGAGAAGGGGCTAGCTCTATCTATTGAACCCAACTGAGTAAGTTTTAGCTAAGGACGGGGACAGAATCCAGTCTCTGAAACGTTGTGTTTTAAATAAGAAACTGGATGTTTTACTAGACAATAGACGGGGCGATGGATAATGTCCAAAAACATAATACTTGTAACAATATACCATCGTCGCAGACTTTTAGATCTTATTTACATAAGTACACAAATGAACTTTTGGAAGAATTGCGACACTAAGAGAAACAGGAGAATGTTGGGAAGTGGAGTAAACAAAATATTGCATTTGTTACGTACATGAAAAGTGAACCATGCCTTAATTTAAAGTGATTCTTATCACAGAAACAGAAGGATCTGGTTGGAGCCAAACTTGTTTTTAGTTAGGTGAAGAAAGTGTCAGAATTGTAGATGCAGGCCAAATATTTGAGCCTGGTGGAAGTCAGGTGATTTTAATTAACACATTATATTCATGTGTGTTAGGAAAAACTGAAGGAAAGAGAGCTAGGCAGACCTAAATGTAAATGGGAGGATAATATTGAAATGCATCTTAAAGAAATAGGTTGGGGCCGGGGTGTGGTCTGGATTCGTCGTGCTTTAGATAGAGACCACTGGCAGGCTCTTGTGAATACAGTAGTACACCTTCAGGCTCCATGAATGGCTAGGATTTTCTTGAGTGGTTGATTAACTGTTGACTCCTCAAGAAGGACCCAGCCCTTTAGCATAAGTGGGTAGATTTGTTAGTTAATTAGTAAGTAAGTAGGTAGAGTTGTGCTGCATTTTTAGTTTTGAGGTCACCCAGAATTTTTAGCTAATGCAAGGCTCTAGAAATACAAATTAGGTTTCCCAGTCATGTAATAAAGCCCACTCGCCCACTGACTTGCATAATGATATCTGCAGACATTGTGTCCTCACCACCTGTTGTAATGGTGTCTTGAACCAGGGGATGGTAGGATGTAGAATTTTGGTGGGGATACATCTTAAAAAAACGTCCAGTTTGACAACTGAGAATAAACTGGTAAGATAAGGTCCATCTTAAGATGGATCCCAGAGAACTTGGTTATAATATTCAAAGATGGCTCAGGATATTGTTCAGAGTATCATTAATGTTTAATTTTCAATTTCAGCTGTCAGAAAGTCAGGTACGTCCAGTTGTGAACTATTGCTTCTTTAGAAACAGCCATAGGTGATTGTGTCACTTCCTTAATGGAATAAATGTTGGCACTCTAAAGTCAGAATTTGTGCAGGCTTGACAGTTTACTAGAAGTGAACATGAAACCTGAACTCTTCAAGTTTCTGTAAATATCAGCTAAAGAGTTATTTATTTTCAAATTCACTTGAACGGTGTATGATTTTGATATGAGTATTAGGTATGTCCATTTCTGTTCATAAGGAACAACTAGAATCATGCCTCTGTTTACTGTACAGATTCTGTACAGTGACACGTGCTTCACTGCCCAAGCGCTGGTGCGCCTCTTTGTTGATCTGAATGAGAAGAATTTGGAGATACTGAAAAATGGAAGAGAAGAAGGGAAGCCAAGATTTGAAGATGTTGCAGCCACGTTACAGCTGCTCGGCAAAGAACTGGCAACCATGCGACAGCTTCTGGAGGTTGGTTCCATATACTCATTGTTTGTGATGGTGACGGAGCCTATCTCCATACTGGTAATGTCCATGAAATAATATACTCTGGGTACGCGGTAGCGTATTTGGTTGAGACACTACACTACAAGCTGGAAGGTCACGGATCGAATCCTGATGAGGTCACTGGATTTTTTCAATTCACTTTCTTCCAGCCATACTATGACCCTGGGATCAACTCAGCCTCTAACAGAAATGAGTACCAGAAATATTCTTGGGGGTAAAGGGCGGCCACTGTGTAAGACTGACAACCTCACCACCATCTGTGAGCCGATTGTCTAGAAAATGTGGGAACCTCAAAATTTCACAACCCTGTGGGCCTCCACGGCCTGTTACAGGGATACCTTTACTTTTTACCTTACTGTCCAAAGACAAAACACAATGAGAGGGTGTCAGCTAGGTTTATGTGGCACAGGAGAGGGACCAGCAATGGTAATGAACATTCAGGTTCCATAAAATGCTGCAAATTTCTTATTTAGCTGAGGGAATGTTGGCTTCCCAAGAAGGATTCCGTTGTGTGAAGCAAGTTTCTTGGATTGCTCCAGGCGGTCAGTCTCTGGCTTCTCACTGCAGATTCCTTACAGCATTTGTGATGAACAGAATGGCACTGGAGCAGGATTTCCTCAGAATGGTTTGGTTGTACCCTGCCAAATGTTCCACCAATACTCTGTACTTGTCTTTGGTCAGAGGCCAATATGGTAGGCTGATTTGAGGCCGCAGTACCGGGACATTTTCTTACCCTACTCCTTCAGTTTAAAAAATCGGATTAGTGTTTAAGAGATCAATATCTGTTGACACACACACTGTTATTCTCTCGTATTATCCATAATGTTCTGAAGAGTGAAGCCAGTTTTTTCTCTTTGAATTGTTTGAGGTGTTTCTGTATGCCAGCTGTTTTCTGAGCCATTAGCCTCAAATTACAGCAGTTTAGAAATGACAGTACAAAAAGCAATTCCCACTGCTGCAAAGCAAGGAATTTTCTTACTGTTATGAATCAGTTATAATGTGTTTCTTTTACTTCATGTCTAGGTAACAAGACAAATTTGGAATTTCAGTGAATTTTGTTGTATTGAAATAGTATACATGTCTGGCCTAGAATCAGATTAGAGAGAATGGATATGTGTACGTGTAATCGCTGCTTGACATGTACAAGCCCCTAATAAGACTTCTGTCTTTAGCTGCGGCCAGCGCAGAAACGGCAACAGGAAAGCTATGATCGCACGCTAAAGTGCATTACACACTTGATATACATGCTTGTGGAGACAGCACAGACTGACCAGCAGAAGGAGCAAATGCGTGAAATTGTGACTGCTATCATCAGAAGCAACCCTCGATCTGCATCCACTGGTGATACGTTACTCCATCTCTGTGTGTCACGTCTGAACACTATCAAGAGTTCATACTTCTCAGATGATAACCAGGTTTGTCAAGAAGTTTTGCTCTTTTACTGCTATGTTAAATTCTCTCTGCACCATATTTTATCATTTGTTGCCAAATTGTGAATTTGAAAATGTTTCCTTTTCTCAAACAGAAGTCAGTGAGTACTTTTGATGAAGGTCAAGTTAGTTAGGGTTGACAACCTTTCAAAAACAAAATAAATATTAGAAACTGAGCCCACATTTATGAATTTAAAGGTAAAATGAAAGACAAAAGTAAAGTTTTTCTTGTGCCTAAATACCATGGCATAACGGTGATGGGGTGAGTGAAAGAAATGCGTCATGCATTCCAGACCTGGGCATTAGGTGGAGGTTAGCATTGAGCTTCGAGCTTCAGCTGCTTCATTCTGTTGAAAATTTGTACAATATCCATTGGATATGAAGCTGGGTGGACGCGAGAGCAGGTCTGCATATGGTCGTGAATAAGAAAAGAGTCCTCACAAGAATTGAACTCCGGCCATCCAGATTGTAATCAGTATCTTTATTGAGTTATCATAACTCACAATATGTAGGCCTGTATGGATGCTGATCTGATTCTGGCGAGTGGGTGAATAATGGAATTTGGGGAAGGGTGTTTATTTATTTATTTTCATTATCAGGGTAAGGAAGGGTTTTAGTATGGTTTCGAGGACAAGAAAAGCACATGACGTTCTGCTGACTTTGATACCAATTGACAAGTCTCATGGCTCATGTGTGCTACTTACAGTTCATCTTCCCAAACATGGATGTCATTAAGTTACTTCTGGAGTGTGGGGCCCCATTGAATGCTCGCAATGAATCTCGCTGTACCCCTCTTCATGTTGCAGCAAACCCATACAACTTCTACAGTCCAGTAAGTACTTGCTGCATTTTTGTTAACTGAATATCCTGTATCTGTGCATTCATAAGCAGTAAGTATTTCTTTGATTTCCTCAACCACACTGCTTTTGGTGAAGTTCATTTGAGCTTACTCTTGAGTTGCTGCTTCATATGTTTTTCACTGTTGGTAGTGGCATGTAACCAGTGGAGTCGAGTCAACTATGAACTCTAATCAACATAAAACCTCAGTAACATTTGTCTCGTTCTCCTTGTATGTCATTCAGTATGCATCGGTCAATCAATCTGTTGATTCCAAGAATCCACATTTGGTGATACAACCTCCGGATATAGAACAAGCCAATAACTACATATTAATATAACATACATATCATACATGAGTCAACTATACTATAAAACTTAACTACCTACAGATTTCATACACATCAGTCATGCAATACATCATCCCACTTGCAAGAATTTAATGACCAAAGGAAACCGTGTATCCAAAGATTATTTTTATAAATTAAGTATAACAGCTGTACATTTTATGATTGATTCTGCTCTCGTAATCATAGTTTGTTTGGTACCAGTACAAAGCCAAGGTTCAGTCCAATACCGATGATTGTATGAAATGTACATATTGCTGGAAATTCAACAGACTGATATGCAGTTCTACACTCATCCACTGCTGATGGTTTTGTGTTATGGTTGGTTCAGATGGTGATAATTAAGTATTAACTGCAGAAGTTACTAAATGGCAAATGAGATGGAAGTCTGAAGAAAGTCGTCTTCTGGGATCTGGCACCGTGTATTCTTTGTTTCAGCCAGATCCCAGAAGACGACTTTCTTCATAGTAATCACCGTGAAAATCTCAAAACTTACGAGATGGAAGTCTGATTATAAAGTATGAACTCAGAAGAATTGGAAGATTGAGTAAAGCTATGATATACTGTCAGTGACATGTCTTACTCACATAGATAATGTTAAACACATTTTCTGACAGTTATTACAGCTGCTGCTAGATCATGGTGCCCACCTGGATCAGCCAAACCGTGCCGGTGACTGTCCAGCGATATTTGTGGCGATGAATCCACTGAATAATGTCCATCTGGTGAACTATGTGACACTGCGATGTCTGGCCGCCACTGCTGTCTGCAAGTATAAGATCCCATATGAAGGGCAGATTCCTGCCACTTTGGAGACATTTGTTAAGTTCCATGAAGAGTAGAGAACTGTCGTGAGTATTTGTTGTTTTGCTTCCATTAGTTTAGTGACGCAGATAAACATTGGTACAGAAATTACTTTATGAGACTTCTTCTCAAATAATGGTATATGAAGTTGCTGTAGGTAACCCACACAGTACTTTAAAGTTCAAGTCATTTGGTGGTTCTGAAGGAACATAATTTTGTTTTCATGAAATTGCCATGAGAAATGGTAGATTTGAGTATAATGTTGAGAAAGATACTGTGGAGTAAATTGATGCAACTGGCCATGGGCTTACATATTTCTTATGTCTGTGAAGAAGAGCATGTGTCTGTTTGCTCTTTATACATTTTCATATTATTGCACCTATTTTGACATTATTTGGCATGGTAGGGCACCTGTCTGGGTAGGTTTTAGGCATTTGAACCCCCCCNCCCCCCCCCCAAAAAAAAATTGTTTTTGGAAACCCAAGATGTAGTTTTTTTTTTTCTTATTGCTTAGGAACCTTTTTGTCTCTATATATTGAGTTTTCTTTTGAGGGAAGAAGGATATTTTATAGAGCTTAGGGGAGAAAAGAAGCCCCACTGTCTTAGTTTCTGAGATATTTAATTTTCAGTTTTCCAAAAACCGAATGGCGGTTTTAAAAAATTTGCAACAGTGTGAGGATTTTTGTTTTAATGGATTAGTTACTTTGCTTATAATTCTGTTACATTTTATTAACGCCAACAGACTTTTCAGTTCTTTACACTTCCTAATTATGTATGTGTATTATCCCTGTGAAACACTCAGTGGGTCATCTGATAGATGGTATGGTTGTGTGAGACTAAGTTCTTCCATGCTGTAGCCTCAGGGGCCACAAAATCATCCTGCCACATTACCACTTTGTCCTTCAAGTCTTACATGGAATGCTGATCACTAACTGCTTGAACCATACCATGGCCCACACTGCAGTAATGGGCTGAAAGTTCAAATCATTGTCTTGTTGCTGGAGTCTAGATGTTTGGAAGTATGTACCAGTTGTATAGAACTCCCTTAAAATCATTTTATGTTGGCTGCAGGATGATATATGTATAGTATTATGTATGTGGATGCTGTAAATGATTTTCAGCTATTTCGAGGGGTCCGGGGGGATCTGATGCCATACACAGACAGCTGGTATTCTGAATACAACAGAAGTGGGTGGTAACACATATTGTGCAGATGATTACAGTTTAAATTGTTTCTTAGCCTTTTCAGGTCACGCGGTAGCATAGTGGTTGAGGAGCTATGCTACAAGCCGGAAGGTCGCGGGTTCAAGTCCCGATGAGGTCATTGGATTTTTTTCAGTTGACCTAATCCTTCCAGCCACAGTAGTCCCTGGGGTTTACTCAGCCTCTAACAGAAATGAGTACCAGGAATTAATTAAATAATTTCCCTGGGGAGTAAAGCGCGGCCGGCACGTAGGGCTGACAACCTTACCACCATCTTTGAGCTGAATGTCTAGACAATGTGGGACCCTCAGTGTCTCACAAACCTATGGGCCTTCACGGCCTGGTACGGGGATAGCTTTTTTTTACTTTTTTACTTAGTCTTTTCAGCCCCATTATTTCTCTTCTGAGCACAGCACTCCAAGAATATGAATGACTTACTTAGCCTGCTTTAATATTTGTTTTTTTTATATATATTTCTGATATTAGAATGCACCACAAGCTGGAGAAGAAGAAGGAATAAACTTTTTGTACAATAAGACAGTACATAATCTCTTCGTAGACTTTACAAAAGTCTATGATTCGGTTAGGAGAGAAGTATTGTAAAGTATTCTCATAGAGTTTGGGGTACCCATGGAAGTAGTTAGGCTGATTAAAATGTGTTTAAACGAAACCTATAGTAAAATTTATGTAGGTAAACATTTGCCTGTTAAGTTTTGCATGCAGAATGGTTTGAAGCAAGGAGGTGCTTTATTGCCATTGCTTTTCAACTTTGCTTTAGAATATGCCATTAAGAACGTCCAGGAAAACCAAGTGGGACTGAAATGAAATGGGACACATCAGCTTCTACAATCAATCCAGAATCTTTTGTCTTCTTATCTCTTGTCTGAAAACATAGAAGTTGGAATATACAGAACTTAATTTTTCCTGAGGTTGTGTATGGGTGTGAAACTTTGTCTCTGACATTAAGGGAGGAACATATGAGTAGATGAGGTGTTTGAGAACAGGGTGCTGAGGGGAGTAGTTGCACCGAAGAGAGTTGAAGTGACAGGAAGTTGGAGAAAGTTGTATAATGAGGAGCTTCATAGCTTGTAGTCTTCTCCAAGTATAATTCAAATGATTAGGTCAAGGAGGATGAGATGGTCAGGTCATGTAGCACACACTGGGGGGAAGAGGACTGCATATAGGATGGTGGTAAAGCTAGAAGGAAAGAGACCACTGGAAAGACCAAGACATAGGTGTGTTGATAATATTAAAGTGGATCTTAGATAGGGTTGAGTGGTATGGACTGGATTGATCTGGATTAGGATAGGGACCAGTGGAGGGTTGTTGTGAACATAGGAATGAACTTTTGGGTTCCATAAAATGTTGGGAAATTCTTGAGTAGCTGTACAGCTGGTGGCTTCTCAGGAAGGGCTCAACTCGGTGGAGCTAGTAATCTCTACGTTTTTATCAGGTAGGAAATCGTCACTTCCTGTGGTTCGTACTCTTACGTAGGCTTAGAAAGTCTGTAGCACTAAAGGATCATAATACGTTTCGGAGACATGTATATGTGCGCTCAGAAATTTTTGTCTATATGGTGTAATGTAATAAAATATCAAAATCTTGTGTGAACTTAAAATATAGTTTTAGTAATCAAGTTGAAGAAGCAGTTGTCAAAATGAGGATGGTTGGCAAACCTGTTGCACTTCTAAGTCTATTTACTTTCTTGTATTTGGAGGATTTATTAGTTGCGCTGGTATTCTAAAATTTAATACAGACTCTTTTCGAGAGTAGCTTTGAATCAGTTGTCTCACACTCCCTCACTTGAGGACAGAAATAGATCCAGCTTCTGAAATGTATTCTTTTGTGACCTTTAGAGTACCAAATGACGGACAAAGTCCAAGAACCCAGTAATCCTGAAAGCCACAACTGCTTTATATTGAGCAGTTAATTTCCAGGTCTGGATCATTTTGTCACAAGTCATGAGTCATGTATTTCAAAAGAAGGAAGTTTCTTGGAGAATTTTGTGTATGTGTCAGTGCTGTAGTACAAAGGCTATTTGGAAAGTAACCTCCGTTTTAGTCAACTAATATAGAAGTGAATGGCTGCACCATAGCTCACGCGGTTAGTCGCTGGCTTCCCACTGCGGCAGCCTGGGTTTGATACCAGGTCTGGTCAAGTGGGATTTGTGGTGGACAAAGTGGCACTGGGGCAGGTTTTCTCTGAGTACTTCGGTTTCCCTTGCCAATCTTCATTCCACCAATTGCTCCACAACCACCCTCACCTATCATCTGGGGCTGGCACAATAGGCCAGAAGTGGTCGCAGTACAAGGGACTTAGTCCCACCCCACTAGCAATAAAAAATATATATAGGAGTGTGGGAGAGTTGCCACATGTGAGGTAATGTTGCATGACTTATTGCCTTGTAACCTCCGTTTATTTTAGTCAAGTAACATAGGAGCATGAGAGAGCTGGCACATGAGAGGTAGAGTCTCAGGACTTATTGCCTTGTAAATCATCACATAACTGGTCACCTGGTGTTTGTTATTGTCTCTATGGAGTGAGTTATGATGTATCATGCCAGCCAACCACATCACTCTACATCATGATCATTTGTTTTCTGTCCTTGAACATTCTACATCAGTGTCACAGTTCCTTCACTCAACACATTTTGGCTATAAGCCGCACATAATTCACTGTGGATTCCTACAGCACTCATGTTTTTAGCATGAAGAAAGCAGATAACAGTGCAAATTTCACAGCTGGGAGATAATCAGTCACAGGGTTCATCATAACTGACTCTGTAGAGACAAGAGCAAACACTAGGTGACCACTTAAGTGTTGGTTTACAAGGCAGTGAGTCATGTGACACTACCTTGCATGTGTGAGCTCTACCCTTCTCTTACATTAGTTGACTAAAATAAACAGAAGTTATTTTTCATGTAGCCCTTGTATTTATTTATTTATTCTTAAGTCACTTCATTTGCTGTTAGTTGCCTCTTACTGACAGCATACTTGTTCAAGCTGTTTGTGAAATGGTAACAGACCATTTTTTATACTGAAGTATATAGAAACTTGGATTTTGTGGCATTGTAAGCACTGTAAGCAAAGCGAGGGGCAGTCTGCATAAGGCCTGCACTCCAAACGACCCCTGTAATCAACAAATGTTGGTTATAGGCTATATTTAACCTTATATGATCTCTTGGTATCATGTATTGAGGATTGCTGTGCTGCCCAGCTTATAGTACAGACCCTGCAAGAATTGCCATGAGGTTTCATAAGACTCAGTATCGGAAGAGTGACTTCTGTGTCCAGTAAAGGCATGAATTATTGAAAATGAAATATTAATGATGGTTGTACATGGACATAAATTACATAAGTGGAAAGCCTGGTATCACTTTTGCCATGATTGTGTGTATATTGTGTATGGGGTACATCTATTATTGTGATCACAATAGATTTTGAACTTGTGTTTTTTATTTTAATTATCAGTTGAGGTCATGTAAATGAAATTAAATTATTCCTGGAAATAGTTTGCCGTTAATACAAAGACATGTATAACTAATGTTCTGTAAACTGGCTGGCTTACACGCAGATCACGTGTCCATTTTTATTGCCACTTGAGGGATGTGGTGGTAGGTCATTAGTGTATCTGGTTTAAGCATTGTTCAATATTTTTGTCAGTCTCATTTAACTTTTCATTTGTCATAGAAGTATAAAGAACTTAAACATGTGTAATCAAATTGTACAGATTCCATCTAACCTAATGGCCAGGATAGCTCAGTTGGTATAGTGACAGGCTATAGGCTGGATGTCCAGGGTTCAATTACCGGCATGGGCAAGAGCTTTTTCTATGCTCCACAGCATTCAGACCAGCTCCGGAGCCCACCAAACCTCCTCTCCAGTGGGTACCAGGGGTTCTTTCCCTGAGGGTAAAGTGGCTGAGGTGTGAAGCTAAAGTCATCTCTATCTAGTGCTGAGGTCAAGAATGCTGGAGCTATACCTCCACTCCCCTCACATGCCTTCATGGCATGGTGCTTATTTGATTAAGGACAAAGACAACTTTGCCTTTTTACTACCCATCTTGTAGACATGCAAGGAAGCTCTACGTTGTTTATACAAGTATATGAAATTATAATTTTGTTTTTAATTCAAAGACACTGGTATGAAATTTCAATTATTTTCAGTGTGTGGCCTGTTTTTGCATTCTCACAAACATGGACGGACATCGGGGAAATAATGGATGCCATATTCTTTATCCTTTGATGTTTGACAGCTGGAGACACCAATTACATTTACCCTCCATGCGGAGCAGGGGTGTTCACATATTCTTAGTTAGCCATGGTTTTACTTTATAAGTATATTCTACCCTGCTTAAGGAGTGGTGTGTAGGGATTCCACACAGAATACAAGAAGTGCAGTTTTTTTTTTTTACATTTTGATTAATTTGGCATATTCTGTTTATTTTCATTATGTAATTTATGTGAGTCTCCCATAGAACTGTCTGTGATCTATTGATATTATAAACATGGCATTTATTGTTATCTTAGATTGTGCTGTTCTCTGTATGTTTTCTCCTGTATTTAATTGAATTGGAATAAAGACACTGACAAGTTTTATTTTGTATTCTTTTCAGTCCATTTCTGTCCATTTACAGATGTAAAAGACATTGTTACAGGTAATGTTGAATGCCTTGTGTAGACTAGTTGGCATAATGGTTTAGTTATATGCTGTATTGTAAAGTGCCATATTATTTGAAGTCATGACAGTTTCATCAAACCAGTAGTGCAATTTATCATTAATAAAAAATTAAGATTTCCTTAAAAAATTTAACCTGAATGAAAAAAATGTTAAGATTTTTGTCATGTGTAATATTTATTTTTGATGTGAACTTCATGTCCTGTCGATGTGCTCTCCACAACCCTGTGTCTTCACCCAAAATGGAAACCACTATGAAAGCTTAGAAATCTTTATGAAATGATAAATTGTAGGATTTGAGGTTCTCACAGCAGTGGTTTTGGAGAGTCCTGTTTTCTGCCATGTAGTTGCTCAATGTTTAGAGAAACATGCCCTCTCCAGCTTCACGGTCTAAGGCGAAGCCAGGCAAGAAACCACTATGAAGCAGATAGCAAGAAGAGGTTGACCTTCAACAGACTACACAGCATTATGTCCCAGAAGATAGAACTGTTAATAAATATGTAAGATTTGAGATTTTCACGGCAGTGAAAGCCGTCTTCTGGGATGTGGCACCGTGTTGATATTATATTAACCGACGTTTTGGAGGAATGTATCGCTCCCATCTTCAGGGTTGAAGAAAAATCACTGAGCGAGGAACTAGCATGGGCCCATGCTAGTTCCTCACTCATGGAATGTGTGTATTTTGTGTAAAGGATACATAAAAACCAGAATGTTAGGACAGTGTATTTATCATTTCAAAAACATGTGCTACAGTGCTGCAAATATTGCAAAAGCACACATGACTATCACAGTTTGTACAGACATTTGGATGGATGGGAGAGATCTGCTGGCACTTGTATAGCTGTCCACAATGTGAATCTTCCAGCCCATGTTGGCATGTGTGAAACTGTTATAGTACACAACATCTGGCCACGTTGTGTTGGGTGTCACTTCCAAGATGGCTGGTTCACCTGTAGCAGAATTATTGTCATCAGTGTTTTTCAAAATTTTTTTATAAGTAACTTTAAGTAAAATCAAAATAATATACCATGTATGTATATGGTTTGGCACAACTGTTATGTATAGACTGGGCTCACGTGGCTCAGAATTGGGTAAAATAGCGAGTTTCTGTAAATGCAGTAATGAACATTCAGGTTTTGTAAAAGTAAGGAATTTCTTGACTGGGGTTGTAAGTTACCAGCCTTTGAAGAAAGACACTGTACCATGAAGTTAGTTTTCAAATTATTTCTTGCATAGATATTCTTTTCTTCTCTTCAGTTCTTAGCTGTACCACGTTCCAATAATATATTCTCATTACATGTGCTACCTTATTCAATCAATACAAATACTAGAAGCAGTATGATTTACCTTCATCACACGAGAACACCAGAGAGCGATTGAACTTCTTAAATGTTGGAAAGTCATCATCCAGTCTTCTATCCCTTCCATTGTGCCGTGCAATGCACAAAGGTCCCGCTGAAATACAGTCAATCATTCAGTAAAATCCTACAGCATCAGTCGTTATTAATCAGCACTTTATGGACTTCAAATCTATTTAAGGTTTCTTTTGGATCCAGTGGATTTATTCACTAAAATAAGGAAAATTTTAAATGGAGATTATTTAATAATGAGGTTACTGACTTTGTATCATTGAAACCAAATATTATATAAGAGAAAGCCTTAAATCGAGGAATGTTACATGAAGGTTTCACTGTTTAGTGCAATCATTGCTGATGATGGCAATTTTCTGCTGAAGTGAGTGTGTTCTACCATGGTAAATGATGATTCATGATGTCATAGCTGCGTTTCCTTATCAGATACTATTTAGTTCCCACAAGACATATAGTGATTATAATGAGAGCTCTGGATAACCACTTGCTTTCCCAGTCAGAAGTTCTTGAACTGGTCTCTAACTGACAGTACTTACTCAGCCCACATTTTCAGCCTGAATGGTCCTCTGGCCATTAGCTTAATGTGGTAGGGACATGTACATATCCTGGTCACCCGAGGAGTTACCATAATAGAGGCATAAGCTCGTGGTAGGGTCAGCCATGGTTAACAAGTTGAAAGGTAGGGATAGGACAAAGGTATCCCCTGGTTTTCCAGATTGGGAATTTTGCATGAGATGACAATATTTGTTAAGGAACCTTGAGTTGTTATTTGGAATGAGCTGGCTGGAAGATGTATAGAGAATGATTTACAGGAGCTGAAAATGAAGAAATGGAGGCAAAAGGCAAGTAATATGGAAGAATGGGCTAGGGTTCTTAGATGCTTGTAGAGCCAAGGAATAAGTAAGACCCAAGCATTTTGTTTTTGATATATTTTCTCCATAAATCTGGCAACAAAAATATGCGATACATTTACTGTTTTGCAGTTGCTTACCTGCAGTGGGGCGTGGTTGTCCCCTTCTCGTGAATTCTACACCTGCCAGGACCCTCACTTTTTTCTGAGCCTCTTCACTGAGCCTGTCAAATCCTCCATGAGGTTCGTCAGTTATGATGAAGGGGTGATAAGTCTCAGCACTATGTGGATTATTACCACCATACACTTTGAAAGCATAAGTTAACCCTCTACGCAGCCACAACTCGGGGATTAAGTAACCATTTACATACCATGCCAGTCCAGTGGAAGTCATGCCTGTGAATTATACTTGTTAGTTATTATTTAGCAACATTTAAATGTCCTTTATGCAGTGTGCTCAAAAGGATATCTTTATTTCTTTGGAATGAACTGGCAACCACACTATTAAATGATGCAGACGAGCCCAGAAGACTGAAAAGGCATAAACCAAATGACCTAACAACGCGCTTCATATAAATGCAGTACACAAAATAACAAAGTCACACTCGAAATAGATCCGTAGAGAATGCTCACTGGAGCATTACTCTCCCCAACCTGTTCTCTCTTAGTATTTAAGCTTTAGATTAAGTATCACAAAAGATGTACTTATAGCCCGTAATGGACTGATTGTACAAATACATGGAGATACAAAAAAAATTCTTTAGAAACACTGATGTTTTATGTGAAACAAGCAGATATATGGATGAAATCAGAAGCAATTGACGCAGTGGGATTTTGTCCGGTGGCATGTGCTGATGTTAGTAATTTTGAACCTTTGTTGATAGTAAGAGAAGTGGCTGAATTTGCTATAGAAAGAGGGACAGAGGGACAGAGGTATACCAGATATTTCATCTGCATTGTGACTTTCTCATTTAAGAATTAGTACTAAACAAGAAAGAAAAGGAAATTCCGTATGACCTGGTACTTGGGATTAATTTAAACAACAGTCTTCTACAGTAACACCTTATTCACGAAACTCAGAGTATGAAAAATAATTATCTGTATGGTAACAATGCTGACCTTTATTTTTAAATGTCTGGTTCGAATCCCAGCTGCATCACATACTAATCTGATCAAGGTTTAAGCCTATGCCCTGAGTCCTTGCAGGCAAATGCCACTCTCTTTCAAATTGTCTTGCTTTTTCTTCTTGTTTCATATTTAGGGTGTTATAGATTCAGATCCTGGTCCAGAGATTGGCTATCCTGACTGGGGTCTTTATGCTTTTCCTCAGTCCCTCCAGCCAAATGCCGAGATAGTACAAACTAGGTCACAAACTTTTTCTTCCACATCCTTTCCAATTCATTCTTCACAACTATTCTATCGTTTGATAGTGTACAGTCTGAGCTATTGAAAGCATCATTAAACAAAACAAGAATTCATAATTGTATGAATTGTTATAAATTAACTTATACAGTCACTCGATCAGAAGAACATACATACATACATACATACATACCAGTAATTCCTTGGTAGCCTCTCTTCCCTGCAGATGGTCCTAGAATTGCTGTAAAAGTGCGGATTGTTCGATCAAAAATTTGGCTCTTATCCCAAGGTTCCCTGGAACAAAACAAACAAATAGCAGAAGACAAAGAAGCTATATTTCTTTAAAGAAACTGCAGTATCATCAGCACACCTCAGTTCAGGGCAAATCAGAGAGCTCATGAACATGCCACTTTTCAACATGTTTCTTGTTTATAAAAAGTTCCATCTTGAAAAATGACACTACAAAATTTATGTCTGTTATTCTGTTCCATAGCAATAACTGATGGATAATTGTACCTGTTCATATGAAATCTGGTATAACAGATCATAAACATATGTACATGCCAACAAAACGTTCCAACTTACATAAAAAGAAACAGTTTAATATATGAGTAGTGTCGCTGAAGATTACTACTTAACTATGAAAACACACTTTCCCTGTGGTTTTGGTTCTAATAGGAGACTATACATACAAAAAAATACCTGAAACTCTCATGAGTTCGAGTGAAAGCAAAACAATTGCTTTCTTTCTCCTTTCTGTTCAGTTCAATTTGCACATTACCCTTGGGGTAAACATCATGAAACATGGGTTCCTTGTTATGGTTCAACCGCCCAATAGCCCACACCACATAGGATGATCCTTCTATGGGATATTCCTTGTCTCCAGGATCAGCTGTAAGGACATAGGTATTTGATTAAAAACCAATAGGCCCACAGTAAGTTTACATTAAGGTCTTCTGGGTTGTGATAAAGTGTGATCAGATAGAAAATTGCCAGCATTTCAGATAAACCTGCCTCAGTCTTCAGGATAGGACATGCAGAACACCAAAGAAAATCTTATAAATGTAAATTTTTATTGCTGGCAGCATGACCACTGACATCAATGGAGTAATGCAAGTTTACAGTATGACAGGCATATGTATTTTCACTTAATTCGCTACAGAATTTCAATATGTTTAGGTTTGTCTGCCTGTGGTATCTTTTCGTATAGACTGATCATGAGTTAGTAAGAGTGGGAGGTTACTCCATTATGAGACACATATTCCAAATGCATTCTTTGCTATTTTTAACCCTCATATTCATTTATTGCAGATTAAAGTCTTTTGTTGAAAAGCTAATTGTCAGAACGTATGTTAATATTTTAACTCCAGTTGAATTGAATCTGAACACTGTAACCCTCACATGATATAAGTGTGCGCCGATAAGTAATGATGTTAATACCACTCTCCCGTACAGCAGTGTGTAACTGGTTGTTGTCAATACCTCCAAGGAGCTCATCCTTACAGACACCTTTGTACTGCCCCAGGACTTTCCCACACTACAGAAGACAGACAGAAATTTTACACGTTAATTTACATAGCTGTCAGAACTAAACTTTACATGCAACATGTTTTACTAACTTTGTTTAAATTGCAAATGTGTTGTTAACTGAGCAATCATTAATTTACTGTTATATTTTGCACTTCTATATCATGAAGCCATGATATCCAACTGACTTACACCTGGTACTGTGGAACCTAAAGGTTCATTATCACTATATATCATCGTTGAATGGTTGGCATTCCTGCTTCATATTGAAGAGGTCCCACCTTCATTTCTCAGCCTGAAGGCTAGCTATTGTGACAGACCTTCATGTGGTTTTCAAAAGTACTTCCACATTAATGTGGAGATAGTACATTAAAATAAGCAACAGCTGCATACATATATTAATGACATTGTAATAGTGGTTTCCTAAATGTTGATCATGTCCTTATGAAGATGGTTAACGCAACCGAAAAATGGTAAGGAAAATGAAACATTGAAATACAACTTTTATAAATCAATCACACTGGACAGTGCTATGAGTCAATTTATATTAGAAATTCCACATTTGGTGACACGTGTTTAATGAATTATTAATTTCTCTTGGAATTTAAGCTGAGACTCATTTTAAAATAAATGGTTAGAGAGAAATGCTGTCTGTGTTTCACATTTTGGTTACGTAATATGTGCATAGGCATTATTATTTCTTCACTAATTTCCAGGCTAATTTCTGTGTTAAGATCACAGTCTTCTGAGATATGAATGGTGTAGCCTGACAGATAGATGCAAAAGTGTTAGAGGAACGTGGCCTATCCGACGTTAAGACAGCAGGTTCCACCAAAATGTTGGTGCTATGTAGCCTGAGCTACCAACATTGTAATTAAATAAATCATACATAAATAAATTTCATAATGTTGCTGATAAAATTTATATACTAATATAATAAATACACTGTTCTTCAGTAGTTACTATAGGATTCTGACGATGGATAAAGTCCAAAAACCTAACATATCACTGTTCTTCAGTGTTATGTCTTTGATGTAGCAACTTACTGGAGCTTTAGCTGTGATGTTGTAATCAGTAGCATAACCCAAGTAGCCATCTATATATGCGATCGCAACATCAGAACCAATCATTTCACTCTTGTTTTCAGCAGCACTCAGCCCAAAAGCCATGTACTCATCTTCAGCTACAATGAAAGTTCAAGAAGAACAGTGATGTATTCAGTTGTATTCAGATTCACTTTCCACATGCACCATCACATGTTTGGATACTATGTAGCTTCCATTGATAAAATCACATTTAGTGGTTCATTCCTGTACTCTTCTCTGCCTATAATTTATTTTGTAAATAGTAAAGTCAGAACTTGTCTGAGGCCTAATCACAACACCATAAAGGAGTGTAGGATGTATGACCATATAGCTCCACATATTCTAGACTTTGACACTAACAGATGTGAGTAGTTGGCTTCATGTTTGGCTGTCTGCCACCAAGGAAATACCTGCTAATACTGAGTGGATGGAAGGCTGGGTTGGTCCCAGAGCCAATGTGGATGTGGTAAGGAGAATAAGTCCAGCCTCTGCTGTGAATTTAATCCAAGTTTTGAAGCCAGTAGCCAGTTATTGAGCTGTCTGATTTCCTACTTTCGTTACAAGAAATTTGTTTCTTTATAAAACATTTTTCTGATTGAGAAGTTTCTGTTGGTAGAATAGATCTGCATAACATTTGTGATAAAAAGTTCATTTCAATTAAACTTCTCCTTATATGGGGGGTACATGTTCACAGTGGAAAGTTCTATGAATGCTCCCTTTAGTTTTATCATGTCTTCACGTCCATCTGTCATTATGTAACAACCAATGAACTGCTGTTTCAAATTTTCTGTCATCTGGTAACAGAAATGGACCCTTTACATAAAGATAAATGGCATAGATCTTTACATCCTTATTAGAAAGTTACTAGAATCTATTCTGAACATACAGTGGGAACCAATATCATTATACCAGAGATCTCATTGAACACACAGGATATTTTTTCATACAGTTGTCTGCACAAATGTTGAAAATTTGAAGATGTTTTAGACAGACAATAACTTACAGTTATTGAGTTCTTCGGCATTATCCATCAACCTGTTATTTTAATAAGACAATAACTTGTTAAGTTACACATTATATACTGTGGAACACTGGAGGAAGTTTAAGAGGTACATATTTCAGTATGATAAAAATGTAAGGCAAAGCTATCTCTTTAACAGGCCATGGAGGCCCATTTATGAGAGGCTGAGGCTCCCACATTTCCTAGACGGTTGGCTCACAGATGGCAGTGAGATTGTCAGCCTTACATGCTGGCTGCCCTTTACCCCTCAGTAAAATTCCCCGTACTCATTTCTGTTAGGGGCTGAGTTGACCATAGGGCCATAGTGCGGCTGGAAGGATTAGGTCAATTTAAGAATCCAGTGGCCTCATTGGGACTTGAACCCATTACCTTCCAGCTTGTAACATAGTGCCTCAACAAACTATGCTACCATGTACGCCTTTTGTATGATAAACTATAATAATTCTCTGGTACTTGAACCATCAAGTTAAATACTGGTAATATCAAATCCAATGCTGGACACAAACGTCAGATAATTCCATCCACTTTCCTAGTTCCGTAAGTTCTTTCTTAACCTTGTAACATGTTTAGACTAACTGCATGGTACTCACCAACTTGCCCAGCAAGTTGAATGGTAATCTGAGGACCAAATATCTCCCAGCTCACTTGAATGTCTTTGTGTAATTGGAAACAGTTTGGCAGAGCATTTGTGTGCGGCTGAAACAGAAATATAAAGCATTCACACGAAGAAAGTTTTATGCTTGTTAATCTGCACCAACTTCCGCTTTGCAACAGTACACAACTGCAATGTGTATTCCTAAAAGTAATGTAATATGCAGGACATGTCTTGCAACTTGCTTACTAGTGATTAAGACTTTTCTTTTGGACTTTTTCTTAGGTAGGCCAATGGTTTAGGACTAGTTCTGCTAGGAAGTCAAATGAGTATGTCTTTTGTTCACCTGACGAAGGAAATAGAACCAGTTTCCAAAATGTAATAATTTAAAAAAATTGGATGATGGACAAAGTATAAAAAGATTCTCTAAATCAATGTGTCACACAATCATAAGAAGCTTTAATCTTAATTCGTGTGTACTAGTTTTCTGACAGCACAAAACCTAGCGATACTTCCCTCTGTGCAGCACATCTGTCTCCTCATCATACTGTCATTAAGATGAAGCAACTTTTATATCCTTTAAATAATCTGTTTCTTTCTTCCTGTTTAAACTTTTACACCAAGCTTTGCCACATACCTCTCTGCTAGGAATGCCAATGCTGCTTGTGTGTAAATGGAATTTCACAGAGAAACCTACAATTCTTGCTCATATGACCTTTAAGTGATCAGAGATATGAATCCTGTGGAAGTTTGTTATTTCTTCCATATATCACCAATAATGGAAGAGGTTGAAAATACAATAGAAAAATGAAGAGTAATAAATCTGCTAGCAGAACTATTAAAATTATTAAAGAAATGGTCAATGATATCATTCTCCAAGTATGGCTAATGGAAGGAATCCCTAAAGACTGGAGGAAAAGCATTATCTGCCTAATACATAAAAAAGGGAGCTCTAATGGAATGTCATAACCATACAGGGATAAATATTTTAATTATAGCACTATTTACAGTTGCTGGTATACAAACTAATGGCACAATATTTTATAAGTCTGTCCAGTTACTTGCATGTGCAGATGATACAACATCATAGCAGGATCCCAACCCTCACTTAAAGAAGACTTTCTCAGACCAGAAGGTGCAGCAACAAGAATGGGATTAAGAGTAAACCAAAGAGATACAAATTATATGATTAGAAGTCAGAATGCAAAACAAAGTTAAAATATAACTATTTGTAATTATACTTTTGAAGTAGTACATTTAAATATCTTGGGTCCTCTGTCAATTATAATATTGATATTAGTCAGGATATTAAGGAATTAATTTTGATAGCTAATACATGTTTTTCTGGATTAAAGAACCAAATAATGTCACATGTAGTACTTTCGTTGGATAATAAAATCATATTATACAAGACAGTAATTAGGCCAGTCCTGACATACACATTGGAATCATGGATATTATCTATGTCTGGTAAATAAAAGCTCTTTATATCTTTGAGTTCACATATGGCCCAATCGAAGATGACAAGGAATGAAGAATCAGATGCAATTATGAATTGTAAGCTTTGTATGAGGGTGTGGATATTATAACCTTTATAGAAATGGGTAGGTTGAATGGGCTAGCAATCTTCTGCAAAAAGTGTTCTTAATGCCAAACCAGAAGACAATAAAAAAAGGGGAAGGCCTAAACTGAGATGGGAAGATGGAGTGGATGGTTATGTTAAAGCTCTGGGGGAAAGAAACTAGAAAAACATAGCCATGAATAGATAAATCTGGCAGAATCTTCTAAGGAAGGCTATGGCCCAAAAAGGCTGTTTTTCTATTGATAATGATGATCGGTATATAACACCTAATGCCTTCTTTATTGTTAGAAATGCTGTACTAAGTGAGTAACATGAAGCCAATCTTCAACTGTTACAGTTTCAGGGTAAGTGTGTCAAGACTATCTAATCACCTTGTGGTGTGCAATGGATAACTTCTTTCTGGTTCTAGACTAAAATTATATTGCAAGTCCATTGTATTGTTACTATACGAACCACAACTTTAACAAGAGAGGGAGGCACATTCAGACCATCTGGGATGATCACAGATCCATAGTTCTGCTTGCTCTCAACATCAAATATACTGAACCAGTCAATTTCAAAAATGGTCCATTCCCCTGGAAGCTGAAGTATAATGTCTTCTTTGCTGTATGTTCGCAGAGGGTCAAGACTGTTGGCATAGAATAATATTTGATCATGTGATACAACATTGGTGTTCATATAACAACCACAATTGCCTTACAAGAATTTTTAAAACTGCATATTGTGTTATAAAATTCCCTTCTTACCATGAATTTCAGTAAATAATTTTACTTTTTAAGATCATGTTTTGCTGTCAAATACTCTTTACAACACAAACCAAGAAGTTCAACTACTGTGTTTGTTTTTCACATTCTTCAGATATTACCTAATCAAAAGTTGCATATTTTTTTAGCATATGCTACAACACTAAATTTCAGCATCATACATTAAATGAAATTAATGTTCCTTGCACTGCATAACATCATGCAGTATTCATAGATAGCAGCTTGCAGGAAACTGCACGTATTTGTTTCTTTCACTAGACTGCTTTCATCCCATAGCTATTTGAAGCTACTGTGCACATTTTCTGATATCAAGGTATGAAAAAGAATATCTAGAACAAGGATCACATCAAATATATAACAACAAAAAAGCAACAGTAAAGCAGAAAACTTACTATCCATATTCATCTGGAACTTTGGTGCCTTTAGAAGAAGGCTGTGGTCCAAGTCCAACCCAGAAGTATGTATCTGCAAGGTATACAAAAAAGCACTCTTCCAGTTGGTTTGTTTGATTATGAAGTGTACTCTCTTATTCTAAAGGAAAAAAGTAATATGCATTTATATGTGAGCTGCTAAATAAGGGACTGCATGCCAAAAAATGTTAATACTGATTTTAGTGGTGTAGGTTGTAAGGATGGGAATGGATGAAACTGGCTCAGGATCATGTTATGGCTTTAGTGTTACTGTTGGAACTGCAGAATATATTTAGCTTCAATTAAGACAGCTCATCTCAGGGCTAAAATTCAAACCAAAAATCTCTTGAATATGAAGCAGGAACACTACCTGTTCAACTGAGATAATGGTGCCTCGTTAAGATGATTACATAAAGATCAATGTAATAAGCACATCATTGTAGCATGCATAGCAGAAACAAAAATGGTACAAATTTGATTTGGAAAACCATATAGAAAGTCATTTGGGACAGTAAGATATAATATTATATACTGATATATGGAGGAAAGAACAAGCTTCCATGCTACCAAAATCTCTGGCCAATTGATAGAAATCTGCAGGATTGTGGAGTTTTGTGCACAACAGGTTTACCCCCAAGCAGGCATGGCAATTTTAGCAGTCAAATAGATACTAGGTCCTAGGCTGTGAATTTGTGAATTCGATTGAACTCAGTTGGGATAGGGCCAATTACGCACTTTTACAGCAATAATGGTGAACCTTTGGATTCAATAAAAATGGAGTTATTTTTTAATATCTGAATATCAATTACTGAAGGAAGGCCTTGTACCTTAGTGTTGGTTAGTGGACAGAACTTAAAAACACATGAAAGATTCTTACCTTTTCCTCCACCATTATACGTAAACTGTGATATCTTTATTGTCTTTGCATCGATAATCTCGATGGTTTCTGACTCCACATCATGGGAGTGACTTGTGAGCCTTGAGATCTTCTGGGTTGTGGGTGGCTCAAATTCTTCTGGTATGTAGACATCTCCGAAAGTGTTCTGACTTGAGAGGTCGTACACAGCAAACCACTTGATTTCAGTGATTTTCTTGTTGTCAGGTAAGGTCAGAGTGAAGTCTTTATTAAAATAACGGTCCAATACGTTTGTCCTGTAGGACAGAAGCCATTTTCTACAGGAAATACGTGTTTTATAAACTATGACCTCCACTGTTTCTGTTGTGTTTCTTGAATAAAGTGCTTTTTGGTGAGGGATCATCTGTCTATTAATTTCATATTTGAATGAAGTTTGATGAAGTTTCGAATTAGTTGTCTACATTGTCTGGAGAATCTAATTTTGATTCATATTGACATAATAAGACCTCTACTTCACATGAAGCTCAAATTGTAATGTCATTGTGAATTTTCCAAAGAAATGGCACAATGCAAAAACACCTGATAATAATATAAGTAGCAGGAGTTATTAAGATTTACAAATTTTATTTGAAATATTTCTGATATATGTATGTAGGTTCAAGTATAGTACTTTACTACATATTTCGACTTTCAAGAAGCCATCGTCAGGTAAAGACATTTAAAAACTTTTTACCTATTGAATTGAATGCTAATTACACGATGTAGTATTAGATTAGTTTTTAAGTGTATTTACCTGATGATGGCTTCTTGAAAGCCGAAACATGTAGTAAAGTACAACTTGAAACTACATACATATATTATTAATTGTTGTGTTCTGACGGCTTTCAATAAAGAAATATATATACACAACAGGTTGCCTTCACTGAAAATTTATTTGAAACATTTCTGATATGTTGAATATTTAACTCAGTGTATGATGAAGTAGTTTACAACTAAGCAGTGTACTTGTCATGTTACTGACTTTGTGGCAAAAGTCTGATTCTGCAGTATGTGAACATCATGATCATGGGGGTACATAAAATCACAAAAAATACATTTGTGTATAGCGTAAATGGGCCTTCATTCTGCAAAATGTTTTATCATTTCAGTATTGCACTATTCAGTTCCCAAGGCAAATATTTATAAACACAATATATATTCACATGAACCTATATTCTTATATGTTTTCTGGAATAGCATAGTGAGTGGATGACTAGGGTTTGATTCCCAGCATGATAGGTTCACTGATAGCAGATTGGCTCTGGTGCCCAACCAACCTTCTATCCAGTGGGTTGGGAGCTCTTTCCCAGGAGTAAAATGTCCAAGGTATGAACCTGACCACTCAAAATTCAATCTAATTCCAAGGATATGCATGCATGGAGTTGTACTTCCACTTCTCCATATTTCTTCATGGCATGGTGTTTCATTATGCATAGGGAGAGTTTTATATTTAGCTAATTACTCACTAATGGAGCTGAGCACTTCTTGAGAAGCCGCCAATTCTGCAGCTACTCAAGAATTTCCCAGCATTTTATGGAACCCAAAGTTTCATCACTGTGTTCACAGAAGCCTTCCACTGGTCTCTATCCTGAGACAGATCAATCCAATCCATACCATCCCATCTTCCCTCTCAGGTCCATTTTAATATTTTCCACCCACCTACACCTTGGTCTTCCCAGTGGTCTCTTTCCTCCTGGCTTTCCCACAACATCCTATATGCATTCCTCTTCTCCCCCATTTCTGGTACATGCTCTGCCCACTTCATCCTCCTTGACTTGTTCATTGTAATTATATTTGGAGAAGTACAAGTTATGAAGCTCCTGATTATGCAGTTTTCTCCAACCTCCCATCACTTCATCTCTTTTCAGTCGAAATATTCTCCTCAACATCCCCTTTTCGCAAACACCCTCAGTCTATGATCCTTAATGTCAGAGACCAAGTTTCACACCCATACAGAACCACAGGCAAAATTATATTTTATATTTACATTAATAATTAATACTGACAGTAGATAAATCTTAGCCTCTAAGTCTTTAAGTACCAATAATATTACACTTACTTTCCATATTCATCTGGAACTATAAAGCCTTGTGGTCCTGGACGGTTCGAAGCACCTGCCCAGAAGAATGTGTCAGCTCCATTACCATCATAGTTGAAGTTTGTGAGCAGAAATGTGTACTCATCTACAGCATAAATGTCACCTGTCACCTGGTGATGATAAGAATTAATCTTGCCAAGGTACTTCCCCTTGTATACCTCCGTATCCTCTGAGATTACATTGTTTACTGTTAAGACAAAAGAAACATAAATAGACCAGGCACAAATAAGTTTGACTGTTAGTTTGCCACTGTATCCTGATAAGTACATTCTAATGCTTGCAAATCAAAAAAATCCACTGTGCTATATAAATATATAATCTTCATGTCACTGCAGACATGTCTCTAAATATGGCCAAGATTTGGTCTCTTTCATTTTATGGGGATTCTGAAGTAATGAAACTTAAAGAAATTCAGATAATTATTATTTTGTTATTTCTGGGTGATTCTGATAATTAATATTGCTGATTATGGATAACTACTCTTTCTAGCAATGAAACTGAAAGAATTTGGTTTACAGTTCATCTGTTCACTCCCCCTGCAAAGCTGTAAGGCTATCAAGGAACTTATAATCCATAACTTGTTTTCTTACTTTATTAACGCACGAACCTCACAGCCTGCATGTGTTATTAAATTCTTGGAACAATGCACTTATTTGACTTGTTCGTAATTCCAAAATAACATCATTAAGGTACAGCTGTTCTTGTACTTAATTAGTTAAGCACTATGTCATGAAGACATGTGGGGGAGTGGAGGTATACCGCCACCTTTCTTGACCTTGGTATTAGATAGATGTGAGTGGTCAGCTTCACCCCCATGCCACTTTACCCTCAAGGACAGAGTCCCCGGTACCCATTGGATAGGAGGCTGGGTGGGTTCCAGAGTAGGTTTGGACACTGTGGAGATGAGAAAAATCTTGCACTCCCGGGAATCGAACCCTTGCCCACCAACCCATAGCCCCTTCGCTATACCTACTGAGCTACTCCGACTACTAAAATAACACTATAACATTATAAATGGAAACGTGTATATGACGTCATCTTAAAGTATCACAGTCATCGGATATGTCATCACGTTCGTCATAATTGAAACCGTTAGGCTATAAAGTGATATGTAGATCGAGTTCAATAAACGAGCATCACGTACGCATGGTTCCAGTTTAAGACGACTATGTGTTATGTTCTTGCATTGAAATCTCCGAACTTACAGTAAAAATTATGGGTTTTACACTTTTTTACTTCACTTTCATTCATTTCTGTTACCAATCTCGTCGTTACTTTGTATACGCATTGTATAGATAAGCAATTTCGACATTTGTGTTAGATTAATGAATTGTTGTCAACAATGTCACCTTGTTTTGTTGGCTAATCATATAATTTTATCCAAATTTTCTTCTCATTCGTGATATGTATTCAACACAAAGACAAACAGAAACTGGAACAACAGCAAACTTCTCGAAAGCTACGGAGCCGACATTGGTGTAGAATGCTAAATAATTTCTTCCAGCTCAACAAACCATCGTTGTATGGCGAACAGTCTTACCTAATAAAAATATATTCAACACACTGAATAATATTCGATGTTTAAATCTCATATTTGGCATGAATGAATGGAAAAGAGCATTTCTTCTTGCCGTCTTGATGTTCCAGCTGTTCACTTATCCACAGACTCTCAGACTGACACTTCCACACCGCAAGACTTGGAACAAGACGCACAAGGATTATACTGCCGAAACTCATAATGCCCTTCAAATCTGTAGTCCAGTCTCAATTATTTAGAATGAAACGAAGACACACTTGAATATTCATATAATAAGAAAAGCATCAAAAGCTAAGAGATATTAAGCAATAACAAATATCCGTTATTCTGATTAGGGCTTATTTCATATTCCAACCAGACAAACCTTCTCTGGCTTTGCCAGAAGACAATCATCAAATGATTGGTATGTCTCAACATTCAGTTATCCTATGTCAAAACAGTCTGCGTATAGGGATTATTTTCATTACATTTTTAAGTAAAGATCTTGATAACCACCCTGATAATTTAGTTGTAAGCCTTATGAATTATTATCCAAGGTTTCGTACTATTAAATTTCCCACTTTGTTCCATATTCTTTCTAGTCCTACATTGAAATTTATAATTTTTATCTAGGGTTGTGATTGTGAATTCTTAAAATATTATATTCTTGTGCAAAAATAAGTTAAAGTAAGGATTAATTGTTGTAGAATCACTGGGGGTGGCTGTACTTGAAAGGCAGTGACATATCATTTACAGAAATCATATAAAACATGACAGAATAGTGAGTATAGTGACTGGCTGCAAAGTGGATGGCTGGGGATCGACTTCTTATAGCCACGTTTACAAATTTCCTTCTTCACCGCCGCGTCCTGAACAGCTCTGGGGCCCACTGGTCCTTCTGTGGAGTTAAAGCAACGTGGTCTCACGCGGTAGCATAGCTGGTTGAGGCACTATGCTACAAGCCGGAAGGTCGCGGGATCGAATCCCGATGAGGTGGATTTTTTCAATTTTCCTAATCCTTCCAGCCGCACTATGGCCCTGAGGACGACTCAGACTCTAACAGAAACAAGTACCAGAAATATTCTTTGGGGTAAAGGGCGGGCGGCCCGTAAGACTGACAACCTTACCCCTATCTGTGCGATTGTCTAGAAAATGTGGGAACCTCAACAACTCACAACTCTATGAGCCTCCACGGCCGGTTACAGGGAATTTACTTTTACTTACTTTTTTTACTTCTCCGTCTACTGCCAATGCCATTAATGAAAGTACAGTCACACTTCTTACAGTATGAACATTCTAACTGCAATATATGCACTTCTGCATTATAAGTACGACGCCCACATTTTTTCCTTGGCATTCCTTTTGTTCTGCGAAGCTGTCGACCGCCACCAATCAGGCCCCGTGTCCCCTCGTCATTTCGTTTATCCCTTCGTGTCCACAATCAGGTCACTCACTCTCCTTGGTCAGTACCGAACTGGATAAGATTTCTCACGTTAGCACTGGCTTAGGAATTCGCTACGAAAAAAAAAACCTGAATGGTATGCGATAAATAAAAAACTATTGCTATCAGAGTTTTTCACCTTGATAACAATTCATATTGTGACCTTCTGGGCTATAACAGCGCGTAGTGTGGTAGGTAGGTATCAGAGTTTTGGAGGAACACACATCTACTGCATCCATCTTCAGTGTACATGAGAGTCAATTAACATTACTCTTATTATACTTCCTTCCGACTTTCCTGGAGTAATTGGCCCCTGCGAGGGCATAAGTGTCCTGTTGGTTCGGACTGGCCACCCATCTCCTCCGTGACTCGTTTCCTTTTCCTTCCACTTCTCTATAATCAGCAAATTTCCACAAACAGCTCATTTGTACACTGAAGTTGGAGGGAATATGTTCTTCTGAAACACTTGTACCCATCTACCAAAGATTTCAATGTTATAACACAGAATACCACAAAAAATGCATGGATACTAACTGACCAACTCCACGGAGCTCAGCCCTTCTTGAGAAACCGCCAATTCTGCAGCTACTCAAGAACTTCCCAGAATTTTACGGAACCAGAAGGTTCATTACCGTGTTCACAAGAGCCCTCCACTGGACTCTATCCTGAGCCAGATCAATCCAATCCATCCCATCCTATCCTATCTCTCCAAGATCCACTTTAACGTTGGCCACCCACGTATTTCTTGGTGGTCCTAGTGGTCTCTTTCCTTCTGACCTACCCACCAATATCCTAAATGCATTCCTCTTCTTCAAATTCGTGCTACATATCCTGTCCACCTCATCCTCCTTGACTTGATCATTCTAATTATACTTGGCGAAAAGTACAAATTATGAAGCTCCTCATTATGCAGTTTTCTCCAACGTCCTGTCACTTCATCTCTCTTCGGTCAAAATATTCTGAGCACCGTCATAAAGTAAAGTAAAGCTATCCCTTTAACAGGCCGGGAAGGCCCATAGGGTTGTGAGACGTTGAGGCTCCCACATTATCTAGACAATCGGCCCAAAGATGGCGGCAGGGTTGTCAGCCTTACGCGCCGGCCGCGCTTTACTCCCCAGGAAAATTAATTAATTAATTGCTGGTACTCATTTCTGTTAGAAGCTGAGTCGACCCCGGGGCCATAGTGCGGCTACAAGGATTAGGTCAACTAAAAAATCCAGTGACCTCAATGGGACTTGAACCGCGGCCTTCCGACTTGTGCACCGTCATAAATGAATCAATAAATAAATATATATATAAATAAAATTATCACCGTGTCTGACCTCACACTAGTGAAGTTGCTGTCATTTTGCAGCTTCACGCTCCTGTCACTTTACTTCTAGAAATGAACTCATAGTACCCACTAGAAAGCAAGCAGTTTGACGCCAGAGCCATTCAGAACGTGGTGGTGGAGGGGAAAGGTTCGAATGGCTCAACCTGGAACCGAACCCTCCACCACGATGTTCGATCCATGCATTTCATTGTGCCTATAGCAGTACAGAAACGGGTGATCATGTGAGGCTGGGCCGATCTGCGCCTGCAGAGAAGGGAACACTGGTCGTCAGGCTGGTAACCAGTCATTTTACTGGATTGACATGCAACACTAACTCGCACATGACAGCTGGTTTACGGGAAACTGAATTTCATATATCGGGCCTAACCGGTTCAGATGTTCGGTATGTGTTGGCGGAGAGTGTGCCGTATCCATGGAGACAATCTGAAAACAAGACGCCATATCGCTAGCAAGTACCACCACCACTCATTTTCGACAGGGTAAGAATAAGACAAACCCTCTTAATATTCATGTCTTGATTGTTAGAGAATCATAATTGTATATATGGAGCACAAAGCAAGACAGGTTCAAGCCATATTTTACATACAGGTTATGAATAATATTAATAAATCTTGTAAAGTTTAAGAAGATCACTGTCTTCTGAATATGACGACTTGCAGTCTGGTGGAAATTTACCTACGTTTCGGAGGAACATGATATTTCCATCTTCAGGATAGAGAAGTAAGGTTTTATCAGAACACACAGCGTTACGTTCCATAAGACAGTAGTTATGAGACACACCACCTTGAGGTACTCAAATGTGAAAACTACTTGTCTCTGTGAAAGTACACTGTGAGAAACTGAAGCCTAAACGGTTGTTGTTGTTACTGTTATGATGATTATTATCACTGTTACTATCTGTACAAACTCCATTACCTAATTTTAATATGGGGCATACACAGGTGGAAGATATAGGTTATGATAATTTCGTAAAAGTTAAGGTAAGGTAAAGGTATCCCTGTAGCAGGCCATGGAGGCCCATAGGGTTGTGAGACGTTGAGGCTCCCACATTTTGTAGAGAATCGGCTCACAGATGGCGGTGAAGTTGTCAGCCTTACACGCCGGCCGCCCTTTAGCCCCAGGAATATTTCTGGTACTCATTTCTGCTAGAGGCTGAGTCGATCCCAGGAACATAGTGCGGCTGGAAGAATTAGGTAAATTGAAAAAATCCACCTCATCGGGATTCGATGTCGCGACCTTCCGGCTTGTAGCATAGTGCCTCAATCAAGTACGCTACAGCGTGCCCCATGATAATGCGTACTGGCTTGAAATGCCTGAACACAAAATTGTGAACTGTAGTGTCGACGCAGATTCTTGATAGTTCCTGTGACATTGCACAGAATTTCTTGAAGCGTTGCAGTTGTTTACATTTATTTATTTGTCGATGTTTAACGGCGCTGAAGGGGACTCACACAATGTGACATCCAATGGGAGGGTGAAAAGCGAATGCCGAATTAGGAAGGAAAAGACATTGGCCTTAATTTGAGATACTATCCCATCATTTTCCTGCAGGGACTGAGTAAAACTAAGACGAAGAACAGTGAAGAGCACCGGTCTTCGGGCCCAGGACTGAACCAGACATCTCTGCAAAATGAAACAGGAGTGTTACCCGAACGCAACATTCTGTAGTTTTATTATTGATATTGTATTGTTTTGTTTTTCCTTCATCTGCTTAATGCGTACCTCAAGGTGCGATGGAGAGCACCGTGCCTACGCTGCGGGTCCTATGTTCCACTTCTTCCTCCATAACTTTTTCATGGGACGAGGAAGAAGGACCTCCTTGCGGCAAAGATAAGGACATCTGTCGACCGAGGTACACAGTACATATCAAGGACAGGCTCCAGGGCTGGATCCCTGTCTACTGGTACGTCATCTCCATTTATGAAATCACATAAACTCCATATACCTTGCGAACGAGTATTCGTCATCGTCAGTTGGTGACGTAGGTTGTTACGTCATCATTACAAAGTTACTGAATTCTGTTTTCAACATATGTTCGGTATTTTTATAAGAGGCAATCTGCTCCGCTCCACTTTCAAATGAATTAATAAGTATCAAGGTTCCATCAAGTGAAACGATTTAATATTTAAAAAGCCTATATATATTTCGGCCATTATTGGACAGCGTTCGTTTTATATCTTAACTACATGACGGTAAAAAGCTAAGTTATCCCTGTAACAGGCCGTGGATACCCATGCTTTCAATAAATTTTTATACCAAGTGAAGTAATTTAATTTTATGATGATACAAATTACTTGATAACAAAATATAAAGTTACTATTTTCTATTTAAAGGGGGTTTCGAACGAAATGTGAGGTAACTGGACTTGGACCACAGGAGTGCTACCATTTTAGGCTTAAGGTTACCACTTCTGAAAGAGACGGCCCATGGAGCCCAGAGCTCGCCGCTACAACAAAAGGTAACTGTTACCAGTTTTGATGTCGAACAGATCACATGAAGATACCTCGCTGAGGTATCAACTGTCTGTTACAACTAGTGCACAGAAGCCTCCTTTCTCAATTAAGCAGTCCGTGAGACACCAGTCATTAATATCTGACCCAACAACAACATGCACGGTGGGAGGCATCCTTACCCCACACACCTGTCCTTCAGTTCATTGCCCCTGCACCTAACACAGAGAAGTTATGCAGTTCCGGCATACAACAATGCAGTCTTCATTCACTTGAAGACGCGCGTGTGAACCCAGTTAGTCATCAGCGCAAGAAGCACATGTTCCCGTTGCAAGCACGAACCTACTTTTCCACTGACTACGCAAGTCCATTCATACGGGTTTCTAGATCCAGTTATTCGACCAAGACTTTCCCTTCTCCAACTTTCCGTTTGTGGAGTGCAGGAAATCGGTATATTTATTCATAAATACTCGCTAAGTACGGTAAGGATTTATATCCACCCTGTACTGAGCAAGTTCGTGGTACGTTCCAGTTGTGGGGGGTTTCGTGACTCTCTTCGAAGTCCCGCAAACAAATGCCCGGACAGTACATCAGAGAATATATGATCTAGGATTGCAGGTTCGAATCTCATTCGCTTCTTGGGTAAATGTCCGGTTTTCTTTGTATTGTACAACGTAGGTAGAGTTCTCGTCAAATGCTTGAAGATTAAATTTCAGACTGAGTTCTGAATTGGTACAGAGCATTGGTATTTTTACCTTGCAAATGTAACATAATCATTTTAAGTTTTGGTGGAAATTAATGATTTTGCCTCACATTTACTCTCTTATATTTGATTTGTTTTAATTGAACTCGGAACCTTCATGGACCCTAGTTCAGTAATTTCGTTTGTTGTTCAGGTTGTATTGTATGAAGTTATGGTCGATTTGTGGGATATATATATTTATATTAGATAAATCAAAGTAAAAGACAGTCAGTTAGTAGGTCTTGGTGTCGAGCCTCATCTGCGGCTCATTACCAGATATTTATTGCTGTTTGACAGTTACGGTCTTGTTTTTGTGGGGCGCACTCTCTGACGAGAGGACGGGTCTGTCATTTATTTATGCTGCTGGTCCTTGCCAGCGCCCTCTTCCTCGGATCCGAGTCCCTTGGAACTCGCAACTATATTTTACTGTCTTATATTTGATACTTTCCTTTTCGTCGCCTCCTACGACTCGCAGAGTCACGGTGGAGGTATCGGCCAGCCTCCACACGGGATTAAACATATTTATGTTAGAAAAATTATTTTATAGCAGACTCTTATTGTTGTCAATAAAAAGAACATAAGTTTGATAGTAATAGAGATAATATATTCACCGATCTCATTCGAAACCATGTTGAATTGCCACGAACTCAAAGAAAACAGAAACGAAAGACAACCTAACACACAAAAATGAAGAAATTAAATCTGTTGATGAAGAAAAAAGGTAATTAAGCTCATTTACAATATGTGAATTTATTTTGTTTGCGTACATTGAATACAATCAGATCCTTCACATCTACAGCTCCAAATTCTGAACGCCATTTTATGTCCTGGCGTATCCACATGAAACCGAATGCTACCAAATTAATTTCTTGCTTTAAGATTGGTGTAGTATGGAAAATAAGACGTCGAGCAAAGAAGCCAATCTGCACGCTGCCACAAGTTACCAGTTTCTGCACATGTAGTGTGCTTTAGTGCCTGTTGGTACTGCAAACTCTCTTGCAGGCGAATAAGAATATATACACAGCCTTAGAGGCCACGATATTACGCGAGTAACTATTTCATCTCCTTGGAGCAGGTCTTGTAAATTGATACTGTGATGCTGTATACCCATTCCTAGGTAACGACTCGGTAAACATATTCCCGCGAAGCGTACCCATGGAACAGAAGGATGTCCATTTCTAAGTAACGGAGCAGTAAACATGTCTCCTTAACAATAAAGGTTATGTTTCCTGTGTTCCGTGCCGAGGTGTTATAAATTCACTCATAAGCCTTTCAAATGTTAGAGGCATCCGTGTGGAGGCGGAGTCGAATACCTCCACCGTGATCCTGCAAGTCATAGGAGGCGACGAAAAGGGAGGTCTCAAATCTGAGACAGTAAAATATGGTCACGAATCCCAAGGGACTCGGACCCGAAAAAGACTGAGCTGGCAAGAGCCAGCAGCATATACAAAATACAGACCCATCCTCTCGTCAGAGAGGGCGCCCCAAGAAAAGAATACTGTAACTGTCAAACAGCAATCAATATCTGGTCATGAGCCCCAGATGGGGCTCGACACCAAGAATTACTGACTGACTGACCGTCAGTCTCAATGTGACTTTCACTTTGACTTCAAATGTTAAAATCCGTGTGTAGGCAGGGTCGAATACCTCCATCATGACCCTGTGACTCATAGGAGGCGACGAAAAGGGAGGTCTCAAATCTGAGACAGTAAAATATGGTCGCGATTCCCAAGGGACTCCGACCCGAGAAAGACCGCATAGCAAGGGCCAGCAGTGTATGCAAAAGACGGACCCGTCTCTCGTTTGAGAGGGCTCCCCACAAAAACAGGACCGTAACTTTCAAACTGTAATAAATATCTGGTCATAAGCCCAAGATTGTGCTTGATACCAAGACAGACTGACCGACCGTTAGTCGCAATGTGACTTTGACTTTGACTTCCAGTATTAATACCAAACTTCATTCTGATCATCTGCTTCTGAATTTTTCTTCTCTGCCCATAACAACGTCCATGCCCTGACCTTTTACTTTTTGCTTCCTAAAGCCTTAACCTCAAGAGCCGGGATAGCTCAGTCGGTATAGTGACTGAGCTACAGGCTGGACGAATGAGGGGTCAGAGCTCGAGTCCCGATACGGTCAAGAATTTTCTCTTCTTCACATCGTCCAGACCCGCACTGGGTCCACCCAACCTCCTGTTTAATGGGTACTTGGGGCTCCTTCCCCGGGGGTTAAGCGGCCGGGGCGTGAAGCTGACCACTTGCCACCGGCTAATGCCAAGGTCAAGAAAATGTGGATCTATACATCGACTCACCTATATGCCTTCATGGCATAGTGCTTAATTACTTAAACACAGTGACAGCTTTACCTTTTGAAAGCTTTATCACCTTTTGAGACATACCCCTACACGAAAGTGAAGAGGGTATTGTCTGGGAACCTTCAAAGCCAGAAAATTTTTCTGTCCCCTCACCCTTACATGTAATGTCTCTCATTCTCCTCTCCTCTCCTCTCCTTCAAGAGTTAAATTGGCCTCCTCTTCTCATGTTTTCCAGACAAATCTTTGTCTGAAACCTTCATTTTCTACCATGCATATATATACATGCTTCGCCTATTTCATCCTACATTATTTGATTATTACAGATTTACTTTCAAATGACTACATGGTTAACCTGTTTTTTTTTCAGAAGATAAGGTGGCAATTGTGAACCTATATAGGGCAATTCAATATGGCCAACCAAAAGTTGCAAAGAAGATTCTTACAAATAGGTAATATGAAATATAGATATCTGTGTTATGGTGTATCTGCAAGGTGACTATTGCATGAAGGTTTTCACTGTAGTCTGTGCTTCCACATTCCTAAATCAGAAAGTTCTTACTGATCACATAAATTACTCTGTCCAGTTAATTCATCCAGTGGAATGTTAGTCATTCAAATGTTTATAGCTGTACTGCCAAGTTGCAGTTCCTACACCCATTTAGAATATCATGTCCTTTCATTTTCTTAATACAGTCAAACCTTAAGTTTGCTGGTTTTTAAAGTGTCATGCTATTTTACATTCCAGGTCCTCACAACTATGAATATGAAAGTTAGTCTCCTCTGGCATTTTTTGTTGTGTAGTCTGATAGAACGATACCAGCATTTCAGATGAACTTGCTGCTTGTATCTTCAGAATAGAAGACCTGAAGATGGAGTCATTAGCTTCCTCTGAAGTGTTTTGTACCTGTACATGCGTCACATAGCAGGACACAGTCATTTTCATATCATATTTTTTTTATGTATTAATATTTTCTCCATCTCCTCACTTTTAGGTTGTCTCATTTTGTATCAACAATCAAACTTCTAAAATATTTAATATCTGCTGCCTGCAGTTTATATATATATATATGTATACACACACACACACNATATATATATGTGTGTGTGTGTGTATGTATATACACACACACACACACATGTTTTTATGTTTATTTTTATTTTTATATATGTACATGTATATAAATGTAAAAATAAATCTATCCCTGTAACAGGCCATGGAGACCCATAGGATTGTGAGATGTTGAGGCTCCCTCATTTTTTAGACAAATAGCTCACAGATGACGGTGAAGTTATCAGCCTTATGCGCTGGCTGGCTTTACCCCCAGGAAGATTCCTGGTACCCATTTCTTTTAGAGGCTGCGTCTACCCCAGGGCCATAGTGGGGCTGGGTCTTGTAATGCGGTATAGTGGTAAGCATTTCTGGTTCATATGAGTGGGGACTTGAGTTCAGATCTTGGCCTAGAGACAAGCTATATTTCACCTGGCTGTGGTTTCTTATGGCTTTCCTAAGTCTCCTGGAATCAATATTGGAATGCTATTTTGATGTACTGCAACTGCTTTTTTTCTGAATTTGTCATCCATCAATATTGAATCTCACAGTAGAATGGTTACCACCCTTGATTCATGTTTGGGAACTCTGTGTTTAAAATTTCAACGCAGAGAGCAGCTATCCTGACTCAAGTATTATGTGGTTTTCCTAAGTTACTCCAGGCAAATACCTGGATAATATCTTAAATTGAACCAGGAATGATTCCTTTCACATACTTGCCAATTCACCATTCTCTGCTGTCTTCCCATTCAGTGCTGTGTATATAAGGGTAACATATGCAGTTGATAAAGCTTCTTATGTAAACTAACAACAATAATGATCCTAGGTATGGCTCTGTGGAGATCTTCAACCCTATGGACATGTCCCCACTTATGCAGGCAGTATCACGTGGGGACCCACAGATGGTGAGCCTGATGCTGAGTGTGGGGGCTGATGTGAATGTGACCAGTTACAGAACTGGTAGAACAGCTCTCATGATGGCATGCTTCAAAGGAGAAACGGGCATTGCACAGCTGCTGATAGAGCGTGGGGCAAGCTGGAATATCTGTGACAGGTCATACAGATGGAGTCTAATTTTAACTGTGAACAATTCGTTATTTGATGGGTGTGTTTGGTACAGGATTATCACAGAAATTTCTGTTTCTCCCTACCATTACAGCCGTATTTGAGCATTGCCTAAAAAGAAATCTGTTTTCAATCAGTCCTGTCTCTGCTAGGTCTTATTCTAAAAATCTCTTCCTGCTAATAATTTTCCATTACGTTCTACTGTAAAACTGTCACAGATTGTAGTGGTGAGGTAAATCATATATGCAGGCTTAGGGAAGCAGATATGTTTTTCAGGTTTTCAGAATCTGATAGGTTTATGTGATGTATGGGCACAGGAGTGGTTGCACTGCTCTGCATTATGCAGTCGATGGGTCACAGATGGAGACAGTAGAGCTTGCTCTGCATGAGGGTGCAGACATAGAAGCCAAGGATATTGAACAGTGGACACCACTTATGAGAGGAGGTTGGTGGAATTGAAGAAAGAACTGTCTTTTTAATGTATAGACTTCCAGTCACTGAAATTTGTGAACTAACAACTTTCATAGAAAAAGAAGCATGTTTCTTAAAGATTTTAGGCTTTCATGGCAGTGATATTTAGACTATAGTCTTGTGGGTTATGAGACCTTGAACTTTTGAATGTAGACACCAGTGGCTCAGAGGAAGGTGCTTGCTCCATCTGCAGGGTCAAAATTTTTAAAGTGAAGATGTGTTTAAGTGATGGAGACAGGATGTAAAGGAGGTAGTCATCAGATTCATAAAACAGGGACTGGAGACAGAACCCAGTCTGGTTCAATAGGAATACTGAACAGGAAATGTGAGAAAATTCCTTTTTTAGGAACCACAGACTATCATCACAGGACTGACATAGAATTGTAAGGAAAGACACGTCCCTTGTTCATTGTTCCTGCTTCCCTGAACTGAGGTCTGTATTCTTTCTCTCATCTTATTCACTTTGACTGGTTGAAAGCGTACATTCCTCTGAAAACTTGGTGTCCATCTACAAGACTACATGGTGTCTCAATCCAGAAGTCCAAAATCTGAAAATTTGTGTTAACTAAGTAATAAATAAATATATATTTATATTCTGAAAATATTTCACTTCTTCCTGTGAAGATTTTAACACTGTATGCTAGGGATAATAGCATCATATTCTTGAGAGTACTTGTCAGCAAAAGAGTTTGTGGCTTTGAAGTTGGAGTAAGATAAACATTTGGTGTGGAGGCAGAAATTGATTAAAGCATGGGTTTTAAACATAAATGCACAAAAAATGTGAGAAATATTATTATAGTAAAACATATATTCTTGTATTTTTCCCAGTGGTAATGGGAAGCTCAGTTCAAATTCTCAAGAAACTGCTGGAGCGAGGTGCACTGTTAAACTGCATAGATCGTCATGGACAAACATGCCTCATGCAGGCTGTTCTATCAGGTCATCAGGATGTTGTAAAGCTCTTGATGGATTCAGGAGCAGAATTGACTGCATGCAATGTTTACCATAACACAGCTCTAGACCTGGCACTGGCAAAGGGCATCCAGGTGAGGGGAGTGCTGAAGGTAGTCCTGTTCCTTGATGGTAAAAAATGATAATGCTATTCCTGTAACAGGCCATGAAGGCCCATAGGTTTGTGAGACATTGAGGCTCCCACATTTTCTCTACACAATCGGTTTACAGAGGGTAGTAAGGTTGTCAAGCTTATGTGCCAGCAGCCCCCCCCCCCCAAGAAGTTTCCTCTTTGTCATTTCTGTTAGAGGCTGAGTCAACCCCAGGGCCATAGTGTAGCTAGAAGGATTAGGTAAATTGATAAAATCCACCTCATCATGACTCAAACCGATGACCTTCTGGCTTGTAGCATAGGAATAAATGTGTAAGTATGTATGTATGTATGTATGTATTATGGGAGGGGGTGGGTTCCCCCATGCACTTAGACCAGTTATTGGTCCATTGTGCGTCCCCCTTTTTAATTTCTACTGTCGCCATACCCTAACGGTAACGGTGCATGCCATCAGCCCCAGTAGAGACAACGAGGTCGGCCCCCGGTACCTCGATGCTTCCCCCATCCACCAGAGGCATTGGAGACTACTTGGGCGGGAAAGGGCCTGTAATTTAGCTCAGAGGTCTCCTAAAGACATGAGATTCTTTTACGTGCCATAAGCCTATGACACAGGACACACAGCTTAAAGTCCCTCCCGGAGGACTTGTTCCCTGAACTTTTCCGCCCTTTAAAAATTCCATGACCTCCGCCGGGTTTGAACCCACGTACCTTGAGTCATGAGGTGGGAACGTTACCCCTAGACTACGGAGGCCGCTAAAATGTATAAGTAAGTAATGTTGTTTTATTCTTTACAGAAACTTATACCAATATGCAACTAAATTAGAGGCAAAATCTCCCAGAACTAAAGTATTGTCTGTTTAATATGAGGTAACAAAATACTTTGTGATATATGGATATGTCTTGCAGTTATTCAGTAATATTTACATGTATTAAGATGTATAATATAAACTGAAAGAGAAGAGTGAACTTGATACAAGTAGGCTGCAGAAATGTCCCGAATATAATGCTAACTGAATGGATAGCTCTTTCCTTTCAGGAGAGTCATGATACTTCTGCTCAAATATATTGTTCCAAATTAATTTTACAGGAAGTAATTTCAATCCTATCCCCCAGAATGAATGCAAGGAAGGACGTGAAGAAGTGGAAGAAGGTCATTAAGGAGATATAAACATAAGTGATAAAGAACTTCGTGAGGTGAAAGGAATACAGCAACTTCTCAAATTTTGTGCATTAAGACGGAGTCCAGTGTTGCATGCTGCACTGTATTTCGTTAGAGTTGAAATGCTTTTAAGTTTCTGATGTAATGGTTTATATTGTAGCTAGAAGCTGTTCATGTTTGTTTATTATAGCAAAGTGTTATAGCAACTAAACTAACAGAATGGAGAAACTATTTGATTAACCATATCCTTTTTCAAACTGTTTTTTCTCGTTTAAAATTTTCTTTCATCTGGACGAGTCACCTCTAAATTTTCATCACCGAGAGCTCCAGCTCCATCAAGGATATCTGAGATTCAAGTGCTGAGAATGTGCATTCCTCTGTGTCCTAAGAGAGAAGAAGTAGCAGTAGGATGGGGTGCAATGTAAAATAAGGAACAAGAATGTATGCTCTTCATCATTTAGGCTTGTTAAATCAAGAATGATAAGATGATCAGAACATATGAGAAGTGCAAANATTTATTTCGTCACTGTAGATCATTGTACATGATATATGACAAGTCAAGTTAATTCTGAATATTAACAATTTGATATATAAGTAGATTAAAATTACAATAGTTACAATTTTTTACTGCTGATTACAATTTAGAATTAGTTTGATATTCTTATTTGTGGAGAATTTGATGGAATGAACATAAAGGAACATTATGTAAAGGTAGGCACTGGATTGAACTGGCTCAGCATTGGCTTAAATCGCTGGCATTTGTGAACCCTTGTAGTATTTAAGTGTATAGAATTTATTGAATGGCTGAATAATTACGTGTCCTATGGACTTGGCATGGGGAGACGTTGAAATCTGTGTAAAATGATGGTGAATATATTACCGATCAAGCCACTGATGCAAAACCATTAGCCGAAAGTTTAAGTTTGAGATATAGATGGCAGAGAATTGCTATCATCTGCTCGCCAAGTAGACGAGGTCGGAAGCGTCGGAAGGTTGATGATCGTTGATGATGGTCATGTGTAGATGACCGTAGATGATGGTTTCGGCGACGATCTGTGGTAAGCCGTTGGGGAAGATGGGGGTTTGGTTGATGATAGGAAGTGCGTAATGCTTTTCCGAATTTTAAAAAGATGGCAGGAATAATTAATGTTACAAAGACTTTAAATAGTATGTGTAAGATCTTTTCGTCTATGTCGGTAACAAATTTGTTGAAAACAAAATATGTTCCAAGGTATGGTCATTTTATACTTTCCTTTTTTTGCAGGTTAGGTTTTCATTGAAAATGAACAAGATTTTAGCTCTTCGGTTTTGCTCAGCTTGATCGCAACGAATGACTTAGGCGTTCAGAAATACGCCACATGCAATGTTGAATATTTTCCATCGTTTCGGCAAACCTTGCAGCAACCATATTCAGGTTTAATGACTTGGAGAGGTAGGGGATTGGCATCTCTTTTGTGGCTCTCTCATTAGTCTTCACCTCCAAGATACTGCCTAATTCAAGAGCTAAATAAAAATTACAAACTCCGTCTCCCAAAGTGATTATCCTTGAAAATGGCAGCTACAAGGTTTGTCGAAACGTCGGAAAACATTAAGCATTCCACACGTCGTATTCCCGAAAACCCAAGTTTCATATTAAAGTATGATTATAATTCAAGTAATAAGTAGAGAGTAGAGATAAGTAAGATTATCTATAATTTCCACAAATTTTTAACACAGTGAAATTATGTCTTTATATTGCAGAAGCAGTTCTGCAGTATGTTCATGCTTATATTTCCATGGAACTGCAGTGAAACATGATTTAATGGAGTTTTTTGATGATAAAAAGAACTGGGGAGAAAGTGAAGTTAAAGTTGGCAGATCATGGAAGAAGGAAGAACTCCGAATCAAGAGTAATTCAGACCTACATAAATTATGGTAGGTTTTCTTATATTTGTTTGTTTTAATACTTGTTTGAAGAAGTATTGTGTATTTGCAATATCATGAACACTTGCATTAGTTATTTTAGAATGGTTTGTGTTATGAGTTCTAAGTAACTTCAGTAGATTCCCGATTTTGCAGGGTGGATGGGAAATGAATTGCCCTGGATAATCAGAAACATATATAACTAACATGTGAATTAGACCATGCCATAGTTCAAGCGGTTAGTCGCTGGCTTCCCACCACGGCAGCCTGGGTTTGATCCTGGGTCTGGTTAAGTGGGATTTGTGGTGGACAAAGTGGCGCTGGGGCAGGTTTCTCCGAGTACTTCGGTTTCCCCTGCCAATCTTCATTCCACCAATTGCTCCACAATCACCCTTACCTATCATCTGGGGCTGCTACAATAGGCCAGAAGTGGCCGCAGTACAAGGGACTTAGTCCCACCCCACTAGCAATAAGAAAACAAAAAACATGTGAGTTGGGTTTTATAAAGTGACACTGACATTTATAAGTGTATTTTATTTAAATGCTATTGAGAGAAACATGAGAGTGGTTTCTCAGAAGCTTCTGTGTCATTTATACATACTAAAAAGATAACCCCAAGAAAGCCTTGTGTTTCCAAGCACATATTCCAATGTGAAATAAAACTCTCTTTGTTTTGTACTTGTTCCTTTCTAAAAAGCAGTTCCATATGAAGTTTATCTTTTACCTTTGGACACACCAGTCAGTCTTATAAACAAAGCCCTTGGATAGTATCATCGTTGGCAACACAACGCTTTTGGACCCATAGTCTTCCTTAGAAGAAGTAATTTTTTTACAGAGCAAGATCAGCAGTTTTGTGTACCCTGGATAATATGCCCCAAGTTAACTGGTAGTCTGTTGTATAAATGAAGCCCCAGATTAGTGACAACTTAGGAGGATCAGTCAGGTCTAGCAACTTCACATTCATAGACAGGTATTCATTTTTATTTTAATCTAAAGTTGTATTTTAATTTACCAGCTCCCTGTTGAAGTCAGCAAACTGTGTCAGGAACATGGTTGAGGTTATATCATCGGATAGGGTTTTTGATTGTTATGTTACCATTAAGAATTTACTGGATTCAACATATGATGGAATCCATAATGAAGGGTAGGGCTGTAACACCATGTAGTTCGCAGAGACCCAGTTGTTTAGGGGGAACAAATTACTTCCATCTTCAGGGTTGACGAGTAAAACAAGCAAGAAACAAACAGGAGCAGCTCAGTTTGCTGCGTGTTTGTACTGGTCTCTTTGTTGGCTTATGCTTCAGCCTTGAAGATGGAGACAGTATGTTCCTTTTTAACATCAGGTCGTCTCTGAAGTACACAGTGTTACAACCTGGAAGACTGTACTCTGCATCGTCACCACTGACAGAGCCTCTAATCCAGCAGTGGGAACCACAGTTACTGTACTGTTTTCTCTTTCAAGAGGTTGCCTGTTCATTTGTGGTGTACCTCAGACACACAGTACTATCATGTTTTGTGTTACTTTAAAATTAATGAATTTTTAAGGTTTGTGCTGCTAAAGGAAAAGAACATGCTGCTTACAATGGAACATGAATGCAAAGAACAAGTGGAACTGTTCCCTAATCCTGAGAGAATAGATAAAGTAAGTAATTTTATATGAGACGTTTAGTTATTATACTTTAGGCTGCGCCGCAGCTCAAGCGGTTAGTTGCTGGCTTCCCATTGTGGCCTACCTGGGTTCGATCCCGTGTCTGGTCCAGTGGGATTTCTGGTGGACAAAGTGGCACTGGGGCAGGTTTTCTCTGAGTACTTCGGTTTCCCCTGCCAATCTTCATTCCACCAATTGCTCCACAATCACCCTCACCTATCATCTGGGGCTGCTACAATAGGCCAGAAGTGGCCGCAGTACAGGGACTTAGACCCACCCCACTAGCAATAAAAAAAAGAAGCAATATTATACATTATCCTGATAATGGCATAATAAAAATCAAGTATATTGTGTAGTAGTTAGAAACATTATTTATGGGATAAATTATGCCTTACATGTTTCATCCATATAGGCCATCATGAGAGGTATAAATGTTAGAAATGTTTGCTTTGTATGCATTAATTTTTAGCAGTAACACTGACATTTAAATCCCTTTATAATTAAGAATGTTGAGACTACTTGCTTGTTTGTAATTTCTAGTAAGCAAGAACTTTCTGTGATCTGTAAGGCATATGTTATCTAATAAATAAAATTTCTAAGTGGTACATTCTATATTTGATGGTTTTTATTACTTCAACATAAAGATATATGTCCTCTGTTTACCTTTATGGCATGAAGCATAGTCACAGAAATAACAATAAATTTCCTTTTAGTAGTTAACCTCTTCTGTTTGCTTCAGGAGTTGATGTGCTTTTTGTTCTAGGTGGAAGAAAGCATGAGTAATTTGGAAGCTGTTGTGAGGGAGAGAAATGAAGCTTACTTTATGCTGGAAACAGGACAGACTGGTGAACGACCAGTCTGTAGAAGAAAGGGTTCTGTAGGTGAGCAAATCACCTAAGTATCTCAATATGAGCTATGGATAATGAAAAATAATTCTGTGTGTGTTTATACAGGGTGTCCCAGGAGGAATGTGCCAAACTTCGGGAGGGTGTTCCGTATGTTAAAGTATGCCGATATAACCCAAAACACCTATGTCCAAAGTTGAACAGTTATGGAGATAATGGCCAGAGAAGTGTGAAACTTTGACCGGTGTTACACACTTGTTGATTACAAAATACATGTTAAAACTGGCAGGAATATGTGGTTTCTGTAATGTAAATAATGTACGTAACATCAAGCTAACTTGTGAGTGACATGAAGCCATTAAATTGAACTACAAAAAAACTCGCACACCATGTCATAGTTGTCCTTAGGTTATGTCTATAATTTTGCCCCACCTTGACATACTTGATAACATTTAGCTTTTAGTAAAGTGTTCTGATTTATTTCTTCTCTGTACATTCACAGGTTTGATGTACTATCAGCTGATGAGTGAGCACATTATACCACGTTTCATGAATAAGAAGTGGCAACAGGACTATAAATCTTATGGTCATACTCGTGATTCCAGGGAATTTTTGAAGCTTTACAGAGAAAAGTTGTTTCTTGAAAAGAGAAAAGCTCGGAAGTAAGTATCTGTAACATTTTAGGCTTTCACGGCGGTGACTATGAAGAAAGCAGTCTTCTGGGATTTGGCACCGTGTATATGTGGTGTTAACCGACGTTTCTGCTTTACCGTTTCTCACGGTGTTGTCGCTTGCAGATTTCTTATACTTTTTCTTCTACCCTGAAGATGGGGGCGATACGTTCCTCCGAAACGTTGGTTAACACCACATATACACGGTGCCAAATCCCAGAAGACTGCTTTCTTCAAGTATCTGTAACATTTTTATCATTTTTGGGGGCTTTTGTTTCTTTTCTTGTGTTTAATGAATGACGCTTAAACTTGAACTTGGTGGCTGAATTGTGGAAAAGGATTGTGTAGAAGAAATTCAAAATATTGTCCTCTGTTATGTGGGAATAACAATTTCTGCATTTGCAGAAATTGTCACATGCAGATTTTATTATACATAGAAGTTTTATGAAAGTGAGGTATAACATGATAAAAACACTAAACTGTCATAGTATTTTCATTAGGCATTATTTGGTAGCTGTGTGTAAAGATAATGTGCATTCCTTGTGCAGTTTGTATTAAGTAAACACATACAGGGGTAGTCATGTTTGCCTGGTGTTTCTCCAAAACTGCCAAATGGGTTTTAATGAAATTTGATACAGGGCTCTATAAAAAAGTCTTCTAGGTATGCAATGCAATTTCGGTTTGTATCATTCTAATATGACTTCTGCTTTACATGAAGCTGAGACCAGCCTTATTGATTTTTGTACAAGTAGATAGTCACTCACACATGGAGCTGAGCCCTTCTGGAGGAGCTGCCAATTGTGCCACTACTCAAGAGTTTCCCAGTATTTTATGGAACCCAAAGGTTCATTACCACGTTCACAAGAGCCCTCCACTGGTTCCTACCCTGAGCCAGTTCAATCCAATCCATACCGTCCCATCCTGTCTCTCTTAAGATCCATTTTAATATTGTCCATGCGACTACACCTTGGTCTTCCCAGTGGTCTCTTTCCTTCTGGCTTTCCCACCAGTATCCTATATGCATTCATCTTCTCTCCCATTCATGCTACATGCCCTGCCCATCCCATCCTCCTGGACTTGATCATTCTAATTATACTTGGAGAAGATTAGAAGTTATGAAGCTCCTCATGCATTTTTCTTCAATCTCCTGTCACTTCATCTCTCTTCAGTCCAAATAATCTCAACACCCTGATACAGTTACATCATTGTACAAAAAAATTGGTGCATATCATAAATTGCGTATTAAGGTCTACAATATTTATTTGAATAAGTTTCTTTGAAAAATATTTAATGACATACAGAAAAAATTTATGACTGTATGCATTGTGGTATCTGCAATGTGATTATCTTTGCAACAAGAGATGAATACCAGCAATAAGATAAGATGTGAGAAATCACAAAAAAAAAAATGCAGTTGGAAAATTCACTTCGTGGACAGTGTCCAAAGGAAGTGCTCCCAACTTTGGTAAATCATTATCACATTATTAGAACTAAAGACAGTAAATTGATGTTTAATTGTTGTTGCAGCCGGGAACGCAACCATGTAATGGGACTCATGAAGAGGTTCCCTAACTTAGATTTGCAAGCTGTGAAGGAGCAGTTCCCTTCTGTAGACATTGAGAAGATACGCTACCACAAGAAGACTCGTGGTCATCGTGAGAATATCTGCTGACAGATTTATAATTTCATTGTACAGTGATTTCACTATACACCATACATATATGATAGTTGCTGTTTTTATTTATTCAACCTGTATTCCATGTTCTGGGGAACTCTTCACTCGTTTTGGTGGGTTGTAAATTTATTGCATATGTTTCACTGTGTCATATATGTAGTATATATGAGAAAGCTGAAAAGAATTGTTCTAAAAATTTGACAGATTTGCACATTTTGAGCCCTTGTGAATACAAAAAAAAAAAGAAGTGGTTTTTGGGTATGCCACTTGTATGGATGAGTGCTTCATTAGTGCCTGAATTGGACAAATTTTATTCATATTTGGTATTTGAGTGTCTTTCCATCATAGGTTTGTGCCAGTGAACATGAATATTCCAGCTCCAAAAATAGAAAACCTCAGATGTGCCCCAAAACTCAAAATTGCAGTTTCCAAGGATTTTGATTACATTCCATTAATTTGCACAGAATATCTTCCTAAACAAAACTTCACAGTTGATATCTTCAGGAATGTTATGCTTGCTAGGGGCCCAAACAAGAAATGTTGATTTTGTTGAAACTGGTTTTACTTGTCAGATGGTTTCCATTGCTGTTTAGCATGCAGCAACCAGCAGTTACCTACCTAGCTACAGTTGGTTTTGTTTTCACTGTAATGTACGAGTAGTCGAGGACAATTGTATAGAAGAGAGTAGGTGTGTGTACAGTCTTTGCACTGACTTCTAACATAGTGACGCTGTACTGACAAGGAATTGGAATCTGGAGACCGTTTCTGTCTCCATCATCGGAAAGTGATTTCATGAATGACAACACAAACAGCCAAGACACACGTATCATAGACATAATGAAGCCCAGTTTTCATATTTGCTGTGTTCTGGTATATAACGTGATTTGCCATGGGACGCCATTTAATGTTCCAAAGTGTACGGTTGTCCTTCATTCAGTGTTCAGTTCCATTTACCCCAAGTCAGTAATCTCAGTGTTGAATTCCCTCAGTTTTTTGTTCAAATCCATTGATCCTCAAAGAGTCAGGCTGCGCCATAGCTCAAGTGGTTAGTCACTGGCTTCCCACCGCAGCGGCCCAGGTTTGAGGCCATGTCTGGTCAAGTGGGATTTGTGGTGGACAAAGTGGTGCTGGGGCAGGTTTTCTCTGAGTACTTCAGTTTCCCCTGCCAATCTTCATTCCACCAAATTCTCCATCATCAAAATCACCCGAGGCAGGTACAATAGGTCAATCAGTGGCCAACATGCCGAGTGGACCCAGCTGGACTCCCCCCCCCACTATGCAAATTTAATCCTCAAACGAGACCTTAAATTGGGGGGGGGGTCACTGTATTTTGGTAGATAGTTACCAACATTTTGAATGAACATGTTGCCTCTTTCTTTTGGGTGTATACCCCAAAAGACATTACTCTTGATACCCATCAGAGGTAACGTGCCCCTGAAAGGCTGGTTGCTTTCAGCAGGCTACATAGCAGTATCTCATCATAACCACTGCTATGAGAATATCAAATCCTACACATATTTGGTGGCTGTGAAAACTTAAGGATTTTATATAATTTTTAATATTTAGATTGTGGTCAGAAAGAATCCACTGTCTTCATCTACCCTGAAGATGGAGACACCAAGTTCTTCTAAAATGGTACCGGCCTACCATATCATAGCCTAGAAGACCTAATCATAATCTTGAAATATAGTAATACTGCAAAACAAACTTATTTTAGTTTATAAATTACTGATGTTCATTTTCATAACATACCTGCCCTGCCCACCTCAGTCAAGGAAGATGAGCTGGGCAGGGCATGGAACACGAATGGGGGAGACGAGGAATGTGTATAGGATATTGGTGGGAAGGCCAGAAGGAAAGAGACCACTGGAAAGACCAAGGCGTAGGTGGGTGGACAATATTAAAATTGATCTTAGAAAGATAGGATGGGATGGTATTGATTGGATTGATCTGGCTCAGGATAGGGACCATTGAAGGGCTCTTGTGAACATGGTGATGAACCTTCAGGTTTCATAAAATGCTGGGAAATTCTTGAGTAGCTGCAAAATTGGCGGCTCCTCCAGAAGGGCCCAGCTCCATGAATAAGTAATTACCGATGAATGAGCATCAGTACTGACAGCATATCCTTATTTTTGCAGCATAACTGTCAGTATTTATTCATTGAGAATAAGGATGAGGTGTAAATTTATTATGATGTATTAACTGTGATGGACACTACAAGACTTTATTTGCTAAAAGTACTGCCGGTCACAAAAAGTATATATCAGCGTATACTAACAAATAATGGACAAGAACTGAATTCAGTTCTGTTTCATGAGCAGGTAAACCTAATCATTTCAGTTACTTACAGCATTAGGATAAATGTAGATAGGAAGAATGTAAGAGGCGTGAAGTGTAGCTGCCCTACTTATCTATAACTCCAAAGCGGCCTCCATAATCTAGGGGTAACGTTCCCACCTCGTGACTCAAGGTACATGGGTTCAAACCAGGCAGAGGTCGTGGAATTTTTAAGGGCAGAAAAATTCAGGGAACAAGTCCTCCAGGAGGGACTTTAAGCCGTGGGTCCTGTGTCATAGCTTTACGGCATGTAAAAGAACCTCGTGTCCCAAGGGGACCACTGAGCCAAATTCAGAACATTTCCCGCCCAACAGTAGTCTCTTAACGCCTCTGGTAGATGGAGGAAGCATCGAGATACCGCTGAGCCAGTAGAGGCCGAATTCGTTGGCTGAGTCGGGACTGATGGGACGCACCAGTACTGGTGGGGAATAGAGACTGGTAGAATATCATAGGGGGACGCACAATGGACCAACAGTTGGTCTAAGTGCATGGGGAAACCCACCCTCTCCAATACAATACAAATACAATATCTGTAACTCCAACTTTATCTTATAAAATTACACAAAATATTTTACATAAAAATGTACACTTCAGGTAGAAATGTGTATAAATCTCTCAAGTTCATACACCATATAAATTCAATTTATCATTTACAATTCACTATAAATCACAACCATTCTAAAATATACTTCTATACACATAAATAAGTAATGTAACAGGAGATGAGAACTCCAGAATTATGCGATGTTGAGTTACCAGAGCAACATATTGTTAAGCATTAATACACTGCATGAATGTTATTCATGCAGTAGGTCATGAATAAGCAAGCAGGCTTTTGTTTCAGAGTAATGTATGTGCTGTGTGAGTATTCATATTTTTATGTTGTAATGTTAAGTGTAGTGCACTGTAAAAAGAAGATTGTTTACAATTTACTGTTTTTGTGTTTTACTTGTGGGAGATGGTGTTAGACATGAGCCTTGACATATCATTCAGTAACATGTAGGACAGGGAGAATGCATATTTAGTTAATACAGTCATCCCACATTAATCGATGTTAATTTGTTCCAAGAAATGTCATTGATTAGCAGTTCATTGGTAAATTAACACAACTTTAACATTTATTTTGCTTTTCATTGTAGGGTCCCTGTTGCATGAGAACTCTGAATGCTTGGATCTCAGATAACGAGGGGTTTACTGTGTTTAAATAGCTCACAGGGCAATAAAAGATTCTGAACTGAGTAGGAGCCCAGATTTAATCTGCTCTTATCTCATCATCATTATTTTGCCACGCTTTAAGAATGAGACCTCTTAGCTTCTACATGTATTCATTATGGTGTGAAAATGCATTACTTTCTAACTGAACATAAAAGGAATACTGACTTCCCTAGTTCAGGATATGTGAATGACCCTTTGCTTGGCAACTTGGGTTTTAATTCCTTGGCCTTTTGTTTTTGATACCTTCTAGCATGTATCATGCATTGATAACCACAAGAAGTACTGAAATAAAAGCTATGAGTCATGGGATTAAACTAACACCTTCATGGATGGAAACCTTAACATATTCATCTCTGTGGTCATTTATACAAATATACAGCAGACACCATGGAAATGACTCTCAACTTGAACAGGAAACAAGATCTAAGCTGGTGAGATTTATGCTCTAACTTCATTATACAGTATTATACATATAATGAAACTGGTCTCCATATTTGTCCCTGAATCTCTTGTGATCTGCTGCATCCATTGATCTGGCAACTCGTTTCATTGCACCCCTAGAACAACAAAAGATAATGTGAATGGGAAAAATAACGAAATAAAGTAAGGATGTTGCTGCATTTAATTTGAGCACTGTTATGGAAACATGGAGGAGTGAAGATATAGCCCCATGTACTCCTAACCTCACCACTAGAGGAAGGTTAGTCATTAGCTTCGCACCCTAGCTGCTTTACTCCTGGGAAATTAACTTCCCATACCCATTGTATAGGAGACTGTGGGCCCAAATCAAGCCTAGACTGAAGTAGACAGAAATTGTTACCCCTTCTAGGAATCAAACTAAGATTCCTCTAACCCAGGCATGTCCAATGCATCGATCGCAGGACGATTTTTGGTTGATCTCATAGGCCTATAAGGAAATTATACATGAAAAGCATGTGGTATTTTTACCAATATTTTTGCTTAAAGCGAGGTACGGCGATAGGATGGGGTGGTAGATCACTGGCAGTTTTGACACTAAAAAGTTGATCACAACCTCTTTGAAGTTGGACATGCCTGAGCTAACCCATAGCCTAGTCATATTTTTACTAAGCTATTTCAGCTTAGCCAGTAAAACAGGATCCTGTTAATAGGTTGTTACTGGTCTACTGAGCAGTATTTTGCTTGTCTAATTTACTACCAGTATTTCAAATTACTTATCACCACAATATAAATTAGCAAATAGTTTTTTAAAAATGTAATGTTAGGAGGTATCCTGGCTCGTATCTTGCTTCATGTGGGCTATTGTGTTTGAGAGTACATTATCTTCCTCCAAAATGTTATCCCTTATACCACAGTATGCTCTCCCCACCTTTTTTTTTTTTAATCATCACTGAATCATCCTGTTGTCTACAAATCTCTTCCAAGGTTGATCAGCTTCCACTTGTTTGTGGCTGTTCAACATTAGACAATGCTAATGCTTTTATGGCAACAGCATTGCAGCATATAGTGGGATAATGAAGACCACAAGCTGAAATCCCTGAAATGCCAGTAGAGTCACTTAAAGTTACATTCTTACAGAACTTTTATAATTCAGTCAGTGTAGCTATGGGCTGGATGGCTGGGGTTTGATTCCTGGTAGGTGTAAGAGGTTTTCCTCTTCTCCACATACCCAGACTAGTCCTGGGTCCCACCCAGCCTCCTGTCCTGTGTATATGTATGTGTGAGGGGGCGGTTAAAGTGGCTGAAGCATGAAGCTAATCACTAACCGACATCTAGTGCCGAGGTTAAGAATGGTGCTGTACCTTTGCTCCCCCATGTCTTCATGGCATGGTTCTCGAACAATTTCAACTTTTTTTTGCCCACAAAACACATGAGATATGAGGTTCTGACAGCAGCAACTATGACACTTACAGTCTAATGGGATGTGATGCCATGTAATTACGCAGTTAGGCGGTAATATTTCAGGGATGTCTGCTACCTCCATCTTTAGAGGAGAACCTCTAAGGTCCAATAATCTTAACACTGTTGTCTCTATTCCTATTACTTTGCTCAAGACAATGGTTCGAATCAACACCAATTTCTTATATGCTTGGCTTACTCTTTTATCCTGAAGATATAGGCAGTATGTTCATCCGAAACGGTGGTAATAATCTATCAAGCAACATGGCATCATATCCCATGAGACATTGATGTTCAATGTGATAAGTGTTTACCTTTTGAAAATCTTTTTGGAGAGTCTGGTGTATGCTGTGTTTTGTTTGGCAGAGATATCGGTGAGCCCAGGGCATTTGCTTTGCTTTGATTGCTTTTTCTTCTTGCTGCCTTTCCTTTTCTTTTTCTCTGGCATTCTTAGATCGACTCCAGTGGCATGCTGAAAAGTGAAAGTATCATTATAACCACTCAGTGAATTAAAGCCTGCTTTTTAACATGACTGTCATGTGTCACGCTACAAAGCAGGTCACTGGATTTTTTCAATTGACCTAATCCTTCCAGCTGCACTAGGGCCCTGGGGTTGACTGAGCCTCTAACAGAAATGAGTACCACGAATCTTCCTTGGGGTAAAGGGCAGCCAGCAGGCTGACAACTTCACCGCCATCTGTGAACCGATTATCTAGGAAGGTGTAAGCCTCGATGTCTCACAACCCTATGGGCTTTCACAGCCTATTACAGGGACAGCTTTATCTTTTACTGCATATGTAGTAAGTTTACAAGAAAACAGCATCAATCATCACATACCTGTTCTTTAATTTTAGACCTAAATTTTTATGCAACACCAGTGTTTCTTTGATGCTGTGTAATGGCTTGTGTAAGTTCCAATCACTTCTTTGTGTTTGTATGTATACTTGCTGTTACCGCTTCACATTTCATGACAACATTTTTCCTTGATTTATCTTTCATAGATAAGAATGGACTGCATGATATATAATATACATTTTGTTGCATCTCATGCTCTCACATCTGGTATAGAAAACCGAGATTAACAGCCATGGGAATCCATTGCGCTGACCCCGCGACACCGTCTATCCACAAAAGTTGGCACTAACTTCGCCAACAAGCAGTGGTTGCTTGGTCGATATAGTTCGCTTGTGGACTAAATGCCACGGAGGAAGGAGGCTCTCACAGCTTGACTACAAACAATGCTATCTTTGAGGATCCAATGCTGTATAGTCTAGTAGAATGCCGCCCACATTCTGGAGGAACGTACTGCCTCCATCTTCATGGTAGAAAACTAAATCAAGCAAGAAAACCAGCAAGAAGCAGGTAGAAAGCAGAGCCTGCAGGCATGAAGATGCAGGCGGTACTTTTGTGCAAAAATAGATGGACATCTACCAGACTACATGGCGTTACATCTGAGAAGAAAACTACTCTTTGTATGGAATTCTGTTAGAGAGTGTGAGACATGCAGGGTGTTTAAGTGACCTTGATATCTTCAAGCAGCTGTGGGTCTTGCCAATCTGGACATTCTTTTGTTTTTTTCTCTTCTTCTTTTGCCAATCTTTGAGCATCATCTGGTTTGGTGCATTTTCCAGTTTCATCTCTTGACACTATTGGACCATGGAAAGGACACTGAAATCAAAGAGAAAACTTAGGTCCATAATAAAAGTAAAAACAGTTTTCATGCTCCTAATGTTTAGAAAAGCAGGATCCACCACAATATTTCTGGTAGATCCTTAGATATCTGAGTACCTACCAATGCAACTACTAGATATGACACATAACCAGTGTACCAGCAGTTAACCTTTATCTTCTGGAATTAGAGCATTTAAAACCCTAGCTACTGTGATGCCAGTAACTAAATATTAACCTGGAGGCAATGGTATTCTTATGGCTGCGCCATAGCTCAAGTGGTTAGTCGCTGGCTTCCCACCACGGCGGCCCGTGTTCGATCCTGGGTCTGGTCAAGTGGGTTTGTGGTGGACAAAGTGGTGGTGGGGCAGGTTTTTTTCCGAGTACTTCGGTTTCCCCTGCCAATCTTCATTCCACCAATTGCTCCACAATCACCCTCACCTATCACCTGGGGCTGGTACAACAGGCCAGAAGTGGCCACAGTACAAGGGACTTGGTTCCACCCCACTAGCAATAAAAAAAATGGTATTCTTATTGTATTGTGCTGTACCGTATGCAGCACTAGTGCTGCTACACACAGATGCACATCACAACAGTCTGATAAAGGCTAAGATGTATTCACACCACACTTAACGCAAATCAAATAATTGTTCTAAAATGTGTGTAGAAACATTAAAAACACATTTACAACAAATTTCTCAATTACCAAAACATTTTAATACATAGAAACGTTTCTTACTTATCAGGATCAAACCCAATCATTTTACTAACTGAACTATGCACTTCATGTTTCTAGGATGTTGTTAATACATACCATAAGGCCCTCATAGTGTAGAATGCGTCAAATGATCAGATTTTACCTGTTCTTCCTTATATCTCAAAATTGTTGTTTTCCTGTGGACTCTACATATGACAGAATTAGTCAACAGCCCCCCTACAGTATATGTTGGAATTGCCCTTGTAAGTAGACGTCCAGGGTTCAAATACCTGCAGAAGCATGTGATTTTCTCTTTGGCTCTGTGTCCAGACAGGCTCCGACACTCATCTACCCTTCCATCTGATGTAAATAAAGCAGTTTGAGCATGTCTGTGACCACTCACCAAACACATGTAGCTTTACATCCATTCTTCTACATCTTCATGCAACGGTGCTTAAGCACATGGACAATTTTACCTTTATCTTACATGCTACTGTTAATGATTCTCATATACTATGACATTAAGTATTTCCTGTGCTCTGCTGTGGGTGCATTTCTCTCCTCCTATTTTGGTGCAGTGTACATAAATACCTTATAGCGATCTCGACGTGGGCAGAGCTTTCCACTAGGTAGGGGTGCTCTGCAAGCCCACCGGACTGGTTCAAATTTACCAGTGAATTCAATTACTCTGGTCCTCAAACTTGGTATACCATCAGGCACTGGTACCTCTTCTAGCTCTTCTAAAGAAGTATACCAGAATCTGGAACCTTCAGCTCTAACACTAGAACAGAACCCACCCACTATGTAGTGCTCTAATACATAAATACAAGCAACAATCGATTGCTGCACGTTCAGAAATATAACTGGGGAGTGGAAGCAAATACAACAAAGGAACACAGTTCCCATACATTGTATGATCTACTGAAGCACCCAGAAAGATAATTTTCCAACAGATGTCAGTAGGAGATAGGAAGGAAACAGCAGTGAGGTACCATCATCTGGGATGTGATGCTTAGTAGCATAAAGGTACTGTCATTTCAGAGGAACCTGCTGCCTCCAGGGAAGGGGAACGTTTCTCCTCAAATTTTGGCCCTGACCTTTTAAGGCCCACCATCTTCCACTGGCCCACTTGCAGCCTCCCTTTTGTCCTTTCCCCAAATTTGTACCCTTGTTTTGCCATGTGAAATGCTGGTACCTTCCTACCACACTACAGGTGCCACGCTCCTGAATACATTCAGGGGATGAACAAAATAATGGAAACACTTTACACATTTCTTTACTAATATGGTGTTGGACCATCTTTTCCCTTCAGTACAGCCATAATCCTTCTTGAAATGGACTTGTACAAGTTTTTAACAGTCTCTAGCATAATTTTATACCATCCTTCTTGAAGAACATCTTCAAGTTGCTTTAGAGACGCTGAAGGTGGGAATCTGTTCCTCACTCTAGTCTCCAAAACTGACCAGAGTGGTTCAAGGATGTTAAAATTTGGTGATTGTGCTGGCCCAGGGAAGATGCTGAAGTTCACCTTCATGCTCTTTGAACCGTGGCTGAACAGTTCCAGCTGTGTGAAGGGGGGCACTATCATCTTGGAAAACCGCATCATTGTTCGGAAATGTCTGGATCATGGGATGCACCTAATTACCCAACCCGTCCATGTACTCCCTTGGATTAATTCGGCCATGAAGGATAATAATGGGACAAACAGAATACCATGATATTGCTGCTCAAACCGTCACAGAATCTCCCCCGTGTTTCACTGTTGGTACCAAACCAGATGTTCCCCAAATGTAAACTCTTCCTGGTGTAGGGAACAATGTGCATGATAACTCATCTGACCATATGACACATTTTCAGTTGTCTGATATCCACGTTTTATCGACGTGTAAACAAACAAAAGAAGAACATTCAATGTTGCCAACACAAATTCTATTCCTCAATTTCTTAGTGTTTCTATTATTTTATTCATCTCCTGTACTCTTGGGACAGATGACGATTAAGGGACATTGTACGTAAAAACTCTGAAAATTTAAATGGAAGGAACCAACAATTATAATTAAATGTATTTAAATTATAAGACTTTTGTGGCAACAATTTTTATTTTAATGTGACATGTATTTACTCATGTCAACTGAACCAACATTTCTAATTAATTTGGTGAAAATAATATGACTTTTGTGGCAACAATATTTTATTTTTATGTGGTATATACCTCATAACGTCAATTTTTCATGAAGATGATACCTACGCAACCATTGTAGGAGCCTGAATTTTGTCATCCTCCCAGTGATATAGATCAATATCAAATGGAACTTTTGGAGCTGCAGCTAACAGCTTTGCTCTTTGACTTTCTTTTGAGATGTACACTGAATTATCTTTTGATGTTGAAGGTACTGGTTCTTCTTCATTAACTTTTTCATTCTCTGAACAGCCTCTTGTTGGTGTATTCTCATGTTTGCTACAAGATGCTGCTGTGTGGTCCATATTTTCTTTCTTTGGAGATTTTGGCATTGCTGAATTTACTGACTTCAAAACTGACAATGTGGACCGAGCAGATGTGGGATCCTGTTAACATAAACAAAGAAATCTGGAGAATATAATGTGAAATTAGAAAGTAATAAAAAGACAAAATCACATAATGGGAAACTCAGTAATGTGTAGTTCTGAATGGAGAGAGATTGTAAACATAGTTTCAAATTCTCTATGAAATGATGAGTACTATCCTCTGGAATATAACGCTGGGCAGTCATTGAAAGTCAGCCAATAGATTCAGCTTTCCACCTGCTTTCGCGCTAGTATCTTGCTCATCTTATTCAACTGTGACTATGGTGGTGATATGTTCCTATGAAAAGACAGCTGCCTTTCAATGGATTACATAGCGTTATATCCCAGAAGATAGGACTCTTCATAACCACTGCTGTGAGAACCTCAGGTCCTACATCTGTATGAAATGTTCGCATCAGTATTTATGGACTTTGTGATGTTGTGAAAGTTTGTATCTGGCAATGTTAGAACTGTTGGAATCGCTGCTTTACTACTGGAAATTATATCCAGAAATGGATCACTATATTAGTGAATATTAATGCACAGTTCTTACTAACCTTACCATACAGACTGAAATACTTGAAAAAAAGTAGTTATAAGTCATTACCAAAAGCTTTTATTTATAATATGGTTGACAAATTAATTCCAACTATTGCTGTCCATTCTGGTTCAAATATTCAGATATTAAAAATGATCAGAACTTCGCTCAGGTATTCAACTTAAGAAAATTAAAATATTGAGTTACTGTATAACACACTCACTATCTTGAGTATAAAGCTCTGAATACAAGAAAATAAGTAACTACCATTTCACTATTATCTTCTGACCATATATTCCAACTGGACTGATTTTCTGTCTTTGTGTTGAATTTCTTTAGCCCAAACACTGTCCCTGCAGACAGACCAGATAATGGTACATCTTCCTGTGCCATCTTCTCGTAACCATCTTTCTCTTCAACTTCTTCAAAGTCTGAGTCAGATGAACCATTTGCATCATTAGGAACAGTGTGGCACTTTAATTCTGTGTATTTCTTTGTTGCTTTTTCAAGAGAATTCTTTAGATCTAAAATCTTTTTCAACTGGTCTGAGCTTCCTGTAAACATACAAGATCATATCCCTGTTTATCTACAATATGCTTTTGAAGGTTTGTGACAAAGGTGTGTTATTAAACTGACACATATTTCGAATCTGTTCCACTGTCTTGTGGAAGATGGTTTTGCTTCCGTCATCAGGTAAAGAATTAAATGTACTTTAATGGGTTTGGGGATACAGATTTGCTCCATCTACTGGACCCAACAACCCTAGACAATATGTTCCATACTTTTACCTGATGTTGGAAGCAGATGTAGCTTCCCAACTATTCTCTCTCTTTAATCAAAATGAGACAATTGGTTTACATTACTCTTGTTCCAGCAGATAGTGGAATCAAAAATAGTTTACAAGTTTCATGGATCTACTGTGTGTGTGTGTGTGTGTGTGGGGGGGGGGGCTTTCCCCAGGGGCAAAGTGGATGGGGTGTGAAACTGACTACTCACCCCCATCTAGTGCCAAACTTAAGAATGTATGGCTGTGCTTATTTAAGCTTAGACAACTTTACCCTTTTCTGATATGTTAACTGGTCATATGCTCTGGGTTCTTGCAGAAATTAAACTAATTGATAAAATACCAGCATATAACATCTGAAATTGAATACAGTTAAGTTTATGCACTTGCCTGAAGCTTTGGTGATAACTTGTATCCACTTCTTAACAGTTGGTAGATATCTGTTGTTAATAAGTGTATACATATCTTTTGCATTTTCGAAGATAGCATCATTATCAGCTGTCTCCTTAATTGATGTTGAATCTGTTACAAAAAACAAAAATAAGTTGAAACCCCTTGAACCACTTTGGTTGCCCCCCACATATGAAAGGTTTCTGTATTTCTTTACCATTGTCAGGCAGGCAGAGGTCAGACAGGTCAAATAGCATAAATACATTCATCTTTCCACATTTGTGGCTTTACTTGCATTATCACTAACTGTCTTTGGAAGATTTATTGGGAATCTTGATTTCATGCAGGTTCACAGTATCTAACCTATGTGTGCCAGCTCACAGGCCACCTGTCTGCACCTTCCTTTTATACTGGCAACATCTTTGGGTTTTCAGTATTTGTTTTACATTTTCAATGTGCTTCTGTTTCTCAGAAGGGGTACGCAGTAGCATAGTGGTTAAAGTACTATGCTACAAGCCGGAAGGTCGCGGGTTCAAGTTCCGATGAGGTCATTGGATTTTTTTCAATTGACCTAATCCTTCCGGCCACACTAGGCCCTGGGGTTTACTCAGCCTCTAACAGAAATGAGTACCAGGAATTAATTAAATAATTTTCCTGGTGAGTGAAGCGCAGCTGGTGCATAAGGCTGACAACCTTACCGCCATCTTTGAGCCAATTGTCAAGGTAATGTGGGACCCTTAACGTCTCACAACCCTGTGGGCCTTCATGGCCTGCTACAGGGATAGTTTTACTTTTTTACTTTTACTTTTGTTTCTCAGAAGGGTAAGTGATGTTTAGCAGCTGAAGAAATGAAAATAATAATACATAAATCATTAACATGGTACACACACATATTTATTTATGGCAGTGACCAACTTCACAAATTTTGCTATTTGTGATCTCATGAACATGCCCCTTACAAATATGGAGGTATGTCTGTAAAGACATTAATAAAATATACCATTTATGAACATCCTTATCATCTTTATTTATAACTGAAATAATATTTCATTTAAATTATTAACAAATACCTGTATTTACATTCACTTCAATACTATATTTTGAATTGAGTATTCCATATTCTCGAAAATCAATGTCTTCCTCAGAATCTGATGTTTCACTTCCAAACTCAGAATTGTCTTCTTCCATATCATCATCATCTTTAGATCTGCTTATGGATGGGACATCAGAGTCATTTTTTACAATATTTTTCTTCTCTTCAACTTTTCTAGCACTTTCAATTAATTCTGACAACCTATCTTTCTGATCTAAATCTTGTTCTTCATTTTTATTTTGATCTTCTGTTTGCTTTGTACCAGAACAGTTTGAAGGACTAGGTTTTTCATCAGAGATTTTAGATTTTGTTTCAGTTTCATTTCCATCTTGAATAAAGAAATCTTCTGGTGTTGGAAAGAGCAGACAAATGCAGTTTTCCAGTGCTGTCAGTGTATTTGTTATTTCAGGCTGCATTTCTGTAATAAACATAAGAAAAATTTAGAAGGCATTAATTTATGATTGTCAGAATTTTCTGTGAGAATGTACACTCAGAAAACACAAGCACTGAATCCTAAAGAGATATATTTTAGTTGTAATACACTCACACACCATTACAGTTTTCCACATTCTGTTTAGTACCAACACCCACAAAATCCATTATCTGACAGTTAAGTGCCTTTGTTGGTATGTTTGTGGGACATGGTTTCTTACCTTAAGTGAGAGTATATTAAAACCAAATCTCAAATACCTGGACCGAAGGAGATGAATTAAGCAGAGGACTGAGTAAATTACATAATTAAGGCCATATTAAGATTTGAGATTCCCATGAAAGTGGCCAAAATGATTATGGTCTTCTGGGATGTGGCACCATGTAGTGTTGTAGACACATACTAAGATTTTCAGAGGAACCTGCTGCCTCCATCTTGAGGGTAGAAGAGCACTATTCTATCCTGAAAGTGGAAGCAGTGAGTTTCTGTGAAAAAACTGGTACCTGTTTACCTAACCATACAGTGCCACAATCCAGAAGACCACAATTTTGACATAACAAGATGTCTGTGATTTACACTCTTCTCAGATGTGGCAAACAAACACATTCTTCCTGTAAAGTAACCTCACTGACATAGGCACAATAGATCACTGTGGTCGCGGTGCAAGGGTCAAGAAAGCCCACCCCTTACACAGTCATTCCTTCATTCAACCTCACTGACATGTGGATGGGGGGAAATTGTTAAAATGGATCTTAAGGGACTAGGAAAGGTGTGGAGTGTGAAGTTGGCTGAAGTATCTTAGAACTCAGTCCATCTGTGGACTCCTGTATTGAAAGTACCTTCTGCTTCTAACACAGAAATTTAATGGACAGATTAGTCAGCCTACAGCAAAACATTATTTCTCACTCAACAGTTTTGACATGTATAATATATGCGAGTCCCACTCTTCCCTAAACAGGTTTCTTGGGCTTTGAGAACTTTCATTGCAAATTTATAATTTAGCAATTTTTTTTAAAAAACTGACTTGTCCAATTGTACATAATGTAACAGTTATGGATGTTAAATAAATCAAAACAATACTGAAAATTACTGTCTTCTGAGATGTTATGCTGTGTGTAGTCTGGCAGAACATTGGAAATATTTTGGAGGAACATGCTGCCTCAGGTTACTTCACTTTTCTGCCATAAAGATGGATGTTGGTACCTATCTACCAGAATTAACAGCGTAACATCCCAGAAGACAGTGACCTTTACAATTACTGCTATGGGAACTGTAAATCTCACACACAATCCGTATGTTTTGTGGTTATGCCATACTGATCAAACCTTTTACATCATATCTGCATTATGAAACACAGCACAAACCATTTATTTCTATCATTATTTTCTTCAATTTCTCCTGGTTTATCAAATTTTGCCTTCTTTCCTGCTCCTGTTGCCTCACTTGTTCTGCTGAATTTTCAATTTGTAATGCATTAAAATCCACCTGGAACAAAAAGGAAGGTAATTAATTAATAACATTTTCAAATGTACATTGTATATTAAAAACGTTGTGCAGTGTGTAGTTACATGCATGAAAGAAATAAATTAAGTGGAGGTACTAAAATAGCAAACTTATCTTAAATTGTGGTCAGGTTCTACCATAGAAACTATAAACAGATGAAATGTAAAAGTGAAAGAACATGGAGAAGGGAAGGATATGAAAGAAATAACGAGAATAAATGAGGAAGGCTGCTGAAAAGGAAAGAATATAAAAAATGTAGCACATATAGCGATGATGAGTAATATAGGCAAAATGTGATCACTTGGAAGATACTAGTGCAGATGAGAGGATAATATTAAAATGGGTCTTAAGAGAAAAGCATGTAAGGGTGAACTGAAACATACATACTGATTACATATACTGTATATGAATTGATTACATATGTAAATTAAAATACCCAATTATACTTTAAGCTGTTGATTTGAATTAAACAAAATACTTTGCCTTCTTGCAATGTTTCAGGAAATTATAACCAAGTTGCAATTTCTTATATCCATCTCCATATTCCTTATTCCACTCTTGTATGCACTGTAATGCCATACGTTTAAGACTTAGAGCAACAGATCGAGGTGGAGGAAGAAGTCGATCAGAGGAAGTTTCACATGTCAGCTCCATCACATGTTGCATGTTAGAAACCAGCAGTTCTCGGAAAAAGTGTGATCTCCTGAATGACAGTAATTCAATATATTGTTATGTTGGCAACTCTCTAAAGTTAAAATATAATGCTAGAGTTGGCAACATCTAAGTAAACAATTTTCAATAATAGACTGTGCTACATGCACTGTTCCTAATTTCTCTATTGTTATGTGTGTAAAAATAGAATTTCTCTATTGTTATGTGTTACCATGGTTATGTGTATGAATATATATAAAATGCTTTAGTGTATCAAATGTTAATCTTAATAAAGCAGGGTTAGACTGAACACTAATTTTTACTTATCATTTGATCCACGTAGGCATGACAAATAACATATATTAGTTAAATGAGAACCATGAAGAATAGAGGACAGCACAAACAATTAGTTATCATGTCAGCTCAGTCAATGAAGTGACAGGCTTGGGAGTATGAGAGTTATTTATTAAACAGTATCAAAAATCATCAAAGTATTTTCTTCTGTATATATAAAACTGAAAGGTAATGGTGAGATGATTTGAGTAGATGGATCTGCTTTGAGTTTGCCATAAGGCCATGATGTGTGCCACTTGCTAGACTTGCACACAGAGATTGCAATAATAGATGGCACTGCTAACAACTGTTTGGGATGCTACAAGCAACGATTTTTTACATTACTGTATGCCATTGACTGAATCACCATTTGACCAGTAGCCACAGAAAAGTTCATAATCAGTAGAACAGCCACTTTTCGTAGCTCATATAATATTGCTCTGTTTGTCTAACATGACAAAAATTATCAAATGGCCCTTGGAAATAAATATAACCTTGGTAAACTTACAGTTAGAATCATAGCATCAACTACATTTGATCATTTGGTGTTCTCTAGCACAATGGACAGTTACTAGGTGTTATGTACTCCAGCTAAAATAATGCAAATCCACTATGATTTTAAACTGTTTGCGTCAGTTTATATTATTGTAATGTGTGTCACTATTTTCAGAAACTGAAAAATGACAATTCTTTTTTTGTATGTGGGCTAAAATTCAGAATAGAGATTTAGCAGTACCTTCTCCTGTATGCTAAACTCCATTTATACTGATAAGGATGAGAACCTAGTAAAGCTGAGGAGGTGGAATGCAACAATTGTCATTAATCTGTGTGTCAATCAGACGTCATTATAAATATGGATCCAAAATAGTATGTACTAGTTTTTAAGACGATACATTGTATCAGGGATTAATTACATTCCTACACCTGATTTACTTAATTTATGTTATTTAGATATCTGATTTTCTTTTGACAGTGCCATCCCTTAGTAAGCAGTGTTCTTATATTACATTTAGTTAAGTCTAGCTGAGATTACAAATATGGAATAAGCTACATTGACAGTTTACCCTATAACCCATAATAGGTACACAGTTTATTTCACCTAAAGAGTTCATTACAAATTTGAAAGGCACTGAATCGTATCTCTGCATGTGCCTTCTCAAGTTGATAAATAAGTAAATGGTAAGCATGTTCCACATAGCCATCAGATATCCTGCAACAAGAAAAAATATTGTAATTGAATGGTAATCCACAGGATACACAAAGTAAATTAACACTGAACCATTAAGTACAATGCTAAATTCAAACATATGATCTACACACACAAGAAAAACATGGTTAGCATACTTGCAGATGTTCTTTAATTTTTTCAATACATCTTTATCCAACACTTTTTGCCCAGTGTGTGTAAGAGTTTCCACATATTTTCCCACTTGCCTACTGAGATTGCTATCTAAAGGTGTAGGCATACTTATATAGAGACAGAATCAATTCAATTACTTCCTTCTACACTGGCAAAGTTGCTACTAGGCACAGTGTTGTGCAATATTTGCAAATGACAGTTCAGTAATTTGCAAACAGCTGTTATGCAGTAGCCATATTGAAAGTGACGATACAGTCGTTTTTTTTTGGGGTCGAGTTCAAGAATCCTCAGGTTTCGGTGGCGTTTAGTGTACAGCCAGGATTTCTTTCTGAATTGCGTCGCGTTTGTGTGAAACACGGATTACCAGGCTTCACACCCCACGCACCCCACAGACAAACAAAATGGCATTAGATTAAGTGACATTTCTGTATTTTTGTGTTGGTTTTCAAAATAATTATGACCTTTCAGGGAAAGGCTACCCCAGAAATGGAATTATTCCGTACCGATCAGTATTACATACTTGTAAACGGTGAATATGGGTTATGGTGGGATCGGACAACTGGTGAATTTGATGCAAAATCAGGTAATGGGGTGAACCACTCCCACCCTCTGTAGCTAGTGATGTGACATGAATAGAATGTTAACCGTCTTGGTGCAGAATATAACATATTTGTGATAAAAATTACAGTTATTAATACTTTTGCCTGATGTTACCCGTTCTTTTCAATTTTTTCTTAGCCTGGGACCTAGCATCAGCTGATGATCCAGAATGTCTAGGTGTCTTGTATGGTATTGTTGGAAAAATTGAACTACAGTCTGTTGTAGACAGCCGTTTGATGCTCATAAAGGAATGTGCACCAGTTGGAGACTTGCCTGGTGGTAAAACTGTTTACAAGATCAAATCAGTAACGTTTCTACAACTTGGACCAGCAGGGGATGCTGCAGACTTAGGTCTCAAAACATGCAAAAAACATCAGAACAACAAAAAGGCAGGCCCTTCTGGTGGTGGTATTTTTGACATACACCAAAAGGCAGCATTTGCTAAGACTTGGGGTACCATTAAGTCAGCTACTAACACGATTAAAAATACAACACAGCAAGCAGCAGCACTAGCAACATCTCAGGTGAATGTTATAAATAAGTGGGATTTAATTCATTCATTCATTCATTCATTTATTGTAAAATTCCATTGATCCAGTCGAGGCAACAGAGTACGCCAGATGGATGTAGAACCAGTCACATCTCATGTGCTAGGGATGTTGAACTTACATTTTAATGCAGTAATTTTTTGTCCAAATATAATTTGTATTTATGAATTTAAAATATTTTTTCCCTTCCTCATGCTAATTTTTAGGTAGATTCTATATCTGAACTTAGTTTGGCAGGATCTGTTTATGGCTTTCCAGTTGTCTAAAAGTCATTTGGTTCACATAAATGACATGCATTCTTCATGTGATTAGGCTTAACCATTTTGACTGACTTACTGCATTTTAAATGTTTTTGTATATTGTTGAACAAGAGTTTTACAAGAAAGAAGAAGTTTTCAGTTTCAGCTAAACTGCTTAAATAGTTTACAAGCAAGAGTAAGCAGATAAATCTCAGGTGACCAGTAATTGGAATGTATGCAAGGAATACTTGAGAGATTGCATGTACACAGAGATAGAATAAATTGGTTGCTTTCTTTTGTAAGGGTAGTTTCAGGAAACAACCACAAGTTCCTCTTATTTATATGCTGAGTATATATTGAACAGTGGAATTTAAATGAAAACAGTAATATCATAATGTGCCTGCATCTGATTACTGACAGTTATACATCTTGTCAAGAAGTACTGTTTGTTTTGTATGTTTTCGTAAGGTTATTTTATGGTAAATATAAGTTTTGTGGTTGTTGTGGCAATGATTATTCAGATTGTGGTCTTCTGGGTTGTGGCATCATGCAGTCTTTCAATATGTAAGATAGTGATGTTGTAGGAATGGGAATTATGGACTGCCTATTACAGCAGTACTGAAACAAAAGTTTGCCAAAGCTGCTTTCAGTTGTAACGTTTTTATATTTTTGTGCCATCATGTACAGATTGTTCCAAAAATTAAAATATTCCTTATAAAGATATATATTAGGTAACTTTTGGAGGTCAAACGTCCTTTACAGTTTTGCTGGAAACATCTTTTTGTGACATATGTGATTTCAAAGTTTGGCCTTGCTGATTATCCTGAAATGCAAAAAGAAAGGGAAGTGTTTTGTGTTACCTTAACATCTACCGGCACAAAATAAACCACTTTTTAAAGGAAATACGTTAGCCGTTATGCCATTTTCTGAATGATACATGAGAGATGCCCACAATTATTCCAGTATCTCTGATGTCCTTTGTACAGTTTTGTCGGTTGGTATAACAGTGTTGACTTTTTTCAGAAGAAGGTACATCTGAACTCTTATTTTGGCTGTTATATTGAGCTGTCTGTCCAGAAAATTTCAAGCTAATAGCATGTAAATTCAGTCAAGTCACGAGTTCATAGTGTCCCTCGAGGTCTACAATGTTTAAGAGTAGATCCATGGACGTATTATCTGTGGAAGCCATAGGTATAAATGAGAATTAGTGTTTTCCCTCTTGAATTTTCAACAGACATTCTGCCAATGTTAGATAAATAACAGAATATATCTTATATTGAGTCTAAAAATATTAATGCAAAACTTACAGGTGAAATTAGGGAAACGAAGAGATAGCAAGGACCGAGAGAAGTTTGAACGTCGGATACTGGAAGAACTTCAACGAATTTTTACAGAGACGGACTCTTTCTATTACTGCTTGGATGGTGACCTTACAAACTCTCTGCAGCGGCAGTGTGATCTGAAAGAAAACAATAAGGAATTTTTGAATAACAGAGGTTTTTGGAGAACTGTCGATGATAGATTTTTCTGGAACAAACACATGCTACAGGATATCATATCATTGAATGTAAGCATTTCATACAGGTGTTGGTTACAGTTAGTCTAATAGAATATGATGATGATGATGATAACGATAATAATAACAACATTAATAATAAGGACAAAAACAACAATAACAATAATAATAACTTTTCTTTATTATTTCTTATGATGAAATAAAGGTTCCCTGAATATTTTCTTTCCAGTGTCCTCTGGCAGATCCATGGATAATACCAGTTATTCAAGGTTTTGTACAAATTGAACATTGTAAGGTAGAAATAGGATTTGATCCAGCAGTTAATGAAGCTTTAGAACCAAGATACGAGGTAAACCAAACTGTGATTTTATGTGTGTGTTTGTGCATGATCTTTAGTATTTATGCCCTGTGCATGCATGGAAGAAATATGAAATGGGTTCAAAATTTAGCTGCAAAACCTCACAGGAGAGAGACAAGTTGGGAGGCATGTGTAAATGAGTTAATAATATCATTTAGTGGTCTTAGAAAAGTAAGTTGTGAAATGGACTGAACTGGCTCAGAATTGGGGGCACTGGTGGTCTTTTATACTTCTGGTATGAACATCTTCCATAATGGAATTTCTCGATTACCTGAACTGCTCTCAGTTTTTCAGGGCTTTCCGTTAGCTATTGATTCCCCTTTGTATGCATTTATTCATAACAAACTGAATGACGTAACACATTTTGTTATAGAAAACGATTGTCTTATCATAGACATACTGTATTTGTTATTTTGAGATGTTGCAGGACATTTATATCTGAGATATCTTACCACCATATATAAGAAAACTTGTTAACACACCTTGTGTAATAGTTCTTGATGCCCATTATTTTTTTGTGGGTGGGTTATGTAGCATACATGGGGGAGAAAAGAAATTCCTGCGGGTTTTCTGTGGGGAAAGTCAGAATGAAACAGACCATTAGGAAGACCAAAACATAGATGGGGGTGTAACATTAAAATGGATCTTAAAAGAAATAGGATGAGGTGGTATGAACTGGATTAATCTGGTTCAGGATAGGGACCAGTGGCAGGTTGTTTTGAATATGGTAATGAACCTTTGGGTTCCATGAGATGTTGGGGAAATTCTTGGGTATCTGAGTGACTGTTGGCTTCTGAAGAAGGACTTTACTCCATGGAGTTATTTAGTTAGATCTTTTGCCTTTTGTGACTTGGGTTATTAGCTTGTTTGATTTGAAAATTAAGTTAATTGTGACTGACAGTCTGTAAATACTATTAATGCAATTCACATATCTATACATCATCTGTCTGATGACATCATTTTTTGGTGATCTTTGTTGCAGACATTTACACTGAGTCTTATCTCCCGCCGCAGCCGTTTCCGAGCTGGTACTCGGTACAAGCGACGTGGGGTTGATGAGGGTGGAAAGTGTGCCAACTATGTTGAGACTGAGCAGATCGTGTCTCATCACCACCATCAAGTGTCTTTTGTACAAGTCCGAGGTTCTGTTCCAGTGTTCTGGTCACAGCCAGGCTATAAGTATAGACCTCCTCCTCGCATTGATAAAGGTAAGGTGCTTCTCCTGTTCAGTAAAATCTCCAGCCAATGGTTCTATAGCTCTCTTTAATTGCCAGATGGAGGAGAGGGTAGCAGAACAGTCATGGAAATATGGTAAGGGATGGTCCTCTGGTTTAGGATTTGGGTGCAAGATGAATCACTCTTCTCCATAAAATTTTGCTTGCTGCGAACTTTCATAAAGGCCTTGGAATTAGATGGATTATTTTTAGTGATCTAAGTGGTGGATCAAAAGGGCCAAGGATTGTGTCCGGTATTGGGCTTTGGTATTAGTGATGTTGTATGTTCAGGCTCTTCTTTCAGTCTTAGTTAAATTGCTAGTGGAGTAGGGACTAAGTCCCTTGCACTGCGGCCACTTCTGGCCTATTGTACCAGCCCCAGATGATAGGTGAGGGTTATTGTAGAGCAGTTGGTGGAATGAAGATTGGCAGGGGAAACTGAAGTACTCGGAGAAAACCTGCCCCAGCGCCACTTTGTCCACCTCAAATCCCACTTGACCAGACCCAGGATCGAACCCAGGCCACCACGTTGAGAAGCTAGCGACTAACCGCTTGAGCTATGGTGCAGTATTCCAGACTTAGTTAGTTATTTAGTTAGATGATATTTAAATCTTCAGTTCATTTTGGGCTGTATGAACTTGCACTTTGCATTTAGGCCTGTGTTTGTCTTTAGACTCATTTTGTTAAACATTTATTATGGCCAGAAAAAAGCAAAGCATATCACATAAGTTGTAGCTTTTAATAAGGCTTGTTTGTGTTGGCCTACATGTGAGCAGAATTTCTCGGTTTGTGTGTTTGCTGTAAATAAAATTTCAGTATTCAATAAAAAGTATTTTTGTCAATAAAGTATGCTGTTCAAACTCATGATGGACAAGAGATTATTGTGTCTGAATTTATTATTGTAATCTGGTTGAAAAATACATTTTTATGCTTATTTCTGGATAAATTTGCTTTCTTCCTTTTAAAAGAATTTCTTGTCTCTTCACTATTGTCATTTTTGGCCTCTTAAATTGTAGTGTATATGCCAATGAATGAAATATGTTTTGTTATTCACAGTTCTGCCGAGATGAAGCGTGAGTTTGTTAAATCCAGTACATTGTTTTTCAAATTTCTTTGCACCACAGAACTGTTCCATGAACACAATACTCAAATCCTGGTCTAAGTAATTATTTCCAAGAAATTTCCTGCATACTTGTCTCTATCAGTTATATCAGACACTCACTCACTCTGACCCCTCATCGCACATGTAGAAATGTATATGGTGTTTCAAAAATTATTTCCTCTCAGAGAGGAAATGCTCTTTTATTTGTATATCTCAACTATGCAATTAGAATAAAATATAACATACTTATAATGCCAGTTATCACACCAATGCCATAATTTTTTTTTTTGTGAATCCATCTTAATATGATTGTCCCTGTAAATATGCCTGAAATGTTTTCCATAACCCCATTTTGGAACCACTGCCCTAGTGTAATGCTGTTTAATCTGATGCTCAGGGGAAGCAGAGACGCAGCTAGCTTTCGAAAAGCACTTCGAAGAAGAAATAGCTATTTATGGACCAGTCTGCATTGTGAATTTAGTGGATCAGTCCGGGAAGGAGAAGATAGTTTGGGATGCCTACACCAACCATATCCTTGCATATAATAGCCTAGACCTAATGTATGCCACATTTGACTTCCATGAATATTGGTAAGTAGTAATATAAATTAGTCATATACTTACTAAGATAAATAATCATTACATAGCGCAAGCAGATCTGTTACACGTTGAATGTAGTTTTGGAAAAGAGCTGTATCTTTCCTCTTTGGTGTTTGTTTTTACCTCCTTCATTGATCAGTATATTCTCTGAGTTTTCAAGAAAGTTGAAATGTATCTCTATTCATTAATTTTGTGGAGAAAACTTGCAGTTATATATATATGCAGGTGTTTCTACCCTCCTTGAATTATTTTTAATGCAGGTAACTAAATATTTCTGGCATGTGAAATGAAGAAACCGTGAACATTAATTGAGTGAATTTAACAGTTTAAACCATGGGGTTGTATAAGAACACCAGCTGGATAAGAAGTCCTGATGGTTCTCTACTAAAATATATAAAATGCATGGTTATGTTTGTGTCAGAATTGCAAAATTAAATGAATTAATATTTATATCCCTCATGGAAGTATGGACAAAGATAGGTGCAAAATTTTGATGAGATACTTGTTGAAAAATGGTAACAATAAGATGGATGGAACAGCTCAGAATGATGTTTAGTGATGGGCTTTGATATTAGTGGTGTTGAATGTTTAGGTTCTGTTATAATAGACTGGGTTATTTACCTCAGGTGTTTCTTATACTTCGTTTAAATTGCCCCGATTGAAATAGCACCGCATGTGGGAAGCATGGTTATGTAGACACTTTTAAATTGAAAACAAATTTTGTTTGTAGTTCCTTTATTATTGTCAATATAAATACAAATTTTGGAAGTTACTCCTTGCTTGCAGCCGAGGTATGCATTTTGAAAATGTGTCGGTACTGATTGCCAGTCTTGTGGACATTATCCGGGATATGAACTACTGCTGGACAGACAAGGAGGGCCGGATATGTAGTCAGAAAGGCATCTTCAGGGTCAATTGCATTGATTGCCTTGACCGAACAAATGTTGTGCAGGTGGGTTAATGATAAATTTTGCTTAAAGAAAGGAATTTTAGTAATTTACATTTCAGAACAAGCTTATAAGATTCATTAATATCTGATTTTTGATAAAGCAGAATTAGATAGCAGTTGCGCAAGTTGCACAAAATGTTCAGGTGGGACAATATCCGTCTGCACTCAGATTTAGAATTAAGCAGTTTTGTAGGAAAGTGAATATGCCAAGAAGATTTGCATAGTGGGGGTTGGAATCCATCTGGGTCCACTCGGCATGGCAGCCACTGATTGGCCTGTTGTGCCTGCCACGGGTAATTATGTTGATGGAGAATTTGGTGGAATGAAGATTGGCAGGGGAAACCGATGTACTCGGAGAAAACGCACCCCAGCAGCACTTTGTCCACCATAAATCTAACTTGACCAGATCTGGGATCGAACCCGGGCCGCCACGGTGGGAAGCCAGCTACTAACTGCTTGAGCTATGGTGTGGCCTGCCAATGTGTCCTTATTATAAGCAAAAAATAGTATATGGTAACCATATGAATTATAAACCTATTTCTAATAATACACGAAAAGATGTACAAGTACAGCATACAGTTTGCATAGGACAGAAAAGAAAGTGCATTTCTCGCAACAAGGGCATATCTACTACCACTCTCCGTACAAGGATTTTACCTGCTGAGACAGACTTTTCCCACCGAAACTGGATTTGGATCTTACTACATTTGGTATGGAAATGGAAGGTAACATGTGAAAAACAATTGGTAACATTTCTTTTGAGCTTCAACAAGCTGTACTTAAATTTTCCTTTCATTTATGTGACATTTACAAGAGAAAGTATTATGTGCCTACACATTGGCAGCAGCCCATCACTTGACGGGATCAACATTAGCATGCAGTGTTCTTTAACCCATCAGATGATGGCAAGATTGCCAATGAATGTATTTATCTAAAATTAATACAGGTTCATGTAAAAATAGTGTCATATGCATTGGCTCCCTGTTGTCTTTAGTTTGTGAGGAACAGAACAGAATCAGTTTTGGAAATCACTACTATAATGGTCTTTGTGGGGGAATGGATCCTTTTTGTTGAAATCTTCGAACTACAATTAAGAGAAAAATTTTGACAAAAGAGACTGGAGCCTTCTGCTTGTTTCTGTTAACAGGCTCAAATTGTGATGCATAAGTACGACTAACTTATATTTATGTTGTTTGTAATCTTGTTAATTTTTTGACTAAACTGTTATTGTACAGATGTCATTGTATGTATGCAGTATTTGACGTGTTCTATATCCTATGGTGTCTACCTGTACCTGGATGTACAGAACGTAAATAAATTGAACAAATTGAACTGCTGTTACTATATCTTTAATATGTCCCATAGGAAAGTTATGGGAAATTTCTTAGTCCAGTTGATTGTCAGTTGCATTGTGAGAGTTGTGCTTCACCCAGACGCAAAGATCTGTTTTTGGACTGTGAATGTGTTGTTCTCTAAAACTCTCAATATAAAATTGATGTGATTATGTTGGTAATTGTTAATTTAAAGCTGTCACAGTTTATTATAGTAAATTTAAAGAAAATGACTAGAAACATTCTTCCAAAGAAGGAATATATTTGTTTGAGAGAAGATGGGATGCTGGGTTAGCAGGCATTTGTATTACAGTCAGGGATTTTTAGAGATGTTCGATATTTGAACCCCCCAAGTTATGATTGGGCACACAGACATACACATTGTTTTATTTATTTACATACATTAGAAAATATGAAGTTAAGGTTTGAGAAGAAAATTGATGTGGTGAGTTTGGCAGGGGACTAAGATTTTCACTTGTACTAATCCTATGTGGCTTTTGCAATTGTATTTCAGACTGCACTAGCAAAGGCTGTGATGGAAATCCAATTCTCAAAACTTGGTTTGATTCCGCCTGAAGGGAACATTCCCTCCAACATTCGAAACACTTTCCAGTTGCTTTGGGCAAACAATGGTGACATCATCAGTAAGCAGTATGCAGGGACCAATGCCCTCAAGGTATGGAATCCAAATTTATTTATTTTGTGAAACATTACTCTGAACAATAATATTATGATTATTGTTATATTTCATGTTTAATATTTTTAAGGTGAATGCAGTGAAATTTGAGTACCCAAGTTTTTCATTTTTGCTCTCTGGCCATTCTGCGTACTGTTGTAACAGCTTATACAAATGTGTTGCATTTTATTTTGCAATACAGTGAAACCCCTATATAATGTTCTGTGATCTAAGGCTCTTCTTTGTTTACTGTTCGGTTTCAGTGATACAAAATCAATAATCTCAGTGTTAAAATTCTCTCAGGTTAAATTTTGTTCAGTTCATTGTTCAGATGTGCTTCACCCCAATGAAACATTGATTGGTATCGGGGTTTTGCTGGAGTTAAAAAAAATTCTCTTATGTGGAGGTATTTCTTGTATCATGAGGCATGAAATAAGTTTACCTGTGCTTACTGTCTAGTAGCTGTACCGTTTAAAAGTTTTATTAAATTATACTGTAGCCTGATTCAGGAGAAAATTAAGTGGAGAATGAATTTTGGTAATGCTTGCTACCATTCAGTCCAGAACCTTTTGTCTTCTCATCTGCTGTCTACAAACATGAAAATTAGAATATACAAAACTATAATTTTGCCTGTGGTCCTATATGGGTGTGAAACTTGGTTTCTGACATTAAGGGAGGAACATAGACTGAGGGTGCTGAGGAGAATATTTGGACTGAAGAGAGATGAAATGACAGGAGGTTGGATAAAACTGCATAATGAGGAGCTTCATAACTTGTTCCGTTCTCCAATTATAATTGGAATGGTCAAGTCAAGGAGGATGAGATGGGAAGGGTATGTAGCAGGAATAGGATATTGGTGGGAAAGCCAGAAGGAAAGAGACCACTGGGAAGACCAAGGTGTAGGTGAATGAACAGTATTAAAATGGATCTTAGAGAGATAGGATGGGATGGATTGGATTGATCTGGCTAAGGATAGGGACCAGTGGAGGGCTCTTGTGAACATGACAATGAATCTTTGGGTTCCATAAAATTCTCGGAAGTTCCTGAGTGGTGCACAATTGGCGACTTCTCAAGAAGGGCTCAGCTCCATGAGTGATTAAATTATACTGTCCTGTACACTGTTGTAACCATTTTAATGTTGTAATCTGGCAGAAGAGCTGTCTGGAGAAAGCATATCTGTTTGCAGTGAGAAAATGAGCATATCATAGAATTGTAAGAAATGTTTAGAATATCAGCCTGGAAGAGGAAAGTGCTTAGAAAGACATCAGAAAAGATGGCAGGATATGTTACGCAGTACCCCTGATGGGTTAAGTAAGCATAATGCTGGGAAGAAAGGTGATGAATGAATTGTTGTAACTTGTACTTTCTGCTTATTCATTGAATTTTTAATGGCTGTTGTGTAATTATAGGGTGATTATACACGGACTGGAGAGAGAAAATTTACAGGAATGATGAAAGATGGAATGAATTCAGCCAATAGGTAAGTTAGGGTACAAATCACTCTTTACTTCAACATATCACATTGATATTTTGAATTCTTGGTTTCATGATGGAACGTCAGTCTTTTGGCACTGGGTAACAGGTCCATGTTGCAGTTGACTGAGGTGTGTGGCTGAAGTACTGTAGAAGAATGGTGTAAAGATTATTTTTGTAGATTTGGAATTTCACTTAATTTGATTGTATTAAAGTTTCAAATTGTTCCTCAGTTGTCTTCAGCATTGAACTTGTCAGGTAAATGTGACTGTCATAATATTTATATTTGGTCATGTAATAGATGATTTTAGGTTTGTGCTTTATAAATCAATTTTAGTTGCTGTCAGTCAGGAAGAAATTCTTAGCAGTGAAGTTGAAATATATTTGTATTTAACAAACATACATTTTTTAAATTAATTTTTTAGATTGGATTTTCATCTGGTTTACATTCCTGGTTGGTGACTCCATCTTGTTTTGGGCTGGTTTGCTGATGATTTGGAGAACCTGGTTGTCTCTGTCTTCAAAATGAAGTGACTGGCAGCCTGACATCTTGAAAATGGAGGCAACCACATTCTTTGAAGCACCAGCAAACAAAGGCACTGAAGACTGTGTCATAGCCTGAATTATTTGAGAGAAATATTAAATTGCAGTTAAATGTAAGGCTTCTGAATATGAGAGACATATCATACATCAGTCATGCAGAGGTCAGGATGGTGTGCATAACGAGTATGTTAAGTGAAGTGCTTCTTTGTTAGTCTGTACCAAGAAGTGTGAATTAGCCATCATTCCGTATGTCTTAATGGGTTTATAAATATTTTAGAGGGTATGTATCAATTCTCTGTTATAATTCGTGGAATTATTGGTGCTGAAATTGCTCAGGATGGATGGCTCATGTTGTGAGTATTGGTAGGGTTCAGAATTTTTCTTTTTGCCACCACATCCAGACTGGCTGTGGGCCCCATGCACCTTCCAGTGGGTACTTGGGACTTTTTGTCAGGAGGTAAATGTACCTGAGCGTGAAACTGATCCCTCCCGTTTAGTGTGAAGGTAAAACTGCATTGAATTTTACCTGCCTACCCCATATGCCTTAATTAGGCAGAAGAAAAACCTTATTTTCTTACTTTTTACATTTATAGTTCAGTTTATAGAAATATTTAGAGATTATCTGTGATAAGGTCTTAAGTTCTTTGACATCTTTGCCGCTGAATCTCATGTAGAGGGGTCCTTATGTTATATTTCTTGAAAAAGGCTCTTAAATTTAAAAGAGTTACTAGCCAGAGGTGTTATTTATGTGACAGATATTACTTGGGTCACTTTGTTGACTCTTATCGGCAAGCTGGTATCGACATAATGCAGGGTCAAACCATCGACGATGAGGATCTCGAGAACTGCACCAATGAACTGCAAACTGCAGTTTCTATAGCACAGACCCTGGTTCCATTGTCTCCACCTATGTACATGTCAGACATAGCACTCGGTCCTGAGATGAGGTTCATCAATGCGTTGTATCACATGATAAGGTGTGTGTGTCTGTCATGGCTCTCACTTCCTCTTGCCTTCCTTATGTATGGCATTTTGTCTCTTATAGGTGTATACTTAATAAGAGGCAGTGATACATTCAATTTCAGGGACTCCGTATTTGAAATTTTTGTGCTTCATGAAGTAGGTGCCTCTCACTAAACAGGTTCTCTCCGTCAGTATAAATATATCAGTGGAAACCAGAATAGTTGGTAGGTATGAAGTGTAAAGAAGTTAATGTTAGTTCACTTAAAAATGAATTGTGTTTACAAGTCAAGATTTTTCAGTTGTATAAATATTATTATTGTCTCTCGTTTTAAAATAATTTGTATGACATTTATACTTGTGAAAGTACATGACTTCTCTTCCTCAGAGAATACCATTTCTGTAGTGTCAGCACCCAGTCTGGGGGCCATGACCCAGCGGTTGGGAGACGCTGTTATAGGGAATTAGTTCATGGCTCTTCTCATATTTTTCAAATGAAAAATTGTAAATTTGCTAATTTAATGCTCATTTAAAATTCAGTAATATGTCTCTTCACTTGCTATATAACTTTGTGTAGTTTAATATTTCTCTTTTTTTCTCCTGTAATGTTTCCTATTTTACATGTTGTATTGAATAATTTGTCAAGGTTGATTACTAACACCATGTATCAGACACTGAAGGCAACTTTCCTCCATTCATGAATAACACACACATCAGTCATGAACCTTTCCCTGTTATATATGCGTATGTAAACCCACACCATTAGGCCTATGTATTTCAAATATCACATGTTACAGTAAGTAAGTTAGTAAAAACGAAGTAAAGCTATCCCCGTAACACGCCATGGAGGCCCATAGGGCTGTGAGATGTTGAGGATCCCACATTTTCTAGACAATCGGCTCATAGTTTGTGGCAAGGTTTTCAGCCCTACACGCCGGACGCCCTTTACCCTGGGACTCATTTCTGTTAGAGGCTGAGTTGACCCCAGGGCCATAGTGCGGCTGGAAGGATTAGGTCTATTGAAAAAATCCAGTGACCTCATTGGGACTTGAACCCGCGACCTTCTGGCTTGTAGCATAGTGCCTCAACCAACTATGCTACCGCATGCCCCCAAGCACATGTTATAGATGAAACAAAATTTTAAAACACATATGGCTGCTTTGTATACATGTGTTGAACTTTGATGTGTCTTCATCTGCATGCAAAATTTGTATGTGGATTTGTTTGTCAGTAATGTTACCTTAAGATAACGTGTAAAAATATAACACTTCAGAGTCTACAGGTTCCCCAAGGTTTAATTTCTGGATTTGAAACTTAAATTGTGCCAGATGTTGTTTGTGGTATTTCCATTATGTTCCCCCTTTGTCTTTATCATTGATGAGCTCAGTCTAAAAATTTGAACCAAAAATAAATTGAAAGCCAACCTGGTGAGTTGTGTGTAAACTTTCTGGTGTGCCATTGCATCCTGATGTTGGAAGACCAGTAGATTTGAACCCTTTTGAACTCCTACCCAATTCTCTTCTCCTCATGCTGAACAAGATAATCAGACTACCATTCCAATTCATTTCAACGAACAACTCTCTTACTTCTTGTAACTGGTTACATATTTTGCCACACTGGTGCCACCATCAGACCATTACCCTAAATGAAACCAGAATTATATCTTAGGATTAAAGAGGATTTACCTATGTCTTTTTGGTATGGTATTAAACTAACATATTTATTTTTGTGTCGTTATCATTTAGGTACTATCTGAGTCGCTTCAAGGACACATACAGACAAGCCACAATTGATATGATGTTAGGTGAGTGCTACTTCATCTTCCATGCAGAGAATTTATTTAAGATATCTAAACAGTTTATTTTATATTTATAACAACATGAAGACTTAACGAAGTATGAAACAGTTTGTCTCTTCAACCTTGTCTTTCTGTCTGTGTTTGTTGAGATTTATATTTTCATTTCATGTGTGATACTTTAATCAGTTTCTTAGCTAGTATGTTTTTTGCCTTCCAGAGGCACTGGCTGTTCAAATATCAATATAAGTAGTTTTGAACTTGGCCACAAGGGTGAACTTATCTTGTTTTATGCTCAGTCTATTTGGTAGCAGATTCAGACAAGGAAGGCTGTGTGAGTGTAACTAATTCCTGCAAGTAAGCCACAAGCCTGTTGTTGGCAGAAAGAGGACAGCTACATATTTTCACGTGTTGCTGTTTGTCACGCTACAACGAACTTCATGCCCGTTTGGATCTAGCGTATTTATTCCACACTTCATGTGTAATACCTGGCCAATTTCCTTGCAAATTTCTATTCACATTACCTTTATTTCTGTGGCTTAATAAACACTCCTTATAGTTTATTCTTTAGTCTTTACCAGCTGTNAGATAGACACTGATCACCATATACTTCTGTCAACAAATTGTAAGTTTCAGTGGCAGATTTTCCAAGTTTTGTGAGGAATTTGATGTTAGCACGTTGTTCTGCATTAGCACTCAGCATTATTCCGACGGAGCTCAGAAACACGATCCGCTTCTAACAATGGTCGCGGCCAGACTAACCGATGCACGTGAATGAAACTTTGTGTGACGGTAGAGGGAAGTCCAAGGGTCAATGCCCTACCCTCCTCTTCGTCAGTGACGTGGCCGGAAATGAGTCATAAAAGTAATCCGGGTTCTTTATTGCCACACCTTGTATTTCCATTATGTTCCCCCTTTGTCTTTATCATTGATGAGCTCAGTCTAAAAATTTGAACCAAAAATAAATTGAAAGCCAACCTGATGAGTTGTGTGTAAACTTTCTAGTGTGCCATTGCATCCTGATGTTGGAAGACCAGTAGATTTGAACCCTTGTGAACTCCTGCCCAATTCTCTTCTCCTCATGCTGAACAAGATAATCAGACTACCATTCCAATTCATTTCAACGAACAACTCTCTTACTTCTTGTAACTGGTTACATATTTTGCCACACTGGTGCCACCATCAGACCATTACCCTAAATGAAACCAGAATTATATCTTAGGATTAAAGAGGATTTACCTATGTCTTTTTGGTATGGTATTAAACTAACATATTTATTTTTGTGTCGTTATCATTTAGGTACTATCTGAGTCGCTTCAAGGACACATACAGACAAGCCACAATTGATATGATGTTAGGTGAGTGCTACTTCATCTTCCCTGTAGAGAATTTATTTAAGATATCTAAACAGTTTATTTTATATTTATAACAACATGAAGACTTAACGAAGTATGAAACAGTTTGTCTCTTCAACCTTGTCTTTCTGTCTGTGTTTGTTGAGATTTATATTTTCATTTCATGTGTGATACTTTAATCAGTTTCTTAGCTAGTATGTTTTTTGCCTTCCAGAGGCACTGGCTGTTCAAATATCAATATAAGTAGTTTTGAACTTGGCCACTAGGGTGAACTTATCTTGTTTTATGCTCAGTCTATTTGGTAGCAGATTCAGACAAGGAAGGCTGTGTGAGTGTAACTAATTCCTGCAAGTAAGCCACAAGCCTGTTGTTGGCAGAAAGAGGACAGCTGCATATTTTCACGTGTTGCTGTTTGTCACGCTACAACGAACTTCATGCCCGTTTGGATCTAGCGTATTTATTCCACACTTCATGTGTAATACCTGGCCAATTTCCTTGCAAATTTCTATTCACATTACCTTTATTTCTGTGGCTTAATAAACAATCCTTATAGTTTATTCTTTAGTCTTTACCAGCTGTATTTAAATATCGGGCTAACTACAATATTGGTGGGCAGATTTAAACTTGGTGGTAATGGGATTAAAATTGTGAACAGTGTGATGATAAGACACTTTTGCTGGCATTACTATGCAGTGTATGGACAGTATAGTTAATCCATAAATGAAAATATTTATTTCTAGGTAATCCTGTGTCAGAGGATGTCTTCAGTCAGGAGAAGACCGATGATGAAGTAGATAGTGCATCCACTGCTGAACATGTCAAATTACTCATAGAGGACTGTAAGAAGATGTTGATTAATGATACAGACATCATTCTGGGAGCATGGGGACTTATTGATGCAGATCCTGTGTAAGTCTTCTGATGTGTCATATCAGAACCAAAAGGTTCAGCAGTGCCAGCATTGGGTTTGGCCTGGTATAATCCAGATCACATCAGTAAAGAATTATAATGTCAGTCTTCCTTCTCTGTCTGCTTTTTCCATGTCATGTTGGACTGGTGACATATGGACTATATTTGGCTCAGCAATAAGGTTTTTTGACTTAGAAAAGTATCCTTCCATCCCCAAAAATATTTGTTAATGCTTTTGGCCTTTTTAAGAAAGGTGGAAAATCTTGCTAAAATAATCTCACTCCCACTTTGGAACATAGGACTGATTTCTCATTTTCATTGATCATTTTTACAGATGGTAGGACTCCTTGGATGGGTGATCAGATTGTCACAAGGCCTCTACCTAAACGCAGGGCAACACAAACACAGAATAAATGTATATTCGCACCAAACATCAATGCCTTTTGTGGTATTCAAACCCACAATCCCAGGTCCTGATCAAGTGAAAGTTTTTAAAAAAACACATTTACTGGCATCACTGTGGATCCTGGGACCCGTGTTAGCCCTTGGCCCCATATAACAGTTGAAAGATTTTAATTATAATTGTAATTTTGTCTGTAGTTGTGTATGGATGTGAAACTTGGGATCACACACTGATGGAAGAACATAGGCTGAGGGTATTTAAGAGTAGAATGCAAAGGGGGGAGAAGTAAGAAGAGCGTAGGTAAAATTATCTGATCAGGAGCTTCATAACGTAAGCTCCTGATTATAATGTTATTAGGGTTATCAAATAAAAGGGGATGGTATTGTCTGGGCATGTATCCTAAGTAAGGGAAGATGAAATATATACAGAATTTTAGTCAGAAAAACCTGAAAGAAAGGGACCACGTAGAGACCTAGGCATAGATGTGAGGAAGATATTAAAATGGGTCTTAAGAAAGATATGAGGGTGTGGACTGCATTCATTTGGCTGAGGGCAGGGACCAATGTCAGGTTCTTATGAACATAATACCTTTGGGTTTCATGGAAGGTTGAAAGTGCCTGCTGACTTCGCAAGAAGGACTCTGCTATGTGGAATTAGGTGGTTGATTATGCCCTCTTAAAAGACGTGTAATATGTAGCATTTCACTGTGTAAGGAGTAACAACATTTGTATATTGGTACAACTGACAGCATTATTGACAAAGTAATTTAAATTTTGTATTTCAGGTCTGGGGACCCAACGGAGACAGAAATGGACACAGTCTTGATTCTTACAAGGGATTCATACTATGTTGCAGAGTAAGTTCCATGGAGAGTTACAAGAATGACATTGTGGCTAACGTTTCTGGAAGATATGTCATATTGCTATGTACTGTTTGCAAAAAGTTAATGGAATGAATGCAATTGAGATGGGTTGCAGTTTTCTTATATGCCTTAAAATACCAAATACATTGTGATGAAATATTTTGTGGGTGGTGTCTACACCCTAGGATGTCTGGTGACCCTTAATTGTAGTCCGTACTGGGTCACTGTAATCGCTGCTTCACTTGAAGGTCAAATCAGGGCGTATAACAAGTACTGGAATATGACATAAAATGTAGGTCTCATTAATATCTACAACTTTTGCTTGCAACATTTTTGGTATGTAGAATATATGAATATAAATGTGACAAAATGAAGTAAAATAAATTTTGGTCTATACAGTGTGGCAGCTTCATTGCTGTCCTTAGCTCTGCATCAATAGACTTGCAATAGACAAACATCAAGACCAATGAGATACACAAAATGGCAGAAAGCACATTTAAAAGATGTGTGTACTTCAGATAGGAGTACATATTTTCACTCTTCATTTTAAAAGTGGAAATTGGGGATTAGTTTTAATAAAGCACTCAAAACTGACTCATGCTTCTGTACTGGACATTTTTCATCATCAGATTGTTGTTATGCAAACACAACATTTCAGAAACAGGCTCTTTATCTGAAAATATGAAACCAACTTTATCAGGTGCATTGGATCAAGGTAACTGCTTTCCTTGGACTGATGTAGTGTATTCCTCTGAAATATTGGTAGCCACCTGTGTGTCTCCAACACAGCGGGACAGCCTAGATCACGGCATAAATCTTCACTGTCATGAAAACTTCAAGTCTTGCATTAGGTAACTGCTTGATCAGCAGAATAAGTAGTGCCATGGAGGTCATGTAGGATTTGTGGTAAATGAAGTGGTACTGGGTCAGTTTTTCACTGAGTATTTTAGTTTTGCCTTACAATTTTTATTCCACCAACTGCTCCACATTCATTAATTATCCTATCACTGATGCTGTGTAGTCCCATTACTGACAGCATCATTAAATAAGCAAGAAAATGTACCATGGGCATAGTTATTTGTGGCTATATTTATCGTGTACATCATAAGTTTGTAAGTTATGCATTTATGTTGACAGGTATGATGATCAGGTGGATAGAGTCACAAAATACCAGCGCATCTTCCTAGATGACTTGACGTTGATTGAATTTGGAATACCAGAGCATGGTGGTGCAGTATCGTTGTTCAAGCAGACTTCAAAGACAGAACACCACTGCATCAGGCTGCACTATAAGGTGGCTTCTGTGTCTGGCTATTTTCACATGTTCAGATCCACAAACCTTAGGTTCTTCAACAACATGGCCGTTGGAATCAAGACACATGAGGAGATGATTGGTATGGATTGCTGTCACACGTCATGTTTGCATTCTTATGCATTATTATGAGAGCTGGTATAGCTCCATCAGTGTAGTGATGGGCTATGGGCTGGATGGCAGGGGTATGATTCCCAGCAGGGGCAAGAGATATGTCTGTACTTCACAGTGTCCAGACTGGCTCTGGGGCCCACCAAGCCTCCTGAACAATGGGTACTGGGGGGAGGGGGATTCCCCCAGGGATATAATGGCCAGGGCATTATGCTGACCACTCACCTCCATCCAGTGTCGAGATCAAGAATGGTGGAGCCTATACCTCCACTCCTCCATATGTCTTCATGGTGTAATGCTTAATTAGTTAACAACAGGTACAACTTTACCTTTTACATTTACCTGTTAAAATTTAATGCTGTGTTGTGTCAAACTTCCAGACTTATTTATCATATTACATAAACAACACCAGTTTTGGTATAATACATGTATTGTAGCGTGATAATGACCTTTAAGGTCAAAACGTGTAGTTAGATATAATACGATTTAATTTATAATACTTGTATAAAAGGTTGTTTGAGCATTTGTGCCTGTGTGTGTGTGTTCATTCATTCATTGAATTTGTGTGTGTGTGTACTGATTCTTATGCATGGTTTATGCAAAATGCATGAAGTGAAACATTGCAGGGAGGTGAGATTCATCTCACCACAAGTTGTATTTTGAAAACTACTCAGATTTCAGTGACATTTTCTATTTTGGGGGAAGGGGATATTTCTGCTTAAAAATATTGGACCAAGTTAATTCTTATTCATATTTGTCAGATATTACCGTCCTTTACATGAATCTCAAATTCAAATTTTTTTCTTTAAATTATACGTTGTACAAAAGATTTATTTCTGCGGTAAATTAGTATAAAACCTGAGCTATTCTTCTTGTCAGATCATTTGAAATGAGGTTTCTTCCATATTTTTATAAATTTCACTATACATAAATTCACAACATGTCACATTCATTCACAGACATAATCTACATCTCATGATGCCAAATTTATGTGAATTTCACAGTGCTTCCAGCATAGGATTCCTGTGATACCTTCTTGCTAGTATGGCTGTACTAAGTATTATGACACACTTTGTTTTGTCTGATAGTCTGAAAGTTAAAAAATTATAAAATCTTAATTTAGTTTCACTGAAGTTTATATATTCTATAAGTGTTGTATTACAAGCCAAACGTGTGCTGCTTTGTCGTTCTTGAGAAGAGGGTTCTTTAAAGTTGTCCCGTATGTGTTTGTTGCCTGCTGTGTTGTTTTTACATTTTTTGTTATATTTTACATTACATTATATAAGTAACAAATTTCAAATGCAGATTTAAAATATTTTGTATTGGCAAAAAATTGTTAGATGAAACAGGTGACTATAGATGGGGTTTGGATTGGTGAATAGACTTATTGACCACATTCGGGTCATAACTATAAATAACTATAATACTATCACTATTTTGACACTTCACAGTTCACTAGAGCACNAATATAAATAATATACAATTGGGTGTAAAATCTAAAGTCTTTACAATTACAGTGACTGTTCCAATACATTAAAATATTTATAGTTAGTTTGATAAGGTTCTATTGGAATTTGTAAACCAAGCTTACAGTGTAACATTCTCAGTCTGTTCCTAGACATTTCCTGATAATGGTTCCAACAATGGCTATTCCTTTGTCTCCGATTCAAGTCCTGTCTTCACAGACCCCTGTACAGAAGTGGCTATCAGCTGACTATGTGCCAAACATCCTGGTTATGACATCTTGGCATGGACCACATAGAAAACACAGTTCTTCTATTGTTGCGACCGTTACCTAGCAATGGCTGCTGTTTACAGAGTCACTGCTTAGCATCTGGTCTATATGCCAGAATATTGTATGCATCATGGTTTAATGTACATTTAGACTTGCATTTCTGTGCGTACTTATTGAAGGGTTAAAATTTGTGTAGAATATCAGATCTTGAATACCTTAACCATTAAGGAAGTGTGACTCTCATTTCTTTCAGAGTCCTTGAAGGCAATATGTGAGGCATTTGTAGTTGCAGTCGAAATAGCCCACCTTCCGGCCGTACCATTCAGGCAGAATAAGTTGGACAAGAGGAAGAGTAAAGTTGTGTCATCAAATAGCAGCAGTCTATTGGGACCAGGAAGTTACCTAGATATTACAGCTCTGCCCCACATGACTCGCAATGTATCAGAGACACAGCTGTTGAATCTGAAGACTGTGGGTACCAAGGCCCTGAACAATGTGACTCAGCAGTTCAACAAATTGAACAAGCTTGGCCACAGTTTCAACACAAGGAGGCCAAAACAGGCTGTAGATGACACTGAGAAGGATAAGGTAACACTTGCTAATGTCCATTATAGTAATCTTAGGTATGTTGTTATCTGTATATGATTATCAGTCCATGAGGTGTATCACTTAAAGGGATTAACCAAGGAAATGATTTCCATGAAATTCAGTATGGAAGTTGTATCCTAATAGGAAATCCAAATACCACTCTGTCCTCATATATATATAAAAGTATTCATTTGCCCAGTTCTTAGTTTATGAACTGATTTAAGCGAAACATGGCATGTTATCAGTATATTCCTGCAGGAGTTTTCCTAGTAATATGTTTAAAGATACATGTTTCTGCATATTCACCTATTCTGGTATATTTCATGTAATCTCACTGATAAAAGCTTAAAGTATGGTAAGAGCTCCAAATGTACAGATAAAAAAGCAAAAAATGGAAAAAAAAAGTTCAGTAATGATTCTCTTGGACCTGAATGTTCAGATATACATTTTTAACTAGTGCTGAGTTGACATTTCTGTTTCAGAAACATGGACCTATCTTCACCCTTGGAGTTCTAGATAACGCAACACAAGATGTAAACTCTGCACTTACAGTTTCAAAGCATTCCAGTGATGAAGATGAAGAGGTTGCTGCATATGACTACCTTCACCATCAGACATCATTGCTGACTGAACAAGATCAATCTCTGTGTCAAACAAGAACTTCTCTTCATCCAGAGTTAAAATGTACTGATTTGTTCCTGCCTAATGTTGGAATAGTCATGAGTACAAAGGTTAGTGATAACGTAAATCATTCCCTTCTTGATACGAACAGAACACCGGATCCTTTTCTCCGCTTCCAGCCATCTGCAGCACCTATGATAGATAATGTTTCTCTTTCTCGAGTAGTACAGAATGTTTCTATCCGTGGTCACGTTCTTACCCATTCCCGAACAGATTTAAGCCTTGATGTTTCTAGTTTGGTTCCACCTTTCACATCCTCAGTTGGTCATGCAGCGTCTAGAAATTCCTCCTTAACCCCAAGCCCTCATAGAGGTGGTGCAACAACACCTGAAATCACTGTTGAAAATACAACAGCTGCTCAGGATGAAAGATCTGCTTTGATAGCAGCTTTAAAAGCTAGTCAAAAGTCTTTGGTGGCTGAAGGCTCATGTATGAAACAGGTACAGTCAGAAAGAAAGTCAAGTGATACAAGCTCCAGGACACCACAAACCGAGCTGAAATCTTTACTGTCTTCAGTGAAATTGACTCCTCCAAACACGCTTCAACTTGCTCGTAAACTGTCTTTGTCCTCGAATGAAGTAGATAAAAGGCAGGGAGGCAAAGTTGAAGAAGGAAGGGACATTAAAGGACAAGGTGATAAGATGATGGATTCATCAAAGAATACTTTAACACAGCAATCAGGGCATCTCCTTGAAGGTCAGAGGTCATCATCTGTACATGACCTTAGCCTCAGCATAACCTCATCACAAAGTGAGAACGCAATTAAAGCGATCCGCAGTGGATTTACGAATGTCATCACAAGTCCAGCTGCAGCAACAAAAGATCTAGTCCTGTCACCATTCTCAAAATTTGCTAAAGGCATGCAGAACCTTGGTGCAAACTTAGATCCTAGAAAACTGAAAGCTGGGAGTGGCACTGGTATAGGGAGACATGTAGTAACAGAACATCAGATTGAGGAGCACAGAAAACTTCAGGAGAAGTGGAAGTCCTGCAGGACAAGGCTCATTGCCCTCTAGAAGGATCTGGTACTGAACCAAGGATAAACAACCAAAGAATAAAAAGTGGCGAATTTAGTTCCTCTTCCTCAGAGAATAGTTCAAGCAGATATCTAGGCTGTTTAGGTAATTAGTGAAGGCAGTATGATAGAATTCACTGTTGAGGAGCTTCAGTTTCTGCACTCAGATGTAGAAATTAGAAATTAAGGACCTTAGCCTAATGAGTGCCATGGATATGGCTAATCTGTAATCTAGACTTTTAGACTTAAGACAGAAATATTTGAATCATATGTGGGGAATCATAAATGATTTTACAAATTTAGTATGCGCAGTTCGAAGTAACATTATTATTCAGTGAGAACTGTGGGTAAATGATAATTGTAGGTGTAAGTCACAGTTGATATGGTCACAACAATGTAATGTAAGAGAACGACATCATTGCCCAGACAAGCATAACAAAAGTCTTTCATGTATTTAACTTGTCATAATTGGGCATGTAATTTGTTGGTAATGTTAATGTTGGTCCATGAAGGTCACATTCATTGAGGTTTGGAGTTAATTTAAAAAGAAAGAATTCTTTTTCATGGTGGAGTGTTTCTGTCACTACATGAAACCTTGTGATCTGTGTTTGCAGTACGAGTTATAAATTAAGAATCTGTAATACGTAACACAACCTGGTATGTTGGAGAGTCATACGTAATATAAAATTGAATGTCACATTAGTCAATTATAATGCTTCAGTCACTGTATAAAGCAGTATGCGGATGAGATATACAGAGGAAACAGCTTAGTTCTGTAGCACATACTGTACTGCACTTCAGAAATATGAACAAGTCTGCTTTTCATTCTTTCTTCAAGGATGAAAGTATCCGTAGGTGAATAGTACCTTCATGCTTGCTCAGTAATGATAATGCTAAGTATATATAGTTTTATAGGATTGTGAGTATTCTTAACAAGAATTATATTTTGAGAGTGATTGCATTGAGTGCTGGTGATCCTCACGGTGTAATTAATGCCAAACATTAAACATGTAATCATGATGGAGACTGGAAGGTAATTGAAGTGCATCGAGTTGCCAAATTAAAAATGTCCAGCTTATGAACACCTATACATGTGAATGAAGTTACTGTATATGTCAATATTTTGATACTTTGTGAGGTTTGAGTTTCACACAGTGGTAGCTATGAAGATTCCTGTCTTCTGGGATGTGATAGTTACCAGTTTGTAAGAGTAGCTTGCTGATCTTCAGGTGGAAAATGTAAGTAGTTGTTTCTTCGGAAGCATTAGTAACCATCTACCAGACTACCTGGTGGCACATCCCAGAACACAGTAATTTTTAATGTGAACATTGATTCATGTATATGAATCATTACTCGTGGTAAGTAACGCTCAAAAGGAATGAATGCCATTCAGCTTCTGTATCTTTGATAGTCCTCAGAAGTTACTTTCAGCTTGGTCAGAAAAGTTTCCTTCTACTTTCCCAACCTTGACTAACTACCCTGCTGCTCAGTAAGGGAGGCAGTGCCAGGATTCAAGTAAATAATTAAAACTGTTGTTTGCTCAGTTTGTTTTGCTTTTTTATTATGAGCATTGTTTCATAGTACAGTATTATTCATTCCAATTATAATATATTTCAGCTTAATAATGGGTTAAACAGGTTATATTGGGTTGGCTTGGGAATGTAGCCATTATTTATAACATTGTGTCAGTGTAGAATTGACTAGCAAATTTCAAACTAAAGGCAAACTTTAGGATTGTGACTACAGTCCCACCATGATTTTATGATCCTTTGTAAAGTCCATCTGCTGTACAAACCAGGCTATGTCATGCCTCATGTAGGGAATCTAGTAGAAGCAAAGTCTGGTGTAATTGTGTTCAAGTTTCACACTGGCATATGGAAAACCGAAATTAATGGCCATGGGGATTTGTTACACTGAACACATGACACCCTCTATCCACTAAAGTTTGTAATATTTCGCCGACAAGCAGCAGTCACTTGCTCGGTATAATTCACTGGCGGACTAAAGCCATGGTGTTTTATTTATATGTATACTGGAAGTGTTTGAAAATTGAATCAGGTAACTTTCTCATGGTATTGTAATGAACCGTGTCACTAACTGATGTTGACATATCCTATTTTCCATAGTAGATGATATATATCAGTGCTCAGTGTTGTTCACCTTGACACAGCATTGGCTGATACGTTGATGGATGCTGTACTTTTGAGTGAATCACCTGATAGTTGTTTCTGCCACTAGACATATTGGTATGCAATGTATCCTCTACAAGCTTGCAACTCATGCTTTGTTTGGAATTGTAAGTAAGGTCTGGCAACAGTGCTATATTCTGTGGCCTGACTTGAGCTTGCTCCATCAGGCAGATCCAGGGATCTTTATATTATGGTGGGACTTTGTGTTGTTGCACTTCATTATACTCGTATTACTTAATAACATATCTGAATATTGTGCTATGCCAAGAATGTAACTAACAATATGTGATTTATTGTCTATATTATGTCATTTTTATGTTTTTAAACAGGACTATCTGTTATTCATGTCCTTACTTAGGAGAACACCAAAGATCTCATGTGATCCTTAGTGTACTGTGACTTGACAAGAACATTTTAGAGAAGCATTCTGTCTTTTCTGCCTTATACCAAATTGTGTGTCACACTTTTTGTTATATTTATTGATTTGCAACATTTACGCTTTCTTGCAGGATCTTCCTTTACTTAAAAGAAAACTGAAATTAATATAAAAATGGATTCTTAGATCAGAATTTATCAAGTTAGGAATTTTATCATTTCAGTACATTCAGTATTTATCTCTGGTGTCTTGATTGTGAATTGATAGTGCTAACGTGTACACCCTCTTCTCAGGCAACCAGCCTTTTCAGTGCTGAGTTAAAACCAACATTTCAGAGATCACCTGTTCCATCCTCAGGGTCAGTGTGGTGAGTAACCACTCTGTCAAATTGTTATCAGCTGTATGTGGTCATTCACCACATCAAGCCTGGTGATGGCGATCTGCGAGACATTGGTTTTTACAACTATTGTGTTTCTGGACATTATCTGTCATCCTGTTTGTATTCAGAACACAACTTTTCGAGGACTGGATTCTGTCTCCGTCTTCAGGTGGAACCTACTCAGTAGACCCAATTGATAGAGCTGGTTCCTATCTTCAGACACCTGCACCAACACAAGATAGGGTATACATACCAAGTACAGCACAAACCAGGGACTAGCTCTATCAATTGGGCCCAACTGAGTAGGTTCCACCTGAAGATGGAGACACAATCCAGTCTCCAAAACGTTGTGTTTTAAATAAAAGCAGGATGACAGATAATGTTCAGGAATACAATAGTATTAATAAACCATCGTCACAGACTTTTGGATCTTATTTACATTGGTTCTTAATCTAACATTGGTATTGCTGATTGCCTGACCACCTCTGTGGACTAGTGGTCAGCGTTCCTGGCTACAGATCCAGAGGTCTGGGTTCCATTCCTGGCCCTACCAGATTTTTTCTGAGAAATAGTGGGTCTGGAACAGGTTCCACTCAGCCTTGTGATGATAATTGAGGAGCTATTTCAAGGAAATAGCTGCTCTGGTCTAAAAAACTGAGATTAACGGCCATGGAGATTCGTTGCGCTGACCACGCGACACCCTCTATCTGCTAAAGTTGGTACTAAACTTCGCCTACAAGCAGCGGTTGCTCGGTCGGTATAGTTTGCTAGCGGACTAAAATCATGGAATTTATTTTTTTTTGTGTATGGCTGATTGCCTTGGATAATGGCTGTGTACAACACTACATTTTATAACAATCTCTTATTTTGGTTCTGAAGGATTTGGATTTTATGGGTTGAATGAAGTCCTTATTCCAGCAGATGTTTTAACACTATCTCATCAGTCATTTTTGGGCTGTTCTATGTAATTTGCCATTATTCCTTACTTACCCCTGGCCCTACACTCCACTCTTTCCTATAATAATGTATAGAGTAAGTCACAGTACAGTGAGGCATAATTTTAACATTTTTATCCTTGTATGTTAATGACATGTTTGTGTTACACATGTTTAAACTACAAGGAAGGATTTTCTATGTACATTACATCCAAAATGATGACAGTTACGTTTTGAATCTTATTGTTCCAGTTTTATATTATTTGTTGTTTTAAATACATTGTTGAATTGTAATTATGCAGATTATGTTTTGTACATGCATTGAATTAGGATGCGTAAGTTCTACTCTATTGTCATGTATCTCTGTATTGGTTGTTCGCTGTCTGTGCATCAGGGAGAACTAAGTGCTGTTTCAGCAAATGGAGATTTGAGGTTGTCATGGTGGTGATTTTGAAGGTTATTGTCTTTTGGGACGTGACACTGTCCACATGATAGATATTTGCTGATGTTTCAGAGGAATGCGTTGCCTCTCTTTCCAGGGTAGAAGAGTAAACTGAACATGGAGGAATGATATAGGAAAATATGGCACTGGGACAGGGGACTTCAGGGAATCAGTATGAATAGGAGAATTGTGGGAGAATGTTAGAGTCTTTAAGGGTCATTTTGAAAGCAACAGCAGCAGCATTCTGACCAAGAAATCCAGTTGCAGTGACTGGCTCATGAGGGAATTGATGGGGATTGAGTCTCACCCTGGAAACATGAACAGGGAGGGTAGGGTCTCCTTAAGCAGGCTGTGGAAATATCCCCTGCATACAAGAGATGAAGAAGGTCCTTCCCAAAGACAAGGTAATCACTTCCCTATTAAATGACACCCCCCCTGTATATGGGCCACTGAAAAAGGGCTGTTTTTCTCACCTCCCACTTCCATTCCATAATGACCCTGAAAAGGTCATTAATAATCCATAATTCCATTTCCTTCCTGTGACAAATATTCTTCACCACTCTTATTGCCTCAGACTAGGTTCTGCCTGTCTTGTGGATATGAACAGTGACCTTCCTTGCAGCTGGGATATTTATGTAACTGCATCCCTGCCTCTGGAACACTAGCATTCATCTGTGAGACTACACATTGTCACAATCTAGGATGTAGAATGTGTGATAATGCCATACTGTATATTGTTAGCCATGGAAGTATGACATTCTTGCTCAGTAGTTAAATTACTTTTTATAGAAGTCACAAAATTTTGACGCAGTGTAAACTAAGCACATACATTCAGATCTGCCTGTAGAACTATAGTTATGAAACAGAGTCTTTACTGTCAAATGGGGATAATATAGTAAATATTATTTCCAAGATATGGAATTGTGTGAAAAATACAGTTCATGGATGATCTTTACCTGCAATTGAAGAGCTGAGTTTCAGTTGACTGTGATGATTTTAGTTTGGTGTAATAAGAGTGACAGAAGTGAAAGAAGTTTACCTTAGTTTATGTTATATTACTTTATTTGTCATAATCAGAAAGCTGGCTGGGATTTGCATGATTATTCACATTATGTTAAAAAGAAAAGCAGATATCTGTGATGCATTTCATATCAATTATTATTGTCTGTTTTAAACAAAACTAATTATATGTTGATTTTGCAATATTTACCATTTATTTGTTTCCTGAAGATCATAATTGACATTTGAAAAGTCTGTATATTTTAAAGGTCAGTTGTTAAATGAATTCTCATCATGAATCAGTTGCCATTGATTTTATAGCATTGCTGGATAATGATCAGAATACATGAATTGTAGTTATTCCTAAACTTTCTGCTCTGAATCTCATTATAAGGCATTTTATTATTTACATGCATGTTATTTTCAGTTCCAGGGAGTTGTTACTGTATCATACGTACAGTACATATAAGAAAGTGTGGTGGTGAAGAAACTAGTCTTGAGATTTTAATGGATTTATGTCTTCTTAGTATGTCTCGCTGACACTTGAACAATTGGGCAGATTATATTTATATTCAGTATTCATGAGTGTATCCATCATAGTTCAGTGCCCAGTGGATATGAAAATTCCAGGTCCAAAAAAAAGGGACCCTTTAGATGGGCTTCAGAACACAAAATTGCTATTTTCTCAAAAATGAGTGTAACAATTTTTATTAAATTCCAGTCGTTTTTGGAGACCATCTCCATAAATAAAACTATGTAAGTTGTACCTTCTGGAAAATAACCACATGCTCATTAGGGTCCCAAAAGCAAAATATTAGTTTAGCCAAGACTGTATTTACCAGTCAGATGGATTTCATTTTTGTTCGATATTCTGTAAGCAACAGTGATCTACTGAACAACAACTGATTTTGTTTCCAAGGTAATGTAACCAAGGTCAGTTGTATATGAGTAAATATGCACATTGTCTTTGCACTGATTTTCTACATTGTGTTTTTGTTCTTGTTTTGTCATTTACTATTATTACTTGTTTGTTCATGAGAGTTATTTGCTTTTAATTGGGAACTGTTGTATTGTGAATAAAAGACAAGAACATTTTTATGGCAGTATACAGTGTATGCTATACCAATATATTTTTAACACAAAAGATGTTAGTAAAATTGAACAAAGGTTGAGGTTTATACTTTAAACTCTTTAATGTAACTTAAGTTTCTAATTTTCTAAATTCCAGGTACATTTACAACATTTTTTGTAGTTTTTGTACATTGCAGTCCTCACCCCATCCATTGCTACATTGACTGAAAGAATCATTTTTAAGAAAACTGGAGTTCACATAAGAATAGATTCTGTTTAATATAAATTATATTCAGATAATGGTCTGTTTATAAATTCTTATGAGAANCTTTCCATACAAATTCATGGATAATACCTTGAAATATTGCTCCCCCATGCTACCTAAATCACTGTATACATGGGTGCAGCCAGGAATTCTTTGGGGGGGGTTGGGGGGCAGCCAGAGGATTTTCATACAAAAGAAAAAAAAATGTTAAATATTTTTTACTCTTATTTGTATAAGAAATTGCAGTTTAATTTACATGCTTATTTGAATTTGTTTTGAGTTCCAGTTGTTGACCGAGAATATTGTGAAGGTTTGACATGAAATATGATGTGCATGACCATTGCTCATTAATAACTGGGTGGGCATCTGATGTACGGATACTTATCTACAAAGATAAGTAGCAGATGTCCCAATTTGACAGTACTCTATTGGATATGTATAGTCTGTTCACAGGATATTGAAGCGTGTTGTATGAGTTAAAAAATAACATCCAAAGCAGAAGGTGTATGAACTGTTATTGGGCCTGAGTCATGGTGTTGTGGAGTGTGAATCAGTACAGTATTTGAGGTCTGAGGTTCCAGTGGCAGTAGCTGTAAAGATTACTGTCCCCTGAGATATGATGCCATATGATGTGGAAGTTATTTACTAACATTTTAGCAGAGCCTGCTATCTCCTTCCATTTCTCCTTATACCTTGGCAGCAGGTTCCTCAAAAACATCTTTATCTACGAGACTACACGATATCACACCTCAGAAGACAGCAATCTTCAACATAGTATATTTCTGATTTTACTAAAGATTGTACAGAATTGTCAGATAGAATTAAGATGCAGGACCTGAGACTGTCACAGCAATCATCATGAAGAGTTCTGTCTCCTGGGATATAAGCTGTGTAGTGGATTGAAAGGCAACCACAGGTTTGTCTCCATGTCGCAGGTTCTGCTTACCGCCTTCTTCACACTGATTTCTTGTTTGGCTTATTCTTCGATCTTGAAGACAGAGGTAAAATGTTTCTCTGAAACATCAGTAGACTCATACAGCATTACATCCCAGAATATAGAACTCTTCAGGAATTGAATTGTTAGAATTTTTATGTCTGTGGCTAAAAGTTGATATTGTGCCATTGCTGACACTAATAGTTTTACATTGTAGTAGGAATTCTTGAAACCTAATAGTATCTTTACTAGAAATAAACTGAAAATCAAATGTTTCTTTTTGTAATTGGAAAAGAGAAAGAATCGAGGATTCTTTTAAGTTTTATGCATTTGTAACTTTGTCATATGACACAATGTCATTGATATGTTAAGACATTACTGATAAACAGCAAGCCATTTCCAAAAATTAGGTTATATATTACTTAGTTATCATTACATACACAGTATGTGCCTTGTTTCAATACATGAGGAGCCACTGTTAGTGGACTGTGCTGATAATGCCATTGGACTCATTTATGAACTAGATTGGTTGTGTTCAGATCCTTACATCCATTTAATGTTGTTGGATTTGAGGTTCTCACAGCAGTGACTGTGAAGAATTCTGTCATCTGGGTTATAATGTTGTGTAGTCTGGTGAAATGGCTGCTTTATGCTGCTTTCTTGCATGTTTACTCTTTGACCCAAAAGATGGAGATGGTATGTTCCTCTGAAACTTTTGTTGAGTTTCACTGGAATACATAGCATTATATCCCAGAAAATAGAACTCTTCTTGTAAACAAGTACTTGGTCTTCTGTTTTGTCATATTTCTTCTAAAGAATTACTGTTTATTTTCAACAGTTTTGGTCTGTTTTTGAAACTTAAATGTTTAACATGTTTTATTATATTTACTTTTACAGTAAAGGTTAGTATTCCTGA